AAAATGTGGAAAATGTGGAAAATATAGACAATATAGAAAGCAAGGTTCAAAGGTGTCCTTTTGTTCATATTCGGAATACTTGATGTTTTATTCCTAATGATGATTATCTCCGGTTGTTGGGCGCATGCAGAGTCGGACTATCGGACTAGGGCATGTGATGATGTACGGGAGATGATGGATTGTGGATTCAATGTTGCTTTCCGTTTTACACTACGGGTCTGTAGGAGGTATGTAGTCAGATAGGTATGTAGTGTACATCTATATATACATGCGTACTGGTGCAATAAACTGCAATAACGACCTTGTATGTAGGTAGTATATATGTACCTAACATGTAAGTCGGTCCAAAAATGGCTCTTACTCCAAGACCCCCAAACTTCCTGCCTGTGGAAATCGGTGGGTAAGGTAGATACATCATGTATGTACTTCCATATGTATGTACTTGCATATTGTACTTTATAAATGGGGGCGGATACCGTATGCGTTCATGTACCTTTAGCGAAACAGCTGTGGAGTGGTCGTCATATTGGACCTTTATTTGCATTTTGCATTTGCATCTGCATTTGTTCTCCACTAGCGTAATGTAATGGGCATCGACGTTGTATCTTTCTATCAGTAGCCCATCCTCCCCCCAATCCATCGTCATCACGATGTAGCAGTAGCAAAGCAGCCTGATCCGCTCCTTATCTTACATCGATCGATTGGGTATACATGCCGTATATACCAACCAAGTTGTCCCAACGCATCGAAAAACGTAAACTACTTAAGTTCTTAAGTTTAAGTTCAAAACGTGGTACTATTACTAACTAGTCTCATTCCATTAGCGTTAGGATATAAGGCTTAAATACCGTACTTTTACAGTAAGTAAAAATTAAACCGTAAATTTACCGTTTAAAGCTTTAATATTATTTAAATATATAAACGTTTTATTTTAATTTTCGTTATATACATAATCGATATATTTTTAATTAATTATTTAAACGGTTTATATATTTACAAATGGTTTTTTTTTTACAAATGGTTTTTTTTTTAACCAACAGTTTTAATACGGTCCGAAAAAATGTAATAATTAAGTAAAAAAGTCGTAAATGCCACTTTATATATTTAAATAATTATAAATTATATACGTCCGTAAATATATAATAATATATTTAAATAATAACCTTATAATTATAGCTATAACTATAACCGTAATTATAATATATTTAAATGTAAAATAATATTTATTTTAATAATAATTTAATTATTTACGGCTTTTTAATTTAAAATAAATACGTATAATAATATTTATTTAAATATATAATATAATTTTTTTTTATTTATTATATTTTTTTAAACTATATTAAAACCGTAAAAAAACCGTTAATTAAAAAAAAAACCGTTAGTTAAAAAAAACCATTTATAATAAAAAAACCGTTAATTTAAAAAAACGTTTAACTTTAAAAATACCGTTATAAAATAATATCGTTAATAAATGTAACTACCGTTTTTCTTTCGTACTAAAATACGCAATTATTCAAACAATTATACCGTAAATATACGGTATTAATACAGTCTTAAGGTCTTATATACTGACGCTAATGTCCTATACGATATATGGTATACCCCGCCGACCCTCTTTATCTATTAGGTACATACCAAAGTTTATCTACAATACCAGAATACATACATACATACATACATACATACATATATACATGGAATAAAAGGTTCACGCTACTGTATACCACCCTCGATAGCCGCAAACTAGGGATCGCTGCCTTGACCCATCTTGGCGCCCTGCTGAAGATCCGCCATCCATCCCGTCCGCCGTCCGCCCATCTACACACTAACCTACTAGACTACCTAGGTTACTTTATTACCTCAACTACTACATACATACGCAGCTGCGCACCTACACAGCTACACAGCTACACAGCTACATTACATATATACCTCGTTAGTCCCTATTTTATGAGCCAATAGGAATTGTCTGCACGACAGAAACATAAAAGCAACACGGGTTCATCTTATGTGAACCCCCATACTAGGAGCGGTTAGGCTCGAATTTCCAACCAAATGACTTGAGCACCTCCAACAACTATGCGCCCTACTAATTCCCCACCCGTCTCTCCATTCCTCGCTCCAGACCGTCCTCAGATCGACCAAGATGCCTTCTCATCCTCTCAGCCTCAAATTGCTGAAGTTGATCTACCTGACCCTGACAGTCCTATGAATGACTACCAGTGGTCACCCCCATACGTCCCGACATCTACTGCGCATGCCAACTCCGACGGCGCCCAAGTCTTTGAGGAGAGTGATGACGCCGGTAGTAGCAGCGCCGATAATAACCACGACATGCTGGACATCGATATCGAAGAAGGCGGCGCTCCTTTAAACAATCTTAACATGGAAGATCCGGACGACCAAAGCCACGTTATGGCGCCTCTCGAATATGCGCTCATTAACCATCTTGGGATCCCAATCCAACCTTCGCCACCCATTGATACCGATTTAGGTGCCATCCTACCCTCGCAGACGCTGCTGCCGCTCCCAGAGGTTCAAGATCCTGCCGAAGATGACATCGACGTCGCCGCGAACACTGGTCTTCATCCTATGGCCCTTAGCAATGCGAATCCCATGTCACTCGGGCCTGAGAACCCGCACGTTATGCAGTTTCTTGAGCTCTGGGAGTGGCAGAGCAATGCAGACATGCAACTACGAGCAAACGGACCTGTGCCGTCCTTTCAACAGATCAGTCGTCTAGCCCGGGAATGCCCGCGCCGAGTAGATTATAAGCAGTTGAGGGGTGACCTATACGACTTCCAAGGCATCAGTTGGAGGGATCTGGGAGTGACGAGGAATATGGCTCGATGTCGTCGTATGGCGACGTTTCATAACTATGTGAACAGAGCGAATTCTGATTCGTTTCATACTGATTCGTCCGACAGGCTACTACGCCCTGTCGAGAATTACTTTAGATATAAGAGCATGGACATCAGGCGCGATGTGCGCTTGCTACATTTTCAGCTTCGCAATATATTAGGCGTTGCATCGCGAACGAGGGTATTCTATCCGAGCTTTACTACGATCAAGGAGCATGACCCTACTACAGGACGAGACAAAGTAGCGATGCGCTTCGACAGCCAAACCGGTGCTCATATATCTACACTAACCGCTAGCGAGGACATCCTGATTGCTGGTGGTTTCTATGGAACCTATCGTTACCGTTACCTAAACTCCTCCAAAGACCTCGAGGCACACGAAGGACTGTTGACCAATCATAATAGCGGTATAACCAATCACGTACAAATCCATTCTTCTCGGCATTCATCCACTCCGTTGGCCGCCTTTGCTTCCAACGACTTTGGTTTCCGGGTAGTGGATCTATCTACGAATAGTGTCAGGTCGGAAATCATGTATGAGTCCGCGATGAATTGTTCTGCGCTGAGTCCAGATATGAGGCTTCGTGTCATAGTTGGAGACGACCAAAACGTACTCATTACCGACGCGGAGACGGGTGAGATACTCCAAAGTCTCGAAGGTCATAGAGACTTTGGTTTCGCCTGCGACTGGGCGCCGGATGGTTGGACTGTCGCCACTGGAAACCAAGATAGGAGTATCAGAATATGGGATGCCCGTAAATGGAAGAATAGCAAGGGCGAGAGTACTTCGGTTGCTGTGGTGCGAACCGAGATGGCCGGTGCCCGCAGCTTACGGTTCTCCCCTCTCGGATCTGGCAAGCGAATTCTAGTCGCCGCCGAGGAAGCTGACTTTGTCAATTTGATCGACGCCCAAACATTCAATACCAGGCAGACAGTTGACATATTCGGCGAACTCGGCGGCGTCGCTTTTGCTAACGAGGGACAAGACTTAATCGCGTTGTCATGTGACCTTTCTCGAGGAGGCGTCATGCGCTTGGAACGGTGCGATGCTGGGGCGGAAGATAACTTTAGTTACGCGCATAGGAAATACAGGGAACCCGGGAGTTGGTGGCGAACTCCGGGATACGACTGGATGCAAAGTCCGGAACAGATCGTAGCAACACCAGTCTCGCAGCAAACTCTTACGCACAAACGGAGGCATGCGGCCATGTTGGAAGACTGGACGTTCTGATGCGACGTATATAGGGGTGAGGGTGAGGGTGAGGGCGAGGGAGGATTGATAGGAAGGCGTTATTGGGATATCCAAGCATTTAAACGGGCAGCAAGCGACGGGCATCGGTTCATTGCTTCCTCTTCTTCGTTCACTTTTTATTTATTCATTCCCCGGGGGAATACATACCGCTTGCTGTTGGTAGTCCGGGGGGATCTATTGCGTACATTATTTATATCACGAGGGGAGGCAGGGTTGGAAAGATGGGAAGTCCAGCCTTCGGGAGACAGAACAGACATGATTCTCATTGGGATACACTTCGGGAGAAGGGATGCACAAGTGGACATAGCCGGACTTATCAGTATATAATCCTCGTGAACGCTTCGCCCGCCGCGAGTTCGCCTCTTACCTCACTCGGTTTTTATAAACGCATGTCGGGGCTAAGGCCTATAGGGAGCGGACAGACTTGAGGCGAAACGTCTTGTACTGGTAACCACTTCTTCTTTTTTTTTTTTTTTTTTTATATGATATGGCACACATCGCACGATACTTGCGAGGCACGATTAATATGCTTCATGATGAAATTTAGACAGACGTGTGGTTTTTGAGAGACAGGTAGAGGTAAGAGATAAGAGGCAGAGGCAGAGGCAGAGGCAGAGGCAGATCGAAGGAGGACATCGTATCGTATCGTATCGTATCTATATCATATATGCTCTTATACTAGGATCTATCGCAATTTACCATGCGTATATATCTACATTGGGTACTTGGTTGTGTATTTTACTGTTCGCCGGTTTGCTATTCAGTTCGGTACAGACTGAGCACTTACCTATATAGTGAGAATAAGTAACTATTCTATTTCTTGGTATATCATACTACATGCTACATGCTACATGCTACCATCCACACGAGAACTATATCTCTATTCTTCCCTCTCGATAGCAACTATATGACCTGTAGTCAACTCGACCTTCGATTAAATCTACTTACAACCTCTACGAATATCTTCGCTGTACTAGTGGAAGCAACACCTTATACACTTACAAACTAAACAAACCATATAACTAGCCCAACCTAGCAAACTTAACTAGTATTAGTTACCATAGGACAAAACCATTCAACAACAGTAATCGTAACGTAGATCTTCGTTGAGGGTATCTATCTCATCTACTTATATACCGGTAGTTTACCCCGACGCCCCTGGATTGTTGAAAGTCTCAAAGTGCCCAAAAAATGCAACCAACCAACCTACCAACCCATATTCTTCGCTCCCGCCATCTTATATTGCATTGTACAGACACACGCCTGTCTTAGTTTCCATAACCTAACCTAACCTACCTTACATACTGTCGAAACGCAATAACAACCTAAGCGTTCCCTTTCCAGTACTTACTCGGCACAAACGGCATCTTCGTCACAACCGCCTTCCGCGGACGTCCGCGAATACTAACGACGAGCTCGGTCCCCGCCTTATGCAGGCCATCCTTAACATACCCCATGGCAATGTTCTTGCCTAGCGTCGGGCTCGGACACCCACTAGTCACGGCGCCAACCTTCGCACCACTTTCGTCCTGGATCTCGGCGCCCTCCCGCGCGGGTGCCCCCTCGACTACTAGCCCGATACGCCGGCGCTCGACGCCCGCCCCGCCTTTGCTCTTGGGCGTTAGTTGGCTGAGAATGACGCTTGCGCCGTAGAACGCGCCTTTTGAAACGTCCGTCTCGCTGCGCCGTTCCTTGCCGATGATCCAGCTTAGCGCGCCCTCGACGGGCGTGATGTCTTCGTTTAGGTCGTGTCCGTACAGACACATGCCCGCCTCCAGACGCAAGCTATCGCGCGCGCCCAGGCCAGCCAGCTGTAATTTCTCCGGGCCGGCGGATTGAAGGAGTGTTTCGGTTGCGGCGACGGTGTGTTCCTCAGGGATGGAGATCTCAAACCCGTCTTCGCCGGTATATCCGCCTCTGCTGACTAGGATATCGGACACCTCACGCCCGTCGTGGAGCTTCAGCGTCACGGAGCGGCATTGTCCGAAGAACAGCCCGTGGAGATCGGTTTCCTTGGGGTTGGCTAGGACTTGTTCGAGGATCTGCTCGGAAAGCGGGCCTTGCAGCGCGACCAAGCCCTGGCCGTAGAGGACCTTGTGGTTAACAGACGGACGGCCCTCTTTCTCCCATTGTCCTAACTGCTCGCTTAGATATGCGAGGTCTTTGTCCCGGCACCCGGCGTTGGTGACGACGTAGAAAGAGTTTTCGCCGAGCTTTGTTATAATGGTATCGTCGACGATGCCGCCGGTACCAGGGACCAGCAGTGCGCTGAGGGTACTCGAGTTGGTGCTGAGGCCCTCGAGGCCGGCGGGTGTGATTCGTTGGAGAAACGCAGTGGCGCCGGGACCCTCGAACCGATGCTGGACCATGTGTCCGACATCGAACAGCGAGGCGTGGCTTCGCGTGAAGTGGTGGGAGGCGGTAACGCTCAGCCCGGCGTACTGAACCGGCATATAAAAGCCACCGAATGGCACGATCTTAGCGCCGTGTGAGACATGGAGATCGTAAAGGGCTGTCTTGCCTAGAGATTCGGATCCTGTTGTCGGTGCCGAAGCGTAACTTCGACAGCTTTCAACGGGGAGGGGGGAACGATTAGATAATACATGTGGTCGAGGATGAGTTCGTGAAGTGATTATCGCAGCCGAGGCGTTTGTCTCGGAAGCCGAGGAAGACGCCGCTCGGGTGAAGAAACGGGGTTGCCGTCCTAGGGGCGCTCGGAGCGCTGGAAGGCCCCTCTTAGCTGTGACGAGAATCCCTGAAGCTGAAGGCTTCATTTTGGTCAATCGAGGATCAAATTGGCAGGGACTCAAGGTGCAGGACACGTTCCCCCGGTCTGGCGGTCCAATTCCGAAATTATGTTGTCGGTGAGAAGACCTCGCCGTTGAAATATATTACAGCCGAATATATTACGAGCGTCGGGATCCCAGCATTGCCGATCCCGGCTTTACGTGGGGCCATTTTTTATTATCAGGTACATATTATCAGGTACATATTATCAGGTACCTCATATTATCAGGTACATATTATCAGGTACATATTATCAGGTATTATCAGGTATTATGTACCCCCCGAATTCGATTAAAATCGCGGTGACGGTGACGCAACATAAAACAGGAGAAAGCTAATCCTCTTGTAGAAAGTACTACAATCCGCCTTACCTGTACTAGCTGAATAATGTAATTACCATGTGTGCTACCAAAGTTGTTTAAGGGGGGAAAATGTAAACTCTAAGGGAGTTGTGAATATAATCAGGCCTATAATTAGGCCTATACCAATCACCTGCTTGGCAACTATACAATTTATCATGGTGGTACGGGCTATTACGAATTTATTCACCGCTAGCGTCATACTTTTACAAAGTACCAAGTACAATGTAAGCAAGGAGTTACACTTCAAGTCTTTTCTTAAGTCTACTCCAGTTATAACGGGGACCATGTGAGGGCGACCCTCAATTCAACCATGGCCGTATACAATTACGCAACATAGATCTTATCTCCTATACTAAAAAAAGAGGACAACAAAAATCTAAAATAAATCCCATGTTGCAACAACTACTACTGTAAACTACGAAGCCTTCCAATCTCGTTCTATCTCGTAATGCCAGCGTAAAAACGGAAACAGGACCATATATTGAGAACATCCCACCAGGGCTTCACAAGAGCCACCATCATATCATGACATTGTGTGTTAATCATCATTCTTATTAATGGGGAACAATAGACGGGAAATGCCTCGTGAACGAGAAAAACAGACTAGAATGCGAGGCTCCGCTGGCCCTTGGTAGCGTGACCCAACGCATCAAGTTCTCTTTTACGTTCTGTAATATCAATTCGTACAGATTTCGTCCCAGTACGCCACTCCCCTCCTATGCTTCCAAAATCAAACTTGCGTCTTCACTTTGCAGGTCCACCGTAACCCATGAGAGCGAGAGCGTACCGAGACCAGTGTCATTTATGGAATATATCGATTGCTCCGGGAATGAATTTGCGAGTTACAACCGACCCATTAAATTGGGGAGGAAAGGGAAACATGGTGAGTCGTAACGGGAAAATGACACAGTGCCCCCTCCCATTTACTGGTGTCCAGCCTTACGGAGCGTGGTGGCAAGCCATTCGAGACCCTCATACAGACCGTCTCCGGATGTAGCGCAAGTTGATTGGATGTACTACATCGCCGATTAGCATATATTACAAAGGTGAGACAAGATAGAATGAGTACATACCCAGGCGCGCTGTCTCAGGCTGTGAAGGCCGAGCTTGTCGGTAATCTCAGCAGCGTTCATGGCGTTCTACAACCATCGTTAGCAAATTTTGTAAATAATACGGTTAGGACGGGATGGAACATACGGGCAGATCCTGTTTGTTGGCGAAGACTAGCAAAATAGCATCCCGGAGCTCGTCCTCGTTCAACATGCGCTGCAACTCCTCCCGAGCCTCGACGATACGGTCTCGGTCGTTGCTGTCGACGACGAAGATGATACCCTGGGTGTTCTGGAAGTAATGTCGCCACAGAGGACGAATCTTGTCCTGTCCACCAACATCCCACACGGTGAATTGAATGTTCTTATACTCGACCGTCTCGACGTTGAAACCTGGAAGCGCGACGCGTGTCAATAATCAAAAACAAAGGGTGGCGATGCTGACGCTCGGGTGGGGAGGGCATACCGATAGTAGGGATAGTTGTGACGATTTCACCGAGCTTGAGCTTGTACAGAATCGTGGTCTTTCCGGCAGCGTCGAGACCAACCATCAGAATTCTCATCTCCTTCTTCCCCCAGAGCTTGTCGAACAACTTGGAGAATGTGAGACCCATGATTGCGACTTGAAGAAAAGATGCGGTAAGTATCTATTACGGCTGTGGGCCTAAGGCGATGTCGCTATATCTAGCACGAGAGAAAGAGGAGAAGTTAGTTAAGATGGAAAAAAGAGATGATGTGATTATCTGGAGGTAATTGGCAGCCAGTCGGGATTTATGGGGTTTAGTGTTCCGTAAGGACAGATCGATTGGTCTTCCAAGACCGCGCAATGACCTGGGGGATGAGTCGGTATTGTTGGGCGCGGTTGTCCCGTGTTATTTCTAGGCTGCCACGATAGGAGAGGAGAGAGAAATGAACAGGTGGGCCGAAGAATTATGAGGGGGAAGTTGAAGGTAGGTATGTATGTAGATGTATTTAGATGTATGTAATATTTAGGTAGAGGTATGTGGTATGTAGATAGGTAGAGATAGATACGTGGATATGGTAGTGGTATTGGTATTGGTACTGTAAAGCGAAAGCGTGCAAAGCGACAAAAATACAAAACAGCGAAAAGACCAAAGAATATCTCTTTGTCGGGATCATGTAAAAGGTTGAAGTAGTAGTCGACTTACTATTCTGCAACAATGAGACCTGCTCGGCGAAGGAGAGATCTCGTGGCGATGGGTTATCAAAAGGGGTTGATGCGGTGGATTGTGGTTGGAGATCGGTGAAGAGAGAGTAGTAGATGTGTTTTTTAGAAAGTTAGGTAAAAGTGCAATGTGGCTGGAGAAAGACGGAGTCCCATGGAAATGAACGTAATTACTTGCCTGCAGCTGGCAGTCGCTGGGCTGGGGTCTTTGTATCTTAATTTTTTTTGGCTTTGGCTTAATCCAGCCTGATAAGGTAAAGGGCCTGGCAGAGTGCTATGTCAAGTACCTAAACTACGTTAACTACCTAGGTACCTAGATACAGTCACTATACTTACTAGACCCCCTAACCACGACTAAGATTTCTACGCTGCGGAGTCGGCCTTCTCCGGGAAGGAGACGGTCACGAGTTTGTAACACGTCGCGACACAGAAAGTATCTCTTAGGTACCGCCGCTAAGATTAGGTATTATAGTAGGTATGTACCTAGGTAGGCTGAGAAAACTGCGCTAGACCGTCCCGAGCGTCCACTCAGATTCGATCCTTGGCAATCGCCAAAGTGTCCATCTCAAGTTTCAAGCCTCACAGCTCGTTTAGTTAGTAGGCTCTATCTTTTTATTAATTCAAAGCCTACCCGTCGCATGACAAATATTCAGGCAACGCCATTTCTCAAACTGGGCTCAGCGAACGAATTGAGTCACTCGTTGCCCAGAAAATATGTTATTCTCGACTAAAACCCTGCTATTGGCAGCCAGCTTCCTACAAGCTGCGCTCGCCCACAATATCCAGCTTCCCGCCCACGGCCGCGAGTGCTTCCACGAGGAGCTCCACAAGGACGATGTCATGACCGTTACTTTCCAGACCGGCGACAGGGAGTTTGGCGGTGCCGGTAACCTCGATATTGACTTCTGGGTACGGCAGCATTCTTAAGATAGATAGTCGGTGAATAAATATAATGACTTACATGTTGATCCACAACTACAGATCACGAACCCGATGGGCCAGCACGAAACCTTCCAGAAGGCGGTTTCGAACGGCGACTTCTCGTTTACGGCTAGACACGACGGTAAATACCTCTACTGCTTTGGCAACGAACACTGGGGCTCCAACAGCAAGGAGGTATCGTTCAACGTACACGGAATAGTATACGTGTCCGAAGGCGATGCCCCTCAGGACCCCTTAGAGAAAGAGAGTAAGTGTTGCGCTGTTGCCTACTTCTTAACCTTTAACAAATACGGCTTAGATCAGTTTACTAACGGAGCTATAGTTAAGCAACTCTCCGAACTAGTCGAACAGGCAAGGGATGAGCAATCCTACATCGTCGTCCGTGAACGCACCCACCGTAACACCGCCGAGAGCACGAACAGCCGAGTCAAATGGTGGAACTTGTTCGTAATCGGCGTGGTGGTAGGCGAGTCTCTATTCCAGGTATGGTGGTTACGAAGATTCTTCGAAGTCAAACGGGTGGTATAGCATCGTACTTTGGGGTGGGGGGAGCAGTTCGATCACCATCTTGTTTCTGGGTAGTCAGGCGTATTTATGGGCTGGCTTCGAGATGGCGGGTTTCAAAAGGGATGGGCAGACGTTCATGAATTAGAGCATATTGCACGTTTGTACAGTAATGAAGAGAAGATATCTGGCATGTTACATATTCCAGTTTAAGGCTGTACGACCGGTGGCTTTAGCTTAGTGATACTGTTACGATCAACTCAAATGTTACACTCACGAGAGTATCTAAAGTAAGTCATGTTCTAACCACGAGTAACTATATCCAGCTATTAATACTTCTTCTCCAGAAACGTAGTGAATAACCGCATACTATCATCGGCGTAAGGGGTGATTCATATTTGACAAGCTACCTATCTATGTAGTAGTAAACTAAAAGGCTTATACTAGAACAGTGATCATATATGTACCCAGCTGGCGATCTATACATGGCACATGCTCTTTACACACTACGAGGGAACCCATTCAGACCAAGAATCAACTCGGGCGACTGCGCAATCTCGTCCTTCCTCGCCTTCAACTCATCAACATCCCACCCAGCAAAAACAAACTTATTCTTCAAAAACCCAGCCTCCTCGCTCGCGACCCAGACGAGGAAATGGGCCGGTAGGTTAACTAGGTATTCATATCATATTAGCAATCTCATCCCATATACTTTTTATACTTCTCTTCTTCATAGGGAAAAGGGAGGAAAGAAGAAGAGAAGAAAGGAAAGAAAAAGAAAAAGAAAAAGAAGAAAAAAACTCACTATCATCCCCCGGCCACTCCAACCCCGACTCCTCAACCATCTTCCTCCCCCCCTCCGTCTCCGTCACAACCCCCGGATGCACACTAACAACCCTCAGCCCCGGGTTCTCCGCGCCAAAGTACTCCATCACCTTCACCCCCGCCAGCTTACTAGCCGCATACCCAGACATCGGCAGCGCCCCATCCGCCGGGAACACCGCTCCCGCCGTGCCCAGGTACACGACCACCGCCCCCGCCGCAGCATACGCAGCAGCAGCCCGCGCCACGACCGCCGCGCCCCTAACATTCGTCTCGAAGCCCGCCCACCAGGCGTCCAAGCCAGTCGAAGCCAGGGCCCGCAACGGGGGCTGGGCGCCCGCCGCATTAACAACAACGTCCAAAGCCCCCCCAAACTCGGCCTTGGCTCTAGCAAACGCGGCGTGCACGCCTGCCTCGTCCGCGACGTCCGCGGCAGACGTCAGGACCGTGGCATCGGGGTACTTAGCTTGGAGCTCTGCTGCGGTGGCAGATAGGACGGCCTCGCGACGGCCGGTTAGAGCGAGGCGGCGGGATCCGGATTCGAGGAACGCTAGGGCGGTGGCTTTGCCGATGCCGGCGGAGCCGCCGACGATGAAGATGGATTTGGATGCTGTGGAGAGGTGTGGGAGGGAGGGGGAGATGGCGCCGTAGGGCTTGGTGTGTTGGGTTTTGGTGTAGTTCATGGTGGTGATTGTGGTGTGTACCTATAGGTACCTAGGAACTAATTACAGTGTTCAAGGTAAATAGATAGTGAGAATATGGCAGAATAGATTCTTTGAATGCTTTAGTATCTTAGAATGGTCTGTCTTCACTGTCTGGAGCGAATATACTCTTCTCATACAGCCGGCTCAGACGAGCCTTTATACAAAAACCCTCTCCGGCCATTATCAAGGCTATTTGTCAGGAGGATCATGCTCGCCGGATTGCGCCATGTTGGTAACAGCTGATAAATACCTAATTAATCAGCTTCTTCAACTGGAATACTTGAAGATGTAGGCCGATTTGCGCAGTATAGAGCGTTGCGGTAGTCGATTTGCTATGAAGCCAATACACTTGTTTGTCATATGTGATGCTGGGTGCGGAACGGTTCCGCTGTTTATGAAATGGCAGCCAGCCCCTGATTACACAACGGCAGGGTATGTAAAGCCTAAGACAACACACAGGACTACGAAGAATAGATTACGTTTGTTGATTATAATAGCATTGGATAATAAATCGGTTTTATTAGATTTGTTCAGACACGAAAGTAGATAGACGACGTCCCCAGTAGTTATCAGAAGAAATACCGTTGTAGCAGCCCAAAGCATCTAACCTAGTGGTTAGGGTCTTACCGAAGGAGACATCATAAATGGCTTACATAGCCCAAGGCAACCACATCAAAGCTCAAACTCATGAGAGATACAGGACATTAACATTACGTAGTGTAATGAGTTGCAACCTGTTACGAATTCTTACAAAACAATCACTTGACAGCACAATAGTCTTTCACTTGGCAAATTTGATTGCATTCATTTCCAAAATATCCGCTGTTTTATCTATCCATTCCATCCTATTAACCCAAGCAATCAGTTCCCAACCGCCGAGATATACTTCGTCATAGCCTCCATCCGCTCGCTCGTAAGCTTCAGCGAAACCCGTAGCAATTCCTGCGCCACGTCGTTCTCCTCATTTTGCAGCTTCTCCCAATTTTCCGTATCCATAACCCAGACGACGCAGTCTTTAACGGCAACCACCGTCGCCGTCCTGTTCGTCTCGGAGAAGAAGGGCAGCTCGCCGCAAGTAGTGCCCTGGACGATCGGCTCGTATAGACGACCTTGCGGCGTGTCGTAGTCTGCCCGCAACTCGCCCCTTTCTAGGAGATAGAAGCCATTGGCTGGCTCGCCGCACTGGTATAAGACGGTACCGGCGGCGAATTCTTTGCGGACGAAAAACGGCCTTGCTCGGAACCAGAAATCCTCGTTCTTATCGCTCACGTCGTAGAAGACTTGGAGCATAAGCCGGAGGGGTTCACTGATGTTTTGCCATCTCGTTGACCGCCTCATCTCTTGTTGGTTCAGCACGTTCCTAGCCGCTTGGTCGAGGTGACTTCTCCTCGGCGACTGAGACAGAATCTCTAATGATTGGCTAAGTTGGCCGTTATTAGGCACATCAAGGTTGCTTGACGGTGCCGGTCGCGAGATTCTTAGAGCTTCTTGGCGAGCATAGAAGGTTTTCAGCTGTTCGTTCTCGCAGCTTTCCAGTGCAGAATTTAAATCCGGCATAAACATAACGCTGGGTCCATCGGCCCCGAGTCCGACGGCTCTGAGATCTCGACCAAGTCTGCTGTCCGCGTCTTTTCCGCTTACGAGAAGGTGCACTCCTTTCCCAGCTAGGAGCCGATTGATAGTTTTGAATCCTTCGGCTGCCGAATAATCGATACCTGTAACATGCCACAGGTCGACGATCATATATTTAATAGGATGCTCCCTAAAAGAGTCCTCGGATATTAGATTTCGAATTTTGGCCTCGACACCGACGATGGTACCAAAGAAGAGAAAACCGGATAATTTGATTACGTATGTCTGGCTACCAACTTCTCGGAGGTAGCGAAGTTGTGATGGGTTCCGTCTAACCATGGACCCAATTTGGTCTCCGGTATAAGTCGCTCGTATGGCTGAAACTTGAGATGCATGGAAAATAGCAGAAACAAAGGCGAGTATAATGCCAACGAAAATACCCACGACAAAATCGTACATTCCCATGGTGAGAACTATTACTACGATCTAAGGCAATTTCAAGTTAGTCTCAGGTATGTAGGTGTAAGACAATAAAGCAAAGCTTACCGTCAGGTATTCCAATAACTTGAGTTTGCGCCTTGGGGATATCAGGGCGTCTACTAATAACTCAAACCCGAGAACGAAGATCAAGGTGCCGACAACCATGACGGGAATGTAGCCTATGATCACTGGTCCGATCGTCATGACACCGAATGTAAGGCCTGCTAGCATGATACCCGCTAGACGACTGTCGCCACCTGATCTCATGAAGAATAGCGTATTAGCAAAGACTAGGTAGTTCTGGATACTTCCTGCGAGCCCAGACAGGAAGTTCGAGTAGCCGTGTAGTTTGAGTTCGTGATCTAAATCAAGATGATCTTCCCCGGAAATTTGCGCTAAAGCAGGAACATTAATAGGGACATGGAGTACGCTGAAGAAGGTCAACGCGAACATAGCCCCGACAGTTTCCAATATCGCTCCCCAATGAACAAGGTTAAATTCTATAGTTGCCAGTGAGTAATAAGTTCATCTCTAGAAATAGTTGAACTGCTCACTATAAAGAGTCCAGAAGTACCACCAAGGCTGCCCAGCCTCAGGGGCCTCAAAGATCCACCCGGCTTGCCTGAGGCTCTCGGGATTTAGACTATCTATCGTAAATACGAAGAAATAGAAGAAGAGCGGTACGGATAGAATATAGATCGGCAAGAAATATTTGGAAGTGATTTTCCTCTGAAGGCCGAAGAGAAGGATGGCCAGAGCAAGAGGGATGAGCCAGAGAGGCAAGGTGTCTGGCTGAATTAGTTTTCGCCCGGTATCGAGATCGTAGCGGAATTCCTCTAGTCGCGCTGAAACTTCAAAGCCCGTCGCGATGAGGAACCAGCCCACACCACCGATACATCCGATTAAAATATGGCGAGGGATGAAGCCGACGATATAGCCTAGTTTAAATCTTCCCATACAGTAGAAAACGAGACCGGTCAGCATGGAGCTAATAGCAAAGGAGGTTATCGTTGTAGCGATAACCGCGTCTGGTTGGTCCTCTCCTACTATCGCCGTAATAGTAGTCGCCATGTTATGAAAGAAAGGAACAACCTCGATCTATATACGTCAGTACATATTCGTAAATCGTAGAGTTCAAGAGTACTTACCAACTCTGATCCAACGGCGCCCCGAAACAGACTGCTGGTCGAGAAGGTCAGTTGTGAGATAATTGTGCTAACGTAGAATATCGATATTCCAGCCGGCCCGAGGTTCGAGAATATCGGGTTGCCCAAGGGGAATAAGATCATTCCTACAGATATTATTAGGCTCTTGGACCATAGCATGCTCTAGACTGTAACTTACCGTAAGATAAGGCATCAAGGATGTTAAGTAGAAGGCCGACGATCACAGCTGGCAAACAATGTATCGGGTCTATTATAGCCCTCCGCCAAACAACTTTCTTATCCCAAGTCTTTGGGTTCATTATACCTTTAACAGCACGAATTCTGTCTCGAATACCGCGACCGGTCGAAGACGGTCCCCAAGGCGGTGTTTTCGGTTTTTGAATTTCGATGTCGATATCTGTAACACTATCCGGAGACTCTGGTCTGTGAGATACCCTCCTGAGGAGAGGGGTGGTCTCTGATAATTCATCATCGGGTTCTGCTTGTAATACGCCTATCGATGGTAATTGCTGGCCATTTTGTGACATTGAATTACTACCGGTATCTAGACCGTGTAGAGACTCAGGTGGAGAACGTTTGAACATGGTCGTGAGTGCCGAGGGCCTAGAGTTGGGTGGCCCGTCCGTTTCAGATGCCAGTGAGGAGGGTTCGGAAACTTCGTCTATGGTGTCGGTGCTTGATGATTGCAAATCTCCTGTGGATGGCAGCTCATTCTGGAAGACTGGCTGGTCGCGGCTAGGGTGGGACGAGGTAGACGATATTCGATTGAGAAATGACGTGCTGCGCCTATCCTTCTTGTCTGAAAGCACGTATGAAGCGAGTTCGGCAGTGTCTTCACGGACACTGCGAGCAAAACTGGCACTGTCCACGGGAGCTTTGGAGGATGTTAATAAAAAGCACGGCGATGTAAGTATATAGACTTACACAAATGATCCCTAACAGAGCCAGGCACGAAAGATCTACTGGGCTCTCTATAGCTATGGGAATTAAGAGAAGACGAGAGCTGTCGTAAATCTCCTAGACCTAATCGCGAGCCTTGATCTGGAGTGGGCATTTGTCCAGGAACATCTACCGGATCTGGCTGAGAGGTAACGGATGAGGATCTTCTTCTCCAAGAAGAGAAACCGAACGATGGTGCCGCCATATTCTACGGTAAGGCGTGTACAAGCTCTCTATGTTGAATATATACATTGGTTGCCGAGCTACAGTGCGCGTGTGCGAGGAACGTTGGTGGACTACCAAGGTATTAGTCCTCGAGGCGCAACCATGATATACAATAGCGAATTCAAATTATACGTTAAAAGAAGTTAGGGGCGTTATATGGCTTGCATAGACGTAAGAAATATAAATTTATGAATTGACCAGTAAGAGTTAATAGTACCGTAGACAGAGAGCGAAGGGATTAAAAAAAAAAGGAGGATGTTCAAAGTCGCAAAGGTTGTTCGATGATAACGAGAGGATGTAATAGATCTAGACCTCACGAGATAGATAGAGGTAGCGTAGGAGGTAGCTATCAAGGAACTTCGACAGATCCACTAAACGCGCTAACTATAAAAGGTATTTATCAAGGAGTAATCCGTACTTACGTAGGACACGGAAAACTCTGGCGTATGGCCTTGACTTAATTGACAGGGGTATGGAGGGACATCTCCGATTCTAGAAAGACGCTTAAAGATTATTGGGTGGTGGGTCTCGACCTAATGCTATAATCTAATAGGTACATTACTTCGTAATACATCTATGATTTTAAATTTTTTATTTAATGCCATTGGGTAAGACAAACCTTTTTTTATAATATCTTCGTGTCACAAACTCGCCTTACACTCGTCTTCTTGACGACATCAAATATCTTGTCATCATCTGCCGTGCGGCTAATGACATCGAACCTTGGCCAAGTAGACGATCACGTAGTCCCCTCACCCGTTATTGAAGCTCTAACGTTCCAAGTTGTTTTTAGATCCTATAAATATTTGGGCTGCATGATGCAAACAGTCCTAGCTCATACATCCCGAGAGCGGATGCGGTTCATATCATATATGTTCCAATAGCTGACAGGCACTCGGATGGCATTGAGCTGTTAGACCGTGTGAATCAGGTAATTCAGCTCGTCCTCTCCATTTTCAGCTCGAATTCTACGAGGTTTTCGGTGGTTTGGATATTTTATGGCCCCTGAATATCCTACCGTCAACACCACTCACCGCAAACATGGAGCCGGCTAGTCTAATCCTGGCTCCTAAACTATAATATGCAAAATATCCCTCAGCTATATTTGGAACGAGACTTCGCTTCGTGATTCACGATGCATTTGCGTTTCTCCTCACTATCAACGCTTCCGGCCCTTCTACGATCACAGCAGGACAAGTCGGACGTCGATCTCTCATCGTGAGGTCTATTACGTATTTTAAAGCCATGGTATTCGTCGAGTCGATTTGTGGTACCTTTTGGACGGAACGGTCCTTGTCAATGCGACACGATCAATAACGTATGTACAGCCTACCCTTGAAGAAGCCCGCCGAAAAGTTTGGTTGTCAGGTGTGAAGTTGAGTATTTCCAGGAGCCTCCAATTCTTCTCCACATTCAATCCTCCCATTCGCTCCCCACATATGCCAATCCTCCAACTGAATGGCCAGCACGGCCAACGTTGTATTCCGTATGGTTCAGTAGCCCTTACGCCCTGGGCCGTGAGCTGGAACGCGCCAATTGAGGGGCTGCATTTGCATATGTGACCTATCACTTAGGTACTGTGCTCATCGTTGTGCTATGCTACCTATTATGAATGAATAATAGTCTGTATCGGGTAATTTGGCACGCATTCGCGTCGGATAGAGGACATCAAGCAAGAATCATTCCACTTCGTTACGAAGCTCCCGTTACCATCTATGTAGACGCACTAAGTTTTACCGGGCATATCTTTTGCTTTTCGAGGTAAACACGTTCCACTGAAAGTTGACTTCGGCGCAACGGTTCTCAGTCATGGTCGGTAATTGGCCTTGAACTATAGGCCAAGCGCCCGGTTGTACCACTTGCATTCGGTCGTCATGTGCGCCTCTTGTTGCGATTTATTCCGTCAGAATTGCAAATCTGGTTTGCCACAACTTAATTGGGAAGAGACCATTTGTGCATATATGTTGCCAGCCCTTCCAACAGGCAAACAAGCTTCCGGGGAATCAACCTTATGCCGCCGGGATGGGAGCTCTTTGCTTTTTTTTTAATTGGCCTAACCGCATGCGGGAGTAGATCGGACGGAACTATAGGCAACGCGTAATTCGGTCTGGCCTAGTTCGTCTGATGTCTAGACGAGGCGTGGTTCTTCCCCAGAATACATTAAATAGGACGGACTGCACCCCAGGTCCGTTCAACTGAGCTTTTGGAGGTAGCCTTGGGCGATCAGACGTTCTACATCACCCTGCCTGACGTAAAATTGACTGTTTTTAGTAAGCGTGATCGCGCTGCAATGGCATATTAGTATACTTTCTTCCTACTTTATTTGGATGCCCACTCTCTTACCCGTATTCGGTTTGGATTTCGCCCGCATCCTTTAGCACCCGTACGTCAATGAAGAGGTCGCGAGGAGGTTCGAGACTTCCTGTAAGATCGATATCTGTCCATTGGCCTTTATAAGCAGCTAGTAGATCGCTGTACTGTCGCACGTAATCTTCCTCCTGCGGACTTAAGCTGCTCGTACCACTATTGCTAGATGCCATACCCGGGGTGCCGTTGAGTCCGCCTTGGCCGTCCCTAACTTGCTGCCCGGCAAGATCAACTACGTCGTAGCCTTTCCATACAAGCTCTTCGAGCCTGTCTGCTCGCGTTCGGTGATAAGCTAACAGGCAACGCTTGTTCCGCCGCATGGATAAATGGTTTATAAGTAGAGTACATGCCGTAGCCTGGTTGTCGGCTGGGTTGAAGGACCCCTGGAACGGTTCTAACATATCTACCACATCTTTTTCCAAGTCGCGAACCTCTCGTGTGGCTGCACGTACTAGTTCAGTCTGATATGGTGGTAAGTGTGACAAATTTTGAGTTCTTTTTGCATGTTGAACCTGATATTATTTAGTGATAACTTCTCATTTCAACAGATGTCCAATATAAGCATAAGCTACTTACGAGTTTGTTTCCCAGATCGCCGTACATTTTTGATAAATTCGTATACCGATATAAAGGCCTAAATGAGATGAATAGTCGTGTAAGTGAAGTAAGATAAGACCGAGGTACTAAAAGGTCGAAAGGCGCGTATGAAATTCGAAAACGCGTTTCACTTTTTAGGTAATTTCTACGGAGTACACTAGGGGGCGGGGTCAAGTCAGTGAGGAAGGGACTATGTAGTATGTAGGTAGGTACATAGTACGGTGGGGTTCTATACTTTTAGTATGGCGCAATGTACTTGAAGACTTCAACACCGAGGGGTTAGTGGGGCTGACACCTCCGACCCCGCCATGAGCTCGAAATTTTATTTTTCTCGCTCTCATATTATCACGGCCGTAACGGCGCCATTATACTTGTTACTCGTCACAAGTGATAGAAACGGATTAGACGAGTCTGTTTAAGCTCGGTCATTCTCCGTAGTCTTATCATCCCAACAATTTAATCCAAGTCATATCGTCGTCAATCTATCGTGTGCGCTTCCCGTCGATTCGTGAATCCATCTACCTCCTCTACCATAAATCTCTCTTTCCGATCGAAACAATTACAATTGGATCCTACACAAATCCGTCGCAATGTCGGCAACTCAGAGAATCGCCATACTTTCCGTCTTCGACAAGACTGGCCTGTTGGACCTAGCTAAGGGCCTCGTGCAACAGAATGTGCGAATTCTGGCATCTGGAGGCACGGCTAGGATGATTCGCGAGTCTGGATTCCCGGTCGAGTAAGATAACTAGCAACTCAATTTCGTATTTATATACCTAGATGTTTTGGGACTGACTCCAAGAAGGGATATCTCTGCCATCACGAAAGCGCCAGAGATGCTTTCCGGTCGAGTAAAGACCTTGCACCCGGCTGTCCACGCCGGTATACTTGCGCGCAACCTGGCCACCGACGAGAAAGACCTTGCTGAGCAGAGTATCGAAAAGGTCGACTATGTCATCTGCAACTTATACCCGTTCAAGGACACTGTATCTAAGCCCAATGTCACTGTCCCCGAAGCCGTAGAGGAGATCGACATAGGAGGTGTAACGCTTATCCGAGCGGCTGCCAAGAACCACTCCCGCGTCACCATCCTTAGCGACCCCAATGACTATCCCGAATTTCTAAGGGAGCTCGAGAATGGAGAGATCAAGGAGGATAGCCGTAAGAGATATGCCCTTAAGGCTTTTGAGCACACAGCCGATTATGATGCTCACATCGCTGGTTTCTTCCGTGCGCGATATGCTGGTGAAGGCCAAGAGTACCAACAATACTTACCTCTCCGATACGGCGCCAACCCTCACCAAAAGCCTGCTGCTGCGTACATAACATCTAAAAAGTTACCATTCAAGGTTCTTGGCGGTGCCCCCGGATATATCAACCTACTTGATGCCTTGAACAGCTGGCCGCTGGTTAAGGAGCTGAAGAAGTCACTTGGAAAACCCGCAGCTGCCAGTTTCAAGCATGTTTCCCCCGCTGGTGCTGCCATTGGCGTTCCTCTAAGCGCCGAGGAGCGCAAGGTTTACTTCGTCGACGATATCCAAGGCATTGAGACTTCAGGCCTTGCCCAGGCTTACGCTCGAGCCCGAGGAGCTGACCGGATGAGCAGCTTTGGCGATATCATTGCCCTGAGTGACGTGGTTGATGTTCCTACCGCTAGCATCATTTCCAAGGAGGTCTCTGACGGTGTCATTGCGCCTGGATATGAGGATGCCGCGTTGGAAATCCTTAAGAAAAAGAAGGGTGGCAAGTACCTTGTTCTGCAGATAGATCCTGAGTACCAGCCAGACCCTACTGAGGTCCGAACTGTGTATGGAGTAACCCTCACCCAGCACCGTAACGACATTGAACTTTCTCCGTCTTCTTTCACTCGAACTATCACGCCGAAGGATTTTGCCCTCCCTGAGGCTGCTGCTAGAGACTTAACAGTTGCCACAATCGCCCTCAAGTACACACAGAGCAACTCCGTGTGCTACGCCAAGAACGGGCAGGTCGTCGGTCTCGGTGCTGGTCAGCAGTCCCGCATTCACTGCACTCGGTTGGCCGGCGATAAGGCCGACAACTGGTGGCTGCGCTTCCACCCCCGCGTCCTCGGCATCAAGTGGAAGAAGGGCACCAAGCGCCCCGATAAGAGCAACGCTATCGACCTTCTAGTGAGTGGCGAGCTGCCCAAGGGCGGTCCCGAGCGTGAAGCATTCGAGTCTGTCTTCGAGGAGATTCCCGCTGCCTTCACCGAAGACGAGCGCAACGACTGGCTTAGTAAGCTAGGCGATGTCGCTGTTTCTAGCGATGCTTTCGTAAGTACACCTTCATTTATTACTTTGCTCCTTGAAGTTGTAGCGAATAATTTAATTAACGTTGATTCTACAGTTCCCCTTCGTCGACAACATCTACCGCGCCCACCGCTCCGGCGCAAAGTACATCGCAGCACCCGGCGGCAGTCAGAACGACTCCGCCGTCTACGAGACGGCTGAGAAGCTCGGCATCGTCTTCGTAGAGCAGAACATCCGACTCTTCCACCACTAGAAGGTGGCATCAAACGGTATGTGTGGTCTAGTACCTGGCACAGGGTAAAGGACGGCTGGGATAGATAAAAACAAGGGGAATAGGAGGGAAATAAGAAAAACCAAATGTTATGAAACATACGAAGATATATACCCAGTGTGATAAGGGGAATATGGGTAGGATGGATGGAGTAGGTACTGGTCTGGGAATATTAAACGTCCCTGTACAAGGCTCCTAAAAGGTTCCTGAGTAGCAGAATTATCTTTTAACAAGAATATTCAAACAATCTAAGACACGAGACCGGGTGAATGTTATGAATTTGACTCTGGATTTTCTTTCGAGAGCAGCTATCATGGATAGATCTAACATAGCTCATCTCCCCCTTGACACGGAAGCGCACACTTAAGTCTTCAAGTCCAAATAGTTCATCAGGGCAAGTCTCCTATTAGCATTTCAATGCATCTACTCTAAGCATATGTCCTCTATGGAACTTTGTCTCGATAGAGATATCAGCCTGATGTCATATCATCCATCCAACCTCATCACAATCATCGGCCATCCTTTGTGGCTCTCAAGTCGTGTATCATGCATTGAGTGTTGGTGCAAGAATGTCGTCTTCCAACGAAGATAGTTGTTTACAGCTTCTGCATAGCGGCCTATAATTTGATTAATATATGAAGAAAGAATTTTGGTGGCGATTTGGAAACTTACAACATCGGTAGACTGGACGTAGTCCTCGAATCCTTGGATCTCCTCCTCGAGGTCACTGAGGGAGATCTTCTCGTCCTCAATGACGAGGTTGATTTGTAGCTTCTTGATACCGAAACCAACGGGCACCAGCTTGGAGGCACCCCAGACTAGACCGTCCTTCTCAATTCCACGGACAGCGGCCTCAAGAGCAGCCATATCGGTCTCATCATCTATATGACGCATTAGCTTAAACGTTATATCTAGCGGGAAATTACGCAATCATACCCCAGGGCTTGACGTCCAGAGTGACGACAGACTTGGCGATGGTCTTGGGCTTGGCCGCCTTCTTCTCTCGGTAAGCAGCCAGACGCTCCTCACGGACACGGACGGCCTCAGCATCTTCCTCCTCATCGTCACTGCCGAATAGGTCGACATCATCATCCTCCTCCTCCTCGGCAGCAGGTGCCTTAGCGGGGTTTAGGGTAGCGGCAACCTCCTCAGGGCCGTAGACGGTGTAGGGCTTGGAAGCGTCACCGGGCAGAGTGGGGAACTCATCCTCGAAAGAGGCGATGTGCTTGTACCATCGTGCGGCGTGAGGGTACTTGGCGGCTTCGGGCGCAGAGGTAATGGCCTTGAAGACGGCAACATCGGCCTGGGAGGGAGCGTAGCTTTTGTGAGTCAGCTACGAGTTCTTTGCGTATATGGGAGAATCAAGCGCGAGCAACGAGGATATGGATGGTATATTGTAAAATCAGAGATGCACAGAGTGCTATTGTATTTGTCCTCCTTGGCAGGTCTTGAATCTGCTCAGAAACACGGACCAATGTTTCTCATCATGATGGGTAATTGGGCTCGTAAGGCACTTTGATAAAGAGGGGCACTATCGCGGTGTCGCATTCGACGATGGCGCAGGGTTTTAAGGAAATAATTGCAGATGACTTACCCAGTGACGTATGAACGGGTGGTCAACCAGCTGTTAAGGACTGTATCGTATCGTCGTTAGCCGTTGTCAAAGTAATGAGGGGTGCCCAGACCAGACGAGAGATCCTAATAGAAGAAAGTATCAAGGAACCCCGCCGTGGAACTACGAATCGGACAAAAAAAACATACCAGCCAAACCGGCGTCGCTCAGAAGATCGATGAAGCCCATTTTTACGACTTGAATGAAGGAGAATGGAGAATGGAGAATAGAGAATCTGTATAATGAAACTCGGGGGTATCTTGGGAAGAGAAGAAACAAAAGCCTGTGAAGATGTGAAGAAATAAGAAGACGCAAGGTGGGGTTGAGGTATGGTGGGATGTATTTTGAAATTTTTCGAGCGAGGGTTGATCAAATCACCCGGAAACATTCTGACATTTAGGTTAGGTACCTAACTTACTTACCAGCCACACTTTACCCCCCAATTGAGTTCCAAGGTTGCCATATGCACAGTACCTAGGTACCTAGGATCCACTTAGAATAGCCACAGCTTGCCACCAGAATTGAGTCAATTGACATCCATACATCCATACCTAATGGCCCACTATCTTTATCGCAAACTATAACTTATCGATAATGGTAATAACTGGAGCTTCGACGGTGGTTCGACAGTTCGAGAAAGGTCCAGAGGCAGCTACAACCGCATTAGCTTGGAGCTCTCATGATATGTATTTCATAACCGTCCGGGGTTCCATGGTTCGTTTGTTTCTTTTCTTTCTTTCTTAATTTATTCTACTAGCAACTAGCAACTAGCAACTAGCAATTATACAATATGCAACCTTAATCTTCTCACCATGTTAGCGAGAACTCAATTACTTGGATCTTCACGACGAGTGGCAGACGCCTCGTCGAGGGGACTAGCTCGACTTAATGTAGCCCCTTCACAACTATCGAGAGCTGCGCTCATAACAACGGCAAAAGCAATACCCAATGTCACTCTACCCGCTCCTACATATCGAACATACGCAAATGGCCGACCTCGTCCGCCGGGTGGTACGCATCGAATGGACATGAGCGGAGAGCCCGAGAAGCCAGCCTTGGAGCAATATGGAATTGATCTTACAGCGAAGGCGAGAGATGGAAAGTTGGACCCCGTTATTGGCAGGGATGCCGAAATCCAACGGACCATTCAGGTTCTGTCGCGACGAACCAAGAATAACCCAGTCCTGATCGGAAACGCAGGAACGGGAAAGACAGCAATCTTAGAGGGTCTAGCGCTGCGGATAGTACGGGGTGATGTTCCAGAGAGTATAAAAAACAAGAGAGTTATATCGCTAGACTTAGGATCGCTCATCGCCGGTGCCAAGTTTCGGGGTGACTTCGAAGAGCGTTTGAAGAAGATCTTGGCTGAGGTCCAACAAGCGCATGGTGAAGTCATCTTGTTTATCGACGAATTGCACACTCTCCTTGGCCTTGGAAAGGCCGAGGGCTCTATCGATGCCTCGAATCTGCTCAAGCCGGCTCTATCTAGAGGAGAACTGCAATGCTGCGGTGCTACCACTCTAGCTGAGTATCGGCTGATTGAGAAAGATGTGGCTCTAGCCAGACGGTTCCAGCCTATCTTGGTAAATGAACCTTCCGTGGAGGATACAATCAGTATATTACGAGGTATCAAAGACAAGTATGAAGTCCATCATGGTGTCAGAATCACGGACGGAGCTCTCGTGGCGGCTGCAACGTATTCGAACCGCTACATCACAGATCGTTTCCTCCCTGATAAGGCTATCGATTTGATGGACGAGGCAGCAAGCTCGTTACGTTTGCAGCAGGAGAGCAAGCCCGAAGATATTATGCGACTCGATCAGAAAATCATGACAATACAGATTGAGCTAGAAAGTCTGCGAAAAGAGAAGGATGTAGCCAGTCGCGAACGACGCGAAAAGCTCGAGGAGGACCTCAAGAAATTACAAGAGGAGGACAAGGCTTTAACCGAAAGGTGGGAAAAGGAACGAGCAGAGATTAATGCTATAAAGAAAATTCAGGAGGAACTAGACAAAGCCCGCATCGAACTCGAACAAGCGCAAAGATCGGGTAACTTTGGCCGGGCCTCTGAACTGCGCTTCGGCATCATCCCGAACCTAGAGCGGAAACTTCCCAAGGACGGTGAGATGGCGCCGGGTGCGCAAGGCCCCGATACCTTAATCCATGATTCGGTGACGGCAGATGATATCGCAAACGTCGTCTCGAGAATCACTGGAATCCCTGTGTCTAAGTTGACTCAGGGACACATCGAGAAGTTGATACACATGGAAGACACGCTGCGTGAATCCGTCCGCGGCCAGGACGAAGCCCTCAAAGCCGTCGCGGACGCTGTGCGCATGCAGCGCGCTGGCCTAAGCGGCGATAACCGCCCTCTAGCATCGTTCTTCTTCCTCGGTCCTACCGGTGTCGGTAAAACTGAGCTGTGCAAGAAACTCGCCAACTTCCTATTCTCAACCGAGTCTGCCGTAGTCCGCTTCGATATGAGTGAGTTCCAGGAAAAGCACACGATATCGCGACTCATCGGCGCACCCTCCGGCTACGTCGGGTACGACGACGCAGGCCAGCTAACGGAAGCCGTGCGCCGGAAGCCCTACGCAGTCCTCCTCCTCGACGAGTTCGAGAAGGCGCACCGCGATATATCGGCACTGCTTCTCCAGGTTCTTGACGAGGGCTACCTGACGGACGCGCAGGGCCACAAGGTGGACTTCCGGAACACGATTATCGTACTGACTTCAAACCTCGGCGCGGATATCCTGGTTGGCGCCAATGCGCACCACCCGTACTCGGAGACTCCCGACGGCGAAATCAGCCCCGAAGTGCGCAAGGCCGTCCTCGACGTCGTAGCAAGCAGTTACCCGCCCGAGTTCCTCAACCGTATCGACTCGTTCATCGTGTTCAAGCGCCTCACACTCGACGCCCTGCGGGATATCGTCGACATCCGGTTGCGCGAGTTACAGACGCGGCTGGATGACCGCCGCATCAAGCTTGAAGTCGACGATGCGGTGCGCGGGTGGCTAGCGGAGCGGGGCTACGACCCCAAGTTCGGTGCTAGGCCGCTGAATCGCCTTATCACGACCGAGATCAGCAATGGGCTTGCGGATAAGATTATTCGCGGCGAGTTGAAGAGGGGCGATAAGGCGGCTGTTCGTATCAAGGAGGATAATTCTGGACTGGAAGTATATACCGTGGCGACGGCGGAGTCGGAGCAGCAACAGCAACAGTAGAAAGATTCTTCGTAATTCGGGCTTAAGCTTGTTGTTGGGTTGAGGAATTGTTTTAATGGCGTTTGTGGGGAAAAGGAATGAGACTCGGTGTATGAAAAGGGGCATTTGGGATGCGGAATGGTTATGTGAGATGATATTTGTATAGTATTGTATGGATAAGGGTGAGGAATATACACCTCATAGGTACCCAAGGTACACACCTCTCTCGCTTCGTATTGTATATATGAATACTGCATATGAATATTGCTATTTGTTTAATAGCTATGTTGATATTCTACTCAAAGCAAGGATCTATTTTCAGTATTCACCAGTGAATTCCACACTTAACCAACTCATCGTACTCACTACTTCGACGTATAAAGCTATTCATGCAATTTCAAACGACGATACAATCTTAAATTTAATATATTATTCTAATATTCGATTTCCCCAAGGTAAAAATCTTGCGTCTTGCGATAATATATATATATATATATACAACTTTTAACGTCGTCGACGTGTTCCCATGTAACCCAGGGGTAATAATATATTCCTTTCCTTTCCTTTCCTTTCCTTTCCTTCCCTACCCTATACCTAGCGGTATACCTACCCCCCATATATATATACCAACCCAATTGCTATCCCGCCCGTGCGAAGAGGCAAAATGCATGCATGTGCTGTTTGATGATCCTCAACTCCGGGCCTGATATGCCATTTACATACATGACTATACAAAGGGAAGAAATTACTGATTACTATGTCTCTCTCCCTCTCTCTCTCTTTTTCTAAGAGGACTCGACAAGGAGCTATCACACCGCCGTCCCGGGCCTCTTCTCCTCGCGCGCGAGCTCGGTAACGTCGAAGTTAGAGCTTGGCCGATGGCGCATCAGCACGGTCCGTAAAAATGGCGAGCCATACATCTGCTCGTGGAAACCGAGTATACCCGCGCTTCCGAAGGAGCCGCGCGCTTGCTGCTGGGACTCGTGGGATAGCGAGATGTCCAAGTCCTCGGATGGGTCTGGGCTCGACTCCCTTTGCCGTGGTTGGAAGGTGTCTTCGCCCTCCGAATTGCCGCCTTCTGGGGTGGTTGCTGGCGGTGATGAGAAGGTGAAGTCTGGTTTGGATTGTGCCAAGGTGTCCACGGGAGTCTTAACTGCCCCGTTAACCGGTGGTTTCTGGTTAGGCTTTGAGTTGGCGACTTTAGTGCTATTCTTCAGGGACACTTTATCGCTTTCTGGGAGGGCAATACTGCTTTGACTTTGTATGGTTTCGCTCACACGAAGTGGCGACGAGCTTGCCGGTTTCGTGGTGAGTTGTGGAGATGGCGTGCGAAACAGCTGGCTTTTTAGCAGGTCCTGTTGTGCTTCTACGCTCATGTTCCCCGACTCCCTAACGTCTTCGTCGTCGCTGTCGATAATTGCATTCTTAGGGTAGTCCACCTCGGCACTAAGACGATGCGTCTTAGGAGTTATCACTATAATATTTATAAAGGTTAGTAATTGCTATCGGGGAGTAGTTTTATTCACCGGAAACACGATTCAGGGTACCCCCCAAAATACAAGACATTTGAAAGAGGTTGTTAGGAGAACAAAGGATCGCCACTGGAAATACTTACAAAGACTACTGCCAGGAGAAGAGTCGCCCCCAAACACCAGACTAGGCGTCGAAGCAATCGAGTGCTCATAGATTGGGGTTGACTCTACTCCCTTCTCTTGGGTTGCCGTTACAGCCGCCTCTTTCCCTTCGGGCTCCCCAGGTTTTAGAATACTTTGTTGGGAAGTCAACGTCGATGGCTTGTGTAGTAAGCCGATGGTTTCCTGCTGACCGAATATATCCTGCTGTGATTTCCTCTCGCCTAAGCCTTCGAGTTCTCCGTAACTATGTGCCCATGGCACTAATGGGAAGACTCTAGCACCCGTTTTTGAGTAGTATAAGACCATCGACGATCGCCGCACGGGAATGGGAGGACGACGGGTCGGGGACGGTGGTGCGGAATGTGCTTTTGGGGTAGCTTCAGGAGTAGGAGTAAAGGGTCTTGGATGTTCGTTCTCTATCACGCTCTTCGAGCTTGGAACGACCGCACTGGCTTCTGCATCCGTTGTTAAATATGAAGGGGCTTTATGCTGTTCTGAAGTATTTTTCGAGGCAGACTCAGCAGTCTTAGGTCTGCTTATAAAGGTTATAGCGTCTGTATTCCGAGTATCTCGAGTATCTCGAGTAAGCGGCCTCTGTTCCAAAATGGAAGCTTCCTTTCTAGCATCTTCCTCTCTCTCTTCTGCGTCGTCAACTGTTAGGGTATCTTTGCAGACCATCTCAATAGCCCGCTCAATGCGCTGTTGGAGCCGTTTCAATACGTAATCCTTCGGCTTCCCAGTTGATTTGGTCTTCTTCTTTTCCTCCGCCTCAAGGGGTTCTCTGGTCACGAAAGTCTTGTCCAATATAAAATGGCCTCGCTTGTGCGCAGTCATTCGAACGGAGATGGCATTACCTCGAAGTATTTCTGCAACGCTGGCTTGAATCCGATCCAGTATCGCTTCGATATCTCTCCGGGAATGGAAATTAGAGGAAGGCAAAGTAAAAATGAGCGGCTCATCCAGCGCCCAGCCATGACCACGAAGTTCTGTAATCCTAAATTCAAGATCGTTCATCCGACTAATGACCTTATCGGCATCATCTCGAACTTTAGCGAGAGCAACTTCTACTTGGTTGATAAATGTCACACATTTTTCGGTGTCGGAATGAAAGGAGAAGTTGCTATTGCAGTGTACAGTCCGCTCTAGGTGAAGGAATTGAGGACCGAGGTTATTCACGATCGAAAGTTGCAATTCCAACCCATCATTATCATGATGACGACAGTCTTTACATCCATCCAAGTTCACACACTTGCTGTGTTTATTATTAAATGTCTCTCTTTCTGATCGCAAAACGCCGTCTAATGCGTAAGATGCCTCGAAGAATAAGTTCTCTGCCCCGATCGAATTCAGTGGTGCAGCTTGGTCACTGTCGACTTTGACTTTCGTATGCCATTCGTGTGGCTTTCGACGCTGACATCGACTCGTGAAGGAGAAGTTGATCGTATAACCGGGTAATGACTCGAAAGATTGTGATTTCTCCAGGAAGTGGGAGCGTGGTACGCACGACATAGGCTGAACACGTCCGGCCCGATGTGGGAACTTCGCCTGTTCGTCTAACGGGTCTTCTCTTACGAAACCCTCCTTCATGACAAAATCCTGATCGTGGTGTTTTAAAAACAACCCTATTATGTGATGAGTCGATGTGATAATCTCTCTTGCGGCTTCGTTTGATAGGGCCTGCTTTTGATATGACTTGAAAGTCCTAGAAGACCATATCTCGGACCAACCCCGAATAATATCGATCTGGATCTCATATCTCAATGGCTTATCCGTACCACTTGCGGCGGCATATTCCATGGCGGTTGAGTCTTTGCGGGTGATCAACTCGTAGCAACAGTGATCAACCCGTCGCAATAGACCTTGGCATAATGCGTCGGTGGCCAGGAAATCGGGCGAAGTCTCATAGCTACGACTGTACGAGTAATTCAATGGCTCATCAAAAGTGATAGTGACCTGCACGGCGAGACTTGCTACAGGAAGAGAGCTTTGCGATGAGGACAGTAACTTCGGCTCGGGAGTTTCGATCTTTGGAATATTGACCTCGGGTTCATCAATCTCGGCATTACCAATGGCGGGATCGTCGATATCTGGGATGTTGATCTCGGGGACGGTGGTCTCAGAGACAGAGATGGGGACTTCAGAGGCCTGGGAGGGCTGGAAGGGCTGAGGGATAAGCGCAGGGGAAGACCCCACCGCCAACACTTCCTGACCCTCTTTCCTTTCATGACGATGAACCCTGAACTTTTTTACATCATTGACGAAGCTTTTGAACTTTCCGGGGAAGGCCCCCGACTTGGTCCTCCGTTTCGACGAGACGGAATCCATTGTGTAGGTCCTCGTAGACGAGAATGTAGACAAATGAGCAATGGAACATGTCTATTAGAGTATGCTAGAAAAAAGAAGAGAATGTGATACACATGGCTGTATAGATATGAAATATACGTCAGTTCTGCCCAAGTAAATCGGTACCCGCGGCTATCAAGATCTCACGTAGGACTTATAACATGCCACATATTGCGAGGCACACCCACCAACTTTGGCATGCATAGCCGTACGGATGGTATGATAGGGGGCATCCTTTCTGTGGAACTTGGTGATAAATCGCGGCATTCCAAGCTCTTGCTACGAACGCGTTCTGGTACTGGACCGGCCAGAATCGGGAGAGATAAGTCTTAGGTAGAAAGATGTAGAAAGAGGTTAGATACTATGTATGTAATCCAATCAATACAACCAGCAAATCACGCAGAGACAACACAACATACCAGTAAGGCGGCGGACCCCGTTGGTATGTAGCTGGAGCCTGGTTGATAGCGTTGGGTATCCATACGACTATGGGGTGGAACTAGGGGCGGAGCAGAATAATATGGTGGTGTGATTCCCATTCGTCCGATCTTGAGCGATTTTGACGCCTCTCTTCTATGATTTGCAGGTAGTATTACCGGCTCTTCTTGCGTGCATTAGTACCCAGCATACATTTCCAGTACGTTGACCCAACATTGAGATATTTAAAGATGGAGGGTTTCGTTCGGACGAATGAATTGCGAAGTAAACTAGATAAAGTACCTAATGCACTACATATGAGGCTGTGAGGTGGCTAAAGTAAGGCAAAGACTAAGGCGTACCAAAAGTACGGGGAGGTACATCTGTGGGGTATTCTTTTAGGCTACCCGCACTTTCGGCAAACACCGGGACCCAACTACCAGGACCGCGGGACGGGTCCCTCTTATTTTAATTGGAACCCTAAAAGAAGACCGATTGCATCAATTCATCAATTCACCATCATGCGTAACAATCAGCCGTTCTAGAAATAAAATTACGATACCATATTCCTTCAAGTTAATTAATCTTAAACCATCCTATAGTACAGGAAACAGATGTATTTGGGTATTTTAGAGACTAAAGTATGTACGAGACGTAAAGGGGGTAAATTCCAATAAGACGTCAGACAGGTGATGCTTCGTTCCTCATTCCAGGGCCTTCCTCGCATGCATATATGTATATGGTAAAAAGATGGAATGAAAGCTAGAGATTTCCAGAAGCTTAACGAACAGCATTGGCTGCTTTCAGGAGTTAAATCTCATATAGCACAAGATGCCTTGTTCTCCATGTATGTAACTTACGCTAGTGTCTCTCATACACCAACATATTTGCCATGATATTTGCCGTGGGTTTTCTTTTCTTTTCCTTTAATACACAGTTGAAAGGTCCTCATCCACCTTCATTTAAGATGATCCACACAGCACCAGGCAGCCTTGCCTCTCCTCAAGGGTGCCTACAGACAAGTTCTGTTTGAATATAAAGTAACCAGTTAGTTAAACCAAAAACATGTAGACAAACGAGATAAAAGAGACCCGTGGAATATGTAGCAAGATGTTCTCGCTTCCTAGCTAGGAAGCTTTCGGTCTTCCGCAGTTACATATAAGCCCTCCTCCCTAGCAGCTTTTGGTCAGCCGCTAGCAATCATCGATCAAGTGACTGTGACAACAGCGAAGGAGCCAATCAACATATAAAAATACAGGCCAAGAGATATACGATTCAGGTTTTCGTATCAGAATCATTAACCATGGGCCCGAAGAGCAAAACGGTCGCCAATCACTCCCCCACAAGAACCACGTCAGACCAGGCTGAAAAGAAAATAAGGTACCCAACATACTGGATCCGATACTTCGAATCGGGGGAGCTCGAAGTCTGGCAGACCATGATGTATCTTCTAGGCTTCGCTGAGAAGTTTACAAGCAAGAACCAGTGCCGAAAGGTACGGGATATTCCCTCTCGCTACAAGACCTCGCGTCTATCACTAATTTCTTCCTCTAGGCTCTCAAACACACTTGGGTGAACATAGTAGACTTCTTCGAAGCCATCAAGACATGTAGCAGGCCGCAATTCTTCCCCAACCATTACCAGCTAAGCAGGTACACAATCAGAACCAGAAAGTTCTTCCCTAAGAAGTTGTTATCAAAGGGCAGTCCGCTTTGGCAACTATTCTCCAACATTGTCCCCAAACAGGGCCGAGATTGCGATTGAGTTCATAGCACAGGACATGGTAGGGTCTTATTCCTGAAAGAAACCAGATCCGAGAACATAATAGTACAGTATGTAACGCGTGAATACGGATTGCCTACGATTTGCCTATGATTTGCCTACAGCAGAATCCGCTATCTCCCCATCTAGCTTCGGATCTCCCATAATCTAATTTTTCCAGCATCGTTGCCAACAGCCAGCAAGTCGCTCTTTCTACCAAATGCCACATCTGAAATCCTACCAAGGGGCGTCTGTTCCGTCGGCCAGTTCCTGTAGACCGTGCAGCTTGGCAAATGCGCCAGTCGTAGCGCATCCTTCTTGTGCTTGCTGCCAAATGCCAACAGTTGGCCGTCGGGACTGAATGTAAGAACCGTGACCGGAGTCGTTAGCTGCATGAATCTTCGGGTCGGTTCGGGTCTTTCCTGGACTTCCAGCTCTTCGTCCGAAGAAGGCAATATCAGAGCTTGCCGATCATAGATGTTTGTCACGCCACTGTTGGACCCAATTGCTATCCACCGGTCCCCGCCGAGAGTGACAGGACCGTCCCGGCCCCCCATTGCCATCACCGTTCCTCCGTTAGAGCCTTCGTCATTCCAGATCGCAAGGAAGCGCCTCGTAGCCATACTCCATTCACCAACCTGACCTCCCCTGCCCAAAATTGTAAGCCCATGACCATTACTCCACCAGGAGAAATCCGCAATGCCTCCTCTGCTGTCGAGCCTGGCGGCAGCAACCCATTGCATGGTATTAGCGTTCAAGATATTGATAATACCGCCGCCTTTCCTTGTCGAAGCGATTAGTGCCAAGTATTGCCCGCAGGGGCTGAGCTTAAAACGCTCCCACGTTCTTTGCTCTAACTGATGACCTTGTACTTTGTTGGTCTTTTGTATCGTACCAGTAGCCAAGTCCCACGAGTGAATATATCGTCGCCGTCCAGCGAAAAAGATTTTATCACCGGTAGGATACAGAAATTCGGCTCTCCGAACGGGTACTTGTTTGACTTGTACCGACGTCAAGAGGGGGTTTGGAGTTGGGTGGGCAGTTGGCGCGATGTGGTGTAGGTGTAATACAGAGGATGTGCTAGAAGACAGTAGAACAGGGTATTCTGGGTGGAAAGCAAGAGATGTGACTTCGTCCTTGTGTGTATCGGGTATATCTCGAGATCGTTGAATGTCAATGACCTCTGGACGTAGCTTTTTCACCTTCTGAGTGTTTTTATCTTTCAATGTACTGGCATCCCGGAGGAACTTTTCCAGCGGTAGCGCAGACGCTTCATCATCCCCTTCATTTGCTTCGTCGTCCGATATCCTTGAGTCGCTTGCCGCCGCAGATGACCGCCGACGACGCTTCGCTGGGCGTTCCTCGGCCTCTCGCGCCCACCCGGGAAGGGGATTCAGCCGAAGATATTGTTGTCTTAGTCTTCTAGTATATTCAGTGCCACTGATAACGTCTTCTGCCTCGCTGATCCGTAGTTTTCGCAATTGGGATACGTCCGCCAGTGATATAGTTAACTTCTCGTCGTCACTATCTTCCCAAGCAGGCCGATTCTTCTCTGGTGTTTCCGGGCTTTTGGGGACCAATGGTACTACAGCGGCTTTGTCACCGCTGGGGACAGCACCCCCTACGTCGAAAGTGAAGAGGTCTGCATCGTCTACATCCTCCAAACCTGTCTCAAGGTCGTCCCCTTCTTTTTCAGCGAGGCCACCAAAAATATTTCCTGCATCGTCGACTCTCGACTCGTCGCGAAACAAGTTTTCACGGAAATTGGCCGTATCCCCAAGTACAAATCGTTCGAGCTCCTCTTCGTCAGAGTCTTTGTCAATCACTTGCGCCTGGCGGGTCTGCAGCTCAATTTCTTCGTCGCTACCGAAGTCGGATTCCTCTTGGCTGAATGATGATGCATGTCCTTCGTCGTCCATTGTATCTATTTGGCGGTTTCGAGACATTGTGGTTCGCCGACTCAATTCGCTTGTCGAAGGTGGATGCGATAGAATTTCCATCGTAGCAAAAATCCAAGCTTTTTTTTTTTCGAGCTCACAGTAGCCTTACAGATGGCCCCACTATCTAGTGCTACTACCCTGTAGCTTCGGTACGTACCGGCCCCCCTTTTATTCACTCTCGCGATAGTAGGTACATAGGTATATACAACGAGGTATTCTTTATACCTCCCCTGTCCATGCTTCATACTTCCAAATATAACTCTAGTACAAGAATTCGGTTTGAAGTACTTTAGGTAATCCACCATAGTTAAGAAGCAGCGGCAATTAGTTCGCCCCTTAATATCCCCAGTTTCTCACTTACAGACTGATGGCTGCGAAGTGTCAAGGCCGCACCTTTTTGAGCCACGTTGATGAGATTCTCGACCTTGCCTCCTTGTGCTAAGCCTGCGACTAGCACACCGAGAAACGTGTCACCAACCCCATTCACTGACACGATGTCCTCCACCTGTTCAGCCGCCGGGAATAGTCTCATGTAGACACCTCCAATTTCTGGGTGGTCATTAAAACTTCTCGAGAGAATAAACCTATCATACGCCGGGTCTATCAGGCGAGGATCGTTCTTCCTCAGGACCGCTGTCAACAAGGCGCCGTGACTCCCCAGCTTCGTTATGATAGTGGGGGTATACGGGAGAAGTTGTATAGCCTGCTGTGGAATACCAGCATCCGTCATATCAACAGATGTAATTTTAACAAAGCGATCTCGAGCTCCTCTCATGCCGAAGGCGTCAATAGTCTCCCACCACCGCGGATCTTCGAAATATTCATTGCGCTGCGCAGCTGCGTGCATAGCTGCCAGTTCATATTGGTTAGGAGTAATCAAATCAACGCCATGGTTAGGAAAGACACCCAAACTCTCAAGACCTTTTTCTTTGCAGAACAATCTCGTAGATTTCTCCTTTGACACAGGCTCGAATATCACGCGAGCCTTGTTCTGCTTGCCAGCTCGTACCCAAGCTCGAATGTCACGCTCAGCCCAGTTCCCGTCCACAACGATCCACTTGGGCTTAGATTCTTTTACTGCGGAATTCCAGTATTCTGAAAACGACTGAGCCGTAAAAATGCCCATGTCTGCCATACCGAGGACCAAGTTCTTATTGGCATCGTTGACAGCTACGTACTGAGCAGTCCGACTAGCTGGGTAATGCTCGCGACTAAGTTGCTTGATGTAAGATGTATCCATGCCGCTTGCCCTTAGAGACGATAGCACGGTTGATCCAGCCCTATAATTATCAGCTACTAGTTACTCACTCAGTATTGGCTTTTTCACTCACAGGTCATCACCAACCATGCTACAAAGTCTCACTTTAGGGATTTGTAAGGCTCTCTGGGCTGCAAGTGCTACATTATGACCGACACCGCCAATAGATTGACCAATATGAGCCGGGTTTGATGTATGTAAGTGAGGAGTAGGGTGCTCTAACGAGTCCTCACCTACATAGTCACAGCTTAGGTCTACTGCCACAGAGCCGGCAACTAATATATCTGCTTGAGAGGTAGTCTATAATTATCAGTCTAGTTCAAGAACATTATAGTAGCTTCTGCTTAGATAAAGTATCAAGGTTCGAGGCCAGATGGGCATTGGTTCGCTGCGACACAGGGTATAGAGGCAAGATATGCATTCTTACCTCGGTTTCTCTTTTCATTTCGTCAAATGGATTGTTCTCGCTCTCAAAGGGAATAAAACCGCTTTGCTTCTTTATCCTATTGCCCCATACGTCAGATTCAAACGCTACAACTACAAAGGATTTAAATCTCACGAATGAGGCTGTACAGATTCGCCTGCAGTAAGCTGTGAGAGCGCAACAGCTATCTTAGCAGCTCGCTCTACATTCGCCCGTACCAGTACTTTATTCGCCAACGCACTTCTCTCGCCAGTAAGTTCCCTAATCTTCCTCAAGATGAAGGGCGTGTTTTCGCTGCCAAGAGCGCCCTGCTGTGTTGATTCGCTGACCGCCTGCTCAATAACTGCGTTCATCTCATCTCGAGGGATCGAAAATTCTTCAGGTATCGGATTTGCAAACAGCAGTCCTGATTCAATGCCTAGTTTCTCTTGCGCCAAGATCATGGCAGCGGCCTGTTTCTCATCCTGTACAACGGATGGGCTTTTGATACCACTATCCCTTGCCCAGAATGCCGGGAAGTCCACAGAACCACTTCGACCGTCCGAGAACGTTGACACAAGCACTCCCTGAGTTTCCAGGTACTCCAGGGTCCTAGGAATATCTAGGAATCCCTTACAGCCACTACTGATGACCGCCATCCTCGTTCTACCGAGCTCGGTAAGATCAGCAGAGATATCAAGCGATTCATGCCCCCCACGATGCACACCACCAAGGCCACCGGTCCCAAAAACTTGGATCCCGGCAAGCCTTGCTAGAATCATGGTACCAGCAATGGTCGTCCCTCCGTTAATCTTATTGCCCGCAATGCCCTATACACCGATACATTCAGAATTAACCGCAAATTTGTATAATAGTAGACCATGACAGATTCAAGGGTTAGACACATACCATGCCAACCAGATAGGCTATATCCCGTCGCGATACTTTCTTCGGTGATCCCTCGACAATACGAGTTATTTCATGGGGCAGGAGGCCAACTGTAGGCACACCTCCCAGAATACCAACCACAGCAGGTATACCGCCATTTCGTCGAACAATACCTTCCAAGTCTAAGTCATTACCCAGAGCTCCATGGGTATATATAGTTGATTCAAGGGCCACCACGGGCTTATTCGTAGCTAGTGCATCGGCGACTTCCTCAGATACTTTAAGGAGATCCTTCAGAGCTGATATTTGCCCTAGTTTCTTCGAGCTTGAAAATGGCCGTCGATGGGTATGAGCAAACGAAGTCCAATGATTGGTACAGTTGTAAGAGCTCCTGGCTAAGAGCCATGATCGACGTAGTAAACTCATTGCGGTTGGGTTTTGACTCATATGATCGATCTTGATATTCTTAAACTTCAGGGAGAAGCGATATTCACACTTAAATATACTTCATTTTATGTGTAATACCTCCCGTCCAATACCGAATCGGATGTCGTGTGAAAGTAATGCGCGCCCTTCGACATCAAGATACATATACATGTAGTTAGCTAAGTTCAAGAATGCAATGCCCCACCATGAGATACATATACAAGTAGGTACGAAGTACATAGGCTTATCGCTTAGTCCGGCTTAGGTAATACTATACATTTAGTCCGTGCGCAATTGCAATTCGATCTGAAACTATAGGGGGTCAGGGGGGTCAGGGGGGTCCATCTTGAGCTTCATCGTCATTTTAAAACTCCCACCTTCTCAGCTCTGGTGAACTCGGCAACACGGCTAAGATTGCCGGCTACGCGACAAACCTACTATGTAGGCACTTAGGATCTAATGTCTCGTAGATGACTCTGATCAAAGGATTGTTTACATTGACAGAAGAGTTCAAATGTTAAGACTATCCTATTCATATAGTGTATAAGCCCATTCCACCGCCTTAAGCAAAAAGACCAGGCCCCGTGAAATATCCGTTTGAGGAGTCTTCTATTATTTATGCTAGTATCTTAGGGAGTTTTAGGACATCTAACTAATTGCAAAGGAAGCTCCCGCATCTTCCGTCTTCCGTCTTCCGAGGACAGGGGACTACCATCTAGATTCTTCATATATACAGATCGGTAGATGCCGGTTTTTCTTTTCCTATCTCTTTAGTAACCGTCCAATAGATATAACATCTAGTTACACGAAAAATTGCATAGACCATACCCCCACCTTATAATATGATATAATTATACGCTCTTGGTCACTTTTTGTTCTAAAATACATACTCGCATTCCCCGAAGGGATATAACTAGCTCAAATGAGGAATCTACCATACCCCGTTACCCTCCTAGCGGCATTCATCTCCAAAGCCCGAGCCGTTGACTTTACCATCGCTGGCGGCCAGATATTTACACCTGGGTTCGCTGTTCTCGATGCGCCTCAGCCAGGTACCCCATTAGGTGGAGGTATGTCCATCACACGCCATAAACCAGGTCAGGATCTAATATATTACGCGTAGATACTATCGAGGTAGCTCTTGATGTAACCGCCAATGGCAAACTGCATCTCCCTCCCTATAGTGACGATAGCCCCAGTCGGATCAACAACATCACCATCTTCCTATACAGCTATGATACAGGAAGGAACTTCACAATAACGAACGGAACGGCCTCAATAAATGATATAAGCCTAGGCGACATCATGGAGTCCGAACCGGGAAGCACTGTCAAACATGTCAAGTGGCACTGGCCAGTTTGTCTCATCGGCGATGGAAAGCCAGATACCGCAGGCAGTGATCGTGGGGCCTACAATGTTAGTACTTGAAGTCATCAAGGTTCTATACGCTTAGGTCAGACCACTTATGCTCTTCCCAGATATCCATCCGCCAAAACTTCCGTCTTAACGGGGAGGATCACTACACAATCTTCGACGTACCAATCTCAGTCACCAATAAGATTGAATTCACCGGCGACAATCCGCCTTGTGACCTAGTGAATAACCCTTTGCTCGCACCAGAGGAGATCGACGCCGAGTCTGCTAATAGTGTCGGCATTCTATTCGCACCCGGAGACTCGACCGTTATTCAACAACCTGATTCTACTGATGACAACCTGGAAAATGGCATTGGAAGTAGTGCTGATACACTGAAGTGGAAGTTGCCATCAGAATGGGTTTCTTTACTCCCCATTGTATATTTATGTATTATATAGGCCGACGTATTAGCCCAGATTTATAGTGATCTTCCAGCGTATTGATATTCTCTACTATGCTTCAGCAGCTTGGAAACTCTCCCAGGGGCTGAAACCCCCTATTATCTATTGCAACAATATCTCTACTAATCTCTTATTCTAAGATACCCGAGGTCATGATCTATTATCAACACCGTAACCTCTATTAGCCGCAACGATGCTACTGAATGACAAAAAGCGTTCCCCTAGATAGTTGCATGAAGTTCAGATAATACACTCACCATATTAAAGCACAGATATGTATGAACTTGGGTATAGACTCTTTATTACGGCTCGTACAAAGCATTGTCTAGCTTATGACGTAGGCCTAGCCAGCGAGTACCTAGGCCATAGTAAGATCTAGCCCAAGTTCTATAGCCACTTAAACTAAATTAGGGCGCAAGTAGCAGTAGGTAGGGTTATAATGACTGTTGTATGCGTTAGGAGGATAGGCTTTACCTAATTAATTTTAAAAAGATAGTAGATATAGGCCAAGTTCAATATGGGGATAAAAATGTATCTTAATGGGCAGTCTGGTGGGAATATGTTTGTGAATATACTTGGAGATCAAACTGAGGAAGCATTTTACATCTTGTGCGTTTTATTTCAGGGTATATAAACGATAAACTAAACTAATAGCTATTTAGACTGCATTTACATGGAAAAAGAGTAAAGTAGTTTAATGCCAAATGCTAGTCGCGTACCGACGAAGATACCCACCCCAAGATGAAGTTATCGCCGGAAAGGGTTATCGTTAGTGCCATTCTCTAGACAAAGGTAATACCACGACCAGATCCGCTCTCTAATGACCGTGAAGTTGATTATATTTTAATTAAAATTAAACTATCTATGTATTTACACAGCAAGCAAACAATCTGGGAGTTGTCAAACAGGTATTATTTTTTGATAATTGAGACTTAAGTGTTATTGGGAAATAAGCTAACAGATTTGTAGAGCTATCTGAATATTGATTGATCTGTGGTGGAACAATTTTGTTGTTCTATACCAATTTTTATATCATTTCAAAAACAGCCTTCTTGTTACTGAACAATAGTTATATATTGATGTCTATATAAATCAGGCCTTCCCATCTGATGAACTGCTAGCTAATATCTTTGCTACAACCCTGATTAATAAGTACTTATCCTTGCACCAGTAATTATTTATTTGCTTTCTTCGACCTAATAGATCTAAGATATTCTACTGAGTTACCCCTTAACCCAATATCAACCCCATCATTAACTTCGAACTTAGAAGTTAAAGATTATTATTATGGCAAATAATACCGATAATACACAAGTAACTGGCGCAAGCCAACTTGTACAAATTGAAAAACAACCAAGGAAAGAGTGTTGGCGTAACAAGTTATCACAGGGCCCTTCTAATAGGCTTTTTAACGCCAAGTTTAAAGCTGATGAGAAGTTTGACAAATTACACGAAAAACAAAATGAAAAATCTAACTCCCAGCTTCGGAAAGAGCAACGGAAGAGTAAGCGGGCCCAAAGCCTTGCTTACGTTATAGAGTCCGACGGCTACTATGACGATATTTCAAGTGAGTCTGAGGACAAGGAAACTTATTCGCGTGAAGATGAATTTTTATCTGAAGATGAAGATACCTTTGAGGGGAGCTGGTGGAGCGACGACGACCACAATTTATTCAGTTCTCAACCTCGTCGCGACGCAAAAAACGTCTAAAAATGAAATAAACAAACATTCTTGCCTGCTCTGGAATGTATTTGTACATCCCCAACCAGGTGGAATGCCGTGGCACATGCGATACTAAAAATATTTATTAGAGTAGATAGATATGTACCTAGGTAGGCAGCTAACATCTTGATGATGTTATGATAGCTTAATATAATTCAACTTACCTAGATATTCAAACCCCCCGGTTTACTCCTTCTGAACTATAGATGGTGCTATGCAAACATATGAGACCCTATGCTAATTGTAAATCGATCATAGCTGACGCCACATTTGTAGCACTCCAACCTGTCTGTCACATCTCAGACAGTCCCACGTGACACCCCATGACTGTCAACCACCCGATGCTTCCGCTTTTGAGTCTCCCGGAGATGAATGTTACCCACACCCTTGAAGGAAGTACGGGCATCAGTAATCGACACCACGCCTTTTTAGATTCATTACGATTATAATAACATTACATTCCTCAAACATCTCATCTCCTTGTAACTCATATAAACTTACATCGGGCTCACCATCAACAAAGAGAAATCGCTAGAAGAGCCTAAGAAGCATCTATGCACCTAAAGAGACCATGGGTTTCGGAATAGCTTCATTTACTACCTGATTTTCGCACCAACCCAATCAGCTTCATTATAGCTAACTAACCTAACTAACCATACCCCTTTTTGACTTATTACTCAACACATACCCAATACCTAACCTTCCATGAAAGACACTGATAAACTTTTGAAATTTTCCCCTATTACCTTAAGATAAACGAAGACTTAACGGACTCACATGCCTACCTAAGTTTGGTGACTAAGCCTAAGCGACGCTATACTTGAGACATTTAGGTATGCACTCGCTTAACCAATTCTGATCTAGGTCTAATGCCTGTATTCAAGACTTATTTACTCACAACGCCGATTTCATATATACTTATTAGACGCCAGAAATACAATGTCACCACGCGTGGCGCATTTCTCCACGGGGATGAGCGGAAACCTCTCAGAGAGGCTACCTTTGCTAGGTCTCATGGCCCAACCCCTAGAGCCATTCGTTTGCGACCTAGATAAACGCCTTCGTACTGTTGAATGCGCCGAGAGAACATACCTCCCATATAAAGCTCCGAACAAGTGATTTTCGCTTAGAGCTTGGACTTGTCCTTTCTACCGCTCTTAACATGCTTGGAAAACTCTCCCGTAAGCAGGTAATCTGGGTACTTCATGTTAGAATCGAGACCAACGCCCATACCTCCGTTCCTCCAGTCGCCGCCGTCTACAACGAGTACCTCTCCGGTAACATAGCTACCAGCGTCGCTGAAAAGATAGACAGTCGCATCCGCAATATCTCGGATTGTACCCCATCGACCGAGCGGAATACCGGCCGCGGAATTTTTCGCCTCGTCACTCTTGCCCGCGAGCCTCGCCATTCCTTCTGTTCCTTCGATACCGCCGGGCGCGATAACGTTCGAGGTTACACCATACGGACCGTACTCCAGGGCCACGGAAGCCATGATAGAGTCGACGGAAGCCTTCGCAGCCATCACGTGAGCTTGCATGGGCATACCTGTGTAATGGAAGGTGGCTGAAATATAGATGATTCTTCCACCTGTCAGCCCGTTCTCATTCGACTTGTTCCTGGCCGCGGATTCGATGAGATATGGTATGGTGGCCTTGACGGTATTGTACGTTCCAAGGACGTCGATTTCTATGACGGTTTTGAATCCATTGGACGAAAGGCCAGAGATTGGGCTTACGAAGTTCCCCGCAGCACCAGCTCTGAGAAGAAGTCAGTACAAAGAATCTAGTATGATCTTAATCAGACTCTTACATGACAAAGTCGATGGCACCAAGTTCTTTCACACACCTTTCGGCGGCCTTGACCAGGTCATCGGGCTATTTTGTTGTTAATATGGTATATAAAGGAATTGTGTTTATGATGATAAAACTTACATTCCTTACATCACACCCCCCAATCCCGATAACCTTTGCACCTTTCCGTGCCGTAGCGATGTCGTTCGCGACGGCTTCTGTCTTTTGCTGATTACGACCAATAATGCAAGCGTTCGCCCCAAGGTGGACCAGAGCCCTCGTTTGCGCGCTGCAGATCGTACCGGCGCCGCCAGTCACGAATACAACACGACCATCTAGAACGATATATATTAGCTGTCTATCCAAATACTTTGGCAGTCATATAGAACTAACCGAATATCCCCTCTTTCCACACATTGCTTATATACTGAGATGTTGGGACCGGCATGGTGGATGGTTGGCGCTATGCAGGGTCCTTAACGTTGAGGATACGACTCCTTTAAGTAAGTAGTAGCCTTTAAGCTACGGTGAATCTTAATGAGAGAAAGATGAATCACGACGGATGGGAAAGGGAAGTGACTTCAAATTAAATATATAATATCCCTATGAGAAACTCAACTCCAAGTAGGAAGCTCGGGTAGTCATATACATGTACCTATATGTAGGTACTAGGTTGTTGGTAGGGATTAACAAGCCTGTAACTTGAACGAAGGCGCGAGTTGCCTCGGCTTAGGAGGTGTTGAGGATCCGCCGTTCGAAGCGAGAGCGAACTAGACCCACTTATCGAATGTACGGAAGGAGCGCGCATGCGGATAGATGCATAAGAAGACCTCTGTATGTCTATTTTCGGCTTTAGAGTCCGCCCTCCCGCAATCCGTTAGTCCCGACTTTAATCTGGGGAGCTCGGGCCAATTACGTACCCCGGATATACCATTTCCATTCTACATAGTAGAATGGAAACATATGTGAGGTATTCTTCCACCCCGCTATTGTAGCAAAGTCGAGTCTAACTTTTATCTCATACCAATAACGACACGACACTCGAATTGTGAGTTGTTATTTGCCTGTGTAGCCCGTCTTGAGGCCTTAAACCCAACCAGAAGTCATGTATTAGTGTACATACGTACACGCCCAACTAGACTTAGACCGGACCGGACCATAAGACAACTCGCTCTGGCATCAGCACGCCACTTTTAAACCAAAACCTCTTCGTACCATCAATTCATCGGAACCGAGTCCTTCACATCCCCCATCTAGCATCCTTCATCGATCTCCGGTCTTCTACATCCTTAGCTAGAGACCATGGCATCAAGAAAGGTGTCAGTCCTCAAGTTCGTGGGGACTGTCTCGTTGGGTCTCTTAACGGTAAGTAAAATTATTCACCTTTTATCCAACCCCATTATCCGCATTTGCCCCTCCAGATTCTCCAGATTCCCCCGCGCCCGCCGCCCGCGATAGGGCGCCTCACGCAACTACGTATCTCGTATCTCGACAACCTTCAAACCTCATCTCATAAACATCGAGCCCTCTCATATATGAACTAGCTCTAACATATATAATGATATAGGGCACTTCGTACACCCTCTCGACCCTCACCCTCCCATCCGTCCTTGAGCTCCCCTCTGCCTCATCCGCAGCCAAGGCCTTCCGCAACATCGCATCAACGGCATCAACACACCTCACTTCCCTAGCTAGCCTATCCGGCTCTGCCTTCCTGCTCGCCTTTATCATATCCCCCCGTGGCTTCAGACACCCGTACCTGCTCTACACGTCGCTATTCTGCTTCGGTACCCGCCTGTCCGACTACGTGACGCCGTCCATCTTCGGCGCTCCCGTCTCCAGCTTCTCCGCCGCCGCGCAACGCCGGGCTGCCGTCCAGGCCCGCAAGGATAAGAAGGCCGCTCGCCGCATGGAGGCTTCCTACGAAGATCTAGGCGGCTCGCACAGCGACGAGGCCAGTGGCGAGGAGCACGAGGAGGACTTCAACGGCGAGGAGGTCCGCAGCGAGGTTCAGCACTTCGTTCGGAACCAGTTGATACAGACGGCTCTCGCGGGCATCGGCTTCGCGATGGCGGTCGTTGGTATCTGGGGAGATGGTGCTCTGGATGTCTCGGAGACGCTTGTCATTGAGTTCTAAGAATGGGAGAATCTCACGGAATCTCAAATAAGCAAACCAATGTAGGGATAGGGGTGGTCTGATTCTCATCATTCATTTAAGTCTTGATGAAAATATGAACCGACTAGAAACTTGGGGTTGGGTGGAATACTGTTGGAGACACATACATAAGATATCCTCGAGGCTTTTATCAGTAGGCTTGTTCGGATCGGCTGTTGTATATTTCACGCTCCCACCTCCCTCTGATATGTTTGCATGCATGCACACGTAGTAACAAAAGAAAGATATACAAAAAGATATAGCATAGTATGGGCGTTTAATTTAGTTATAGCACGGTAGTAAACGAGAACTTGTTATGTCAATGTATATTCCTGTGGAGTTCGTGGTAAATATTTATTAACACTCTAACCTAGCTGTCTATAAAACGGCAACTTAATTCTGTCGGGTGAGTAAATTGTTGTTTAAAGCATGGTTTGGTATGGTCAAGCTGTTGAAGGAGACACATAACCCTGAATATCTTCAAAAGTGAGGTTCATATTGAGCTACAGAGCGATACTAATCTTGTCCGTAAGACTTGGATATTGATAGGATTTTATAGTTAATTTAACTACGTTTCTTGTACTAGAGATATACTTCCCCTTTCACTTTATGACCCTCCCCCCCCTCTCCCCCTTTTCTAGATATCCTACCAAGCTTACGGTATACTATGTGAGGCCTAGTATAAGAGGTTTCCTGATACTTAAGTTTGCCCCATCACTAACCTAGGTTAGTATGAGCTTCGACCTCTATCTTAATGGCAAATATCGCTCACCGAGATCACTCACCGAAAGCGCAAACAACATGGTTATTCACTGCAAAGTCAAAAAAAAAAGGGCACCGGAAGTATATCTAGCTTATATATGATTAGCTTCTATGAACTATATGGCTACGTAGTGATTAGTGCTTGTAATGAACGGATATCGGTGGTATATTATACCCCCTTTTATGGTATGCGGAAACACATCGACTGTGCTTCATTTATGAGTAACTCATGGGTTTGTATCATATTGCATTGCCTACCTACTGAACTACGGTGTTCTAACTGTCATGTTTGTCCTTATGAAGCAAACACTAGGATAGTCGAGTAAGTAGTTTATGTGTGTTTTGTGTTTTGTGCTGAACAGAGGTTGCAAATCATGTAGTAACGCGACAACGAAGACGATTTCTGGGAGAAAAACAAAAAGCAACGCGACTAAAGCTCGGCAAAGTAGACGAAGCAAGGTCAGCTATAGCTTCTCAGCCTCGAATGCTGATATTGGGGCTACGTAATGTGATGATGCTTGCCAACCTTCGTGATGATGTCTCTCATGAAATGCAACGCAATAGGGTATCAAGCAACCTTTGCAGAACGCCTTACTGTTCCATCCTGACCAAAAATCAAATATGCTTTGCAAACCGATTAGGACCCGCCTTCTGTGCTGTGTGCCATGCAACAGGGTCATTCATTCGTATTCCTTCTGACGCGGAATTCTCAGTCTTCCCAAATCGTCTCCAAGTCAAGGTCGCCACGTCGTTCGGCTCCGCAGACACTCCAACGCTTGCGCTTATCTCTTGACCCAAGACCTATAGTTCTTCCACGCGCAGGCGCGTCCCGGCCCTTTGCCTCTCCAGGCTCTCCCTCTTCGACGGCATCCGCGGCAGCCTTCAACTGAGATATTCTTTCGGCCTCCAAGGCAGCCTCTTCAGCATCGGGAGAATCAGGAATAGTCTCTAGACTTGAAATACTGGGACTGCGAGATCTCATGGAGGTCGGTGTCGAGGGGACTGACGATGATGGATAGTAAGGGAAAGTGTAACCATACGACAAACCCTCAGGTCGGAATGAAGGCGAACCTGCTGTAGCCGAGGGAGTTCCAGGAAGAGAAGGAGTGCTTGATGAATAACTTGTAAGGCGTAAGGGCGAAGATGTTCGTCGGTGAGCTAGATTGCCCAAACTCGGGGTACTAGCACTAGGGGAACCGCCCAGCTCGGTGAGATGCCTCTCGCCATCCAAGACAGAAGATCGAACCGGGGAGGTCGGGGGATATGCTTCATCGACCGGCTTTCGAGGCATTCGATTTCTGTTGGGAGAACTCAAGGGGCTGGCTGGACGAAGCAACGGCGGGTATATGATACGACCTGAACCATCAACACCTGGCATAGATCGCGTACGACCGATGGTAGGTGGTGCGAGACTGGCCATCGACTTAGATCGACCGTGAGTACCAGTTAAAGGGGAGGTAGTTCGAGGTCGATACGGAAGAGAGGCTGTTGTTGTCCAAGATGGTGAGCTTGGAGACGGAGGCTCGGTTGATCTGCGAAAGGTGTAAGGCTTGCGACCAGGATCTGAATCATTCGTAATGATGGCAGCTGGTTGCAGACGCAGAGTAGGTAAAGGAGAGGAGCGGAATTCCTCCATTCTCTCTGTCTCAGGGACGGGCTCCATTTCCAACGAGGACAAAAGCCTAAGCGGTCTATCTCACTTCGTTTTCATATGAAGCGGTGTGGCCAAGACAGTGGCCAAGGGGCGGTTTGTCGAGATAGATGGCCGACCGCTGAAGGTCAATAAGAAAGGAAGATCGGTAGTCCGTCCGATGTGCGACTCTGGAATGTAGGTCTCAGGTGAGAGTAGACCGGACAATCAAGAATTGCTTGCGAAGGGAGAGGGCGAGCTGGGTTGATATTGCGACCGCCAGTTCGAAGTTGTTGTGGAACGATGGCAGGGTAGAGACGAGGAGTGAAATTGAATCTTATGCGGGTCATATGTCGTACCGAGTCAGTTTCGAAGTGTCCGAGCTCCCGCGTTGACCTGACTTGTTGGGGTTGATTATGCGTGAGAGGTGCATAGGCGAGGAGAGAAGAAAGAAGTTGAGGTGAGAAGAAGAATGGGAAGTGTCACTGTGCGCGTTTATGAGAGTTGTATGCGTGTTATGTTATAACTGTTGTGATATTGTGATTGTGGTCCTTAGTTGGCCGGGTTGCTAATAGCGGTGGGCGAGTCCATCAGGAGTGGTATGGGCACGAAACATGGCATTTGAATCGAGCCGTGACGGATAAGTCCGATGCCAGATGCCAGGAACGGTTACGAGCCTGCGAGACTGCAAGACTGCGAAACTGCGGAGAGAGGAAGCGGTGGTGGAATTATAATACACGAGACGCTCCCCAGGTTCCGGAGACGGGTTAGTTAACTGAAATAAGACAGGGACCCTCCGGGGTTTTCTTCTTTGGCCTCTGGCTGGTTACCTAGAATTCGTCTTGCCTTTCTCGGAGTTCGAAAGAGGGGACCGAAGATGGAGCGGATGGGGTATATGAAGATGTTTAAGGCTAGGTAAAAGGCTAGGTAAAATGCTAGGTGAATGGGCTAGGTGGATGTAGGTAGGCACATACGGAGAAGATCACCTGCATTTATTATGTATCATTAGTAGCGCAGCGGGTTTTTGGTTGCTAGCAGCCACTAAATAGAGCGTTTTCACGGAGAAGGTACAGTACATGGAACGGCCCTAGCCTGCCTCAGTCCCTGCCTGAATCAAAACGACTCGATGTTCCACCACTGATTGGCCCTTAATTCAGCCCCACAAGCTAACCCTACCCTGGAATGGAACTGCCTCATAGGTATGCCCTGGCACATATATTCTTTTAGGTACATATGTCGACAACTTGCACTACCTATATTACAAAATGGCATGTGCGATTGATAGGCTTTCCGCTTGGCGAAGCTGTGCGACCCTATCGTTTGGGATCCAGTATACTAATAATTCACGGCAAACATGTGCCTTAAGAAGGTACATATCTGTGTAACACATATACGGTACTTATATACTTATATACCTACATACTTCACTTGCGGTTATTACTTAACCTTACAATGGCGAGATAATAAATCCTATGCACGCATGAAAGCTCATTGGTTGTGATTAGCCTACTAGCTGGAGTGTTGTTCTATACTTAGCTATAATGGGATTATCTAGCCTATGTATTATCGGTAAGTGGCTCTGGAAGGAAAAGGACCCTTATGCCTTAGTAAGATATACCTGAGAGGTAGTTACTAACAACTTACAAGTATGTTATAAAGACAACACCACCTCTGTATACTATGTAACCGCCATATATGTATGGGGTTAACGTAATTATTACATACCTGATCAGATGTCTTCTATATATAAGTCAGACAAATATGTTAATCATGTTGTAAGGTAGTATCTCAACACCTCTTCTGCTTCCGGTTGAATGAGATTGGACCAGCGAGTAAAATACCCTATCTACGAAGTATTGCTATCAGGTCTGACACCTGCAGACTTCCAATGCTATGTGGAACAATTGATGGCTGCTGCAATGGCTGAAAAGAATGAAGTGGGTCTATGCAGTACGCTAGAGCTACCCGCCTTGCTACAACGTTCGTATTGGTATTGTAAGATTTACAAGGTACTTTACCTATCTAATTAGGTGCTCTAGGTACTTCGGTGCTTAGCAACCATATAGTAACTACCTATTTAGGCCTAATAGTACCTAGCATACATGGTAACTCGAAATCCATTTCAGTTTTAGTGTTATCTGGCAATTCGACATACTATGTAGGAAATTTAACAACAATTTTCTACGACAGCCTCATAACATCATCAACAACTTGACGGACCGACGCACGCATCGCCGTCCTGATACTGGCGTTGCTAATTCCGGGGCCATTTACTGCGATCTCTATTCTACCTATTGCGAATCTTTATCCCGATAGCAGTACCGTTTATACGCCCTCGATGGCCCGTGCCAATTAGTGATTTCATTCCGTTCATCAACACTCCTTTTCGCTTTTACGCCCTGTCCTCGGCATTCTGCACGTCCTGATCTGAGAGATAATATCAATTCACCATGGCGCGCCCTCTGGGGCCAGTCCGCCTGCGGAGGACAAACTACCTCACCTTGTCTATCGGTGCGATTCTCTGTATCTTTATAATTTACTTTCTCTCGCATACCGGTTCGACTTCACAATCCGCCAATGCGAGCCGATCCGCTACCCGTAAGCCTAGCACGAAGTCGAGTCTGATCGTCGAACGGCCTCCTGTCCGGCGCTTCAACTTAAATAGTGTTACAATTACCCCGGATCCGATTGGAAACCGAGAGGCTGTCCTTATTTTAACTCCAATGGCGCGTTTCTACCAGGAATATTGGGACAACTTGTTGAAATTACAATACCCTCGAGACCTGGTTACGCTTGCCTTCATCTTACCTAAGAATAAGGAGGGTAATGCGGCGACTACCGCGCTGCAGGCCCAGATCACGAAGACACAAAAAGGCCCTGTTAAGGAACGATTTAGGAGTATAATTATCGAACGACAGGATTTCGATCCTCCTCTAACATCTCAAGATGAAAGCGAACGACATAAGATGGAGAACCAGAAGGCGAGACGAGCCTCGATGTCTAGAGCACGGAATTCGCTACTTTTTACCACACTGGGAGCCGATACCTCGTGGGTATTATGGTTAGATTCCGATATCGTCGAAACACCACCTACTTTGATACAAGACCTTGCGTCACACGATAAGCCCATCATAGTACCGAATTGCTACCAGAGATATATTGACTCGGAAACGGGAAAGCCTAAGGAACGCCCGTACGACTTTAATAGCTGGCAGGATAGTCCGACCGCGCAGGAAATCGCCTCTAAGATGAACCAAGACGAGATTATCCTCGAAGGATACTCTGAAATGGCAACCTACCGGGCATTGATGGCCTACATGGCGGAGAGGGAGGATGAAAAACACCTAGAAGTACCCTTAGATGGTGTTGGTGGCACCGCATTGCTAGTTAAGGCGGATGTTCACCGTGACGGTGCTATGTTCCCGCCATTCCCATTCTACCATCTAATCGAGACCGAAGGGTTCGCGAAGATGGCGAGGAGGTTAGGCTGGCATGCTACTGGATTACCTAACTATAAAGTAATATCTTTGCCTCGATGACATGTCAAAATTATAGCCGGCTAACTCTGGATATAGGTTTATCATTACAACGAATAGAAGACGGAACTAACATACGGCTCGAAACGCTTTTTGTCATAACGAACCTTGTAATCTGCCACGAGTCTCGGATCATTGCATTTTGGAGATGAGGAGTTTAAACGTGCCGAATTGTTTGTTTTGTGACTACGGAGCATGGGGTTACCGAAATACGTCGCGGCCCGTCATCGCTGTGGTCGAGGGATGGGGGGTTTTTCCTGTAGATATTTATTTGTAGTAGCAGCAACAGGAGCAGTAGCAGCATCACAGGACGGGGAAATCATTGCGCTTTTTTTTAAAAACTGTTACACTAGGCAAAGGCCCATCGGGATTGCACCAATACAAGGGGACCGGACTCTCGTTCTAGGCGCCTTGGAAATTCGAAGAAATCATACAATAGAATGGTTTATTTTTCATATGTTGTTGAGTTGAAATATTGGTGAATGAGATGCTATAACCAAATCAAAATAAAGTAGTAGTTTGATACCAGGTCCACGGCATATCATATGTAAGGAGAGGCCCGGAATTCCATATATACCAACAAACGCCCGCTCCAATGAACTATTCCTCAACGACCTCCCTCCCAAGTATTTGCAAAGAGCGCCTCTACCAGCTGAGCTCATCCAGACCATCGTCGAACTTGACCATCCATCTCGCCCCAGTTTGTCGTAACCCTATGTTTCACCACACTCATTCCATTATCTCCCATATTCCTCTCACAAACCACCCATCCTACCGCCCCTCATACCGCCCCCCCTCATCACTACACCAAAACTCCACCAGCCGCCTAGCGCCCATAGCATCCCCGCCGCGTATCAAAGCCGCAACATCCACGTTCAGAGGACTATCGGTCTCAGGGCAGCTAAGCAGCATGCGCACGGCGCGCACGCACTCCAGGATACTGTACGCCGGCGTCCAAGCCTCCTTCAGCAGGTCTAGGCAGATGTCGCCGCCGCGCAGCGCGATGTTGGCGTGCACGATGGGGGTCCGGAAGGAGATCTTGGGCGGCGAGAGGGGGTATGTGGTGGGGATCGATATGTCGAGGAGCCAGCGGCCCGCTGGGATGATGTCAGTTGTGTTTTTGTATATGGAGGAGGGAAGGGATCGCAACGCACCGTCGTAACCACTGCCTACACCCCGTCCATTTATCACAGCCTCCCAGTGCAGCAGCTCCTCGTCGCTCACAGGTCCCAGGCGCTCGATGCCCGCCTCGGTCTGCGACTCGTTCTCCCAGGCAGACAACTCCTTTACCAGGCGCTTAGCCGCGCTGCGCGAAACCGATGCTGAATTAGTCGCCATTCTGTTTCTGCGAGCGAGCGATGCGATCCTTGTTTGCTATTAAAAAGCGATATATATAACTTGAGAGCGATAAATAGGTAGTAGCTTCGAAGAAAGAGATTTTTAGAAATGTCTGTTCTGTCCCAAGAGTTAGGTAGTTTTTTTTGTCTTACACGGAAAGGTGCTCGTTCCGATCTGGGTGACGATAAGGTTAGGTAGATAGATATGTAGTTGGCAGGCCAAAGCAAAAGGCAAGGTAATAAAGCTCCGATGGCTTGCTTGGATGTCTCGGCAGGCGGTAGGTACGTACCTAACCCAAAGGCGCGCCGTGCCTCGCTAGACAGAGCAGGGGGGTCCGCTTCAAGTCTGATTGGGTGCCCCGGTTCAGGCCGAGGAGTAGCCTCGGTGGACGGCATGGAACCCGTGGAAACGGTGTTACACGGGAAGTAACGTGGACTGTTGCAATTAAACAAGTTGCAACGTATTATGGAATGTACATATTGCATCCGTTAGGAATCACATCAACAAATAACAGGTACTACACTCACCGACATGAACACTCTTGGCTTCTGTCGTGGGATACTGTGATTAGCTTCTTTGGAATCTTTAACCAGGTAACTAGTATTTATAACTAATCTTATTCCTACATAATATTGTTTATAACCAGTTATTCCCAATGTCTATACGTGGTCTTATGCCTCCCAATTGGATTGATTTCCGTATGCATAATAATTATATGCTATTTCACAAAGTACATATGCAATCTCATATGAATGAATCATAAATGAAAGTCTTCATATATCATAATAATGCTCGTATTTTACAGATGTTTGATTCTTTATTTAACTAACTACTGAAAAATATATAATAGTCACTACTAGGAAAATGCCCAAAGCGAAACGTTATTGCATATCACTTCAGTAATATGAACGCCCATCTGGCATCGAACCTCTGTTTAGTAGTGTATGTTCACTATTATTGTGTGTATGTGTACAAACCTGGGGTGCTCGAGGAGTCCACAGTGAGCAACTACTTTACAGGTCATGTAGCAACAGACTTATGAAGTTTTTATGGAACATGGTCCCGAGATATCCCTCCCCATCCCCATTCATATCCGCGAGCGCTATGTCCAGAGAAATCGGAGCCCCCAAATCCTCCGGCGGCACTCTTTTTTTTCTGCAAGCCTAAACGGCTACTTAGTTTCCTTCCCCTCCTGAAGCAATGAAAATAGACTAGGTGAATGTCTTGAAAAACGGAGCCGTGGTCATGAAATGGCTTAAAGGTGCCGTCATGCGTTCATAAAATAAAATAAAAGAAAAATAAACGATTGCGAGACTAATCCCTGATATTTCAGGTCTTCTCGTATGCGTACAAAACAATGCATGCTTTGCAAATAAGGTCGTGAATAAGATTGTCTCAAGTACCATCAAGGATCCTCTACGTGAAGAACTTTGTTTCGTATAGGTAATGAGAAATGCGTGAGAATACATAAACTTCATCGGATCCGTCAGCGGTGGACCGCCGAGGAAACAAATCTGATGATCGTCCCCTACCTCCCCGAGAGCACCGAGCCTAAGTATGAACGCCTGTGACAGAAGCATTGGAGATGCCCCTAAGGCTTAGCCGATCCCTTCGGCTTCCAGAATTGCATTATGCGACTAAGACGCTTCGATTTGCTCATCTTAGGCTTGTCTTCCGGGTCCGAGTCAAGAGGGACCTCCATGCTCAGCTTGCTCCGTTCTCCGTGGGCGCTACTAATGAGCCGGCTGAGACTGACCAAACTGGATCTTCGGCGGCCGAATGCTGCGGCGCTAAACGAAGCAGGCCGCTGATCATGGAAGGGCATATTCCTAGGTTGAACGCCCGGTGTGAAAGTGCTATCCCGTGTCATGGTCGAATTACTACTCGTTAGAGACGGAACATCAACAGATATTCGGACCAATTCCGGTCCAGGTTCGCCCATCAATAGTGAATGGTAGTTATTTTCATCAGCGATCGAAGATGGGGCGGTTGAGATTCGTTGAGCGTCATACGACATTGGCGAACGAGGGGACGGAAATGAGGATGAATAGCTCAGCGAATAAGGGGTGGCTGGCATAGTCGAAGAACCAGGGAACGCTCCATTACTTGTATCCATCGGATCGATATCGGTGTTCAGAATCTGGCGGGGAGATGGGGCTTCTGAATCAGGGGTTCCCGGAGTGCCCATAGTACGGACGGCACGTCTAGGCGTACTGTAGTTGGGTTCTTCCAGAATGATTTCTTCTCTAAGGTTCTCAGTTCTCATCCTAGATACTGGTCGTTGTATGTCCAAGCTTGACCCGCTGCCTTGACGTGCCGCCAAGGTAGGCGTTGGTAAGATATCCTTTGGACTAGCTTTACCATGCTCACGTTCTTGCGTGGGCGTCGGAACTGCGTCGTCCTCAGTACTTGATGTCGACTCGCTTTCATCAGCTGAAGCATCTTGGGCGTCTGTGGAAGATTCTTCGGATGGAGTTTTTGCGCTCGTATCCTCCTCTTCTTCCTCTTCGTCCTCTTCAAACACATCCGCCATAGTCGAAGAACTGCCGAAGCGATGTATGCCGAATCGTACAGCTTCAAAGGGGGGCATCTCAGGAGCACTCTCAGCACGGCGATGATAATGCATTCCTGGCCCGCTGAAACCCCTTAAACCAACAGCACTGTGCAGCTGGCGCTTTGGTTGGGTGTCCGTCTTTTGCGCCTCGTCCCATTGGGGATCACGAGAGGAAGGTGTATTGAACGGGCCAAGAGCCGCATCAAGATCGATCATAGGATAAGGTATGTCATCTTCAGGCGTTCGACCTGGCTCCGCTGTACTTGGATCGGGCTCAGGCTCAGTCACCAAAACTAGCGGTGCAATAGGTGCTTCCGGTACTTCCGTAAGATAATCACCAAAATCTTCGATCACCTGTTCCTGATATACTGGTGGCGTGGCCGAACGACGGCGCACTGACTTTGATTTACGAGGCTTCGATTTCCTTGTTAAAATAGAGCCAGCCCATGACCTAACCCTTTTCTGCTTCTTCTTTCTTATTGAACCCTTCTTGCTTTCTGAACGAGATAATCCATCTTCAGTTGACACCCAATCGGATTCCGCTGATAGATTAGCAGGCTCAGGTCGCTTCTCCACTACTTTAGATAAACCTAAGCTAAGTGATGTTGATTTCGTGGGCGAATTAGTCGCCGCGAAAGGTTCGAGTCCGAAAAAAGACCATCTCCTAGGAGTTTTTGAAGGACTCGTGTTTGTAGGCGATCCTGAGCTGCGTTTAGGGATTTCTGTTAGCAAGGGAATCGAATTGCGCCTACGCGATAAAGAATCTCCATTGAGCACGATAAGACTCGGGGATCGCTCCAAAACAGCGCCTGCGGTGCTAGGGCGCGAATCATTCTTCGCACGAGAATTAGGTGATCCAAGCATACTAGAAGTATCACGGTCTGTAGATGCTAAATTCGTGGAAATGATGGATGAGATGCTCCCTGAAACTCGGTGGCCAGGGCGAACTGTCACCGTACTTGATGTGTCGGTTGAAACCAGCGACAGAGGACGTGGAATGAATTCAAGTGTATCAGAGAACCCAACTCGCGCGCGTGCGGTGGCCCTTGGCGATGGTGGGGACTGCTGCGTAGGCTGAACGCATACTTCCTGAACTTCTTCCGCGCTTGCCTGCTGGGGATCTATCTCAGTTGTGGAAGGTTCCGTCTTTGGCTCGGGAAAATTGCGAAATTTCTCGTCAAAATCAGCCGGGCTAGTGGGCGCACTACTGCCCCTCGAAGCCGGATTATTTGGCTTAAGTATCATAGTCAGATCGTGACTAGAGATTGCAGCAGAGCGGCGGTGTGCATGCCCTCTTCTTGGCGGAACATCTGCAGGTGAGAGCTTGGGGGACGCAATGCCACCATCAGATCTAGTTGGGCTCGTACTCATTACAGTAATCGACCCTCCCCCATTGAGTTTACCGCCTACGAACTCACTCCCGCCTCGTCGATGGCCACCACGGTTAGGGTGCATCATTGGCGACGGAGGACAGAGTGGAGGGCTAAGGAGAGACTCATCGGGCCCAAGAGTAGCACCTGGGTTGAATGCGAAATCCGGGAGAGCTGGAGATCTGGATGACTGACTGCTGGGGTTCGGACTAGGATCGGCGCCCGGGTTGAAACTGAAGTCGGGCAAGCCCGGCGATCTGGAGGGAGAATCTCCCATCCCGCCAGCGAAGCCAAATGCCCGTCCCTGAAATTCTATCGCAGACTGTGGTCGTCGTCCCGTTGCCCGAGAGAAGGACGAAGGCGCCGAGGATGGTGACGAGCGAACTGGAAAAACGAAGGGCGGGTTCGGCGGAGGTAGGTTGATAAGCGAAGAATGTTGGGGACCGGGAACGGCTGATTGGGTCATGGTCTCATCTTGATGCGTCGAGATACGGAGTTGTCGCGATGGGACATCGTTCACCCCGCTCAATGTAGCCGTCTCGGTCGGGAGACTAGCAGCAATTACGGTGGCCATTATTCCTTCAAGCCTCCCCGGCGCAGAGAGCGGGGAAAAAACTTAGATATAGAGAGATATCATAGAGTATCTTCCGAGTATAATGTATCGGTGAGGGCGTAGAAATCGAAAAGGCTAATTGGACATGACAATTTGACGATGCGCGACGGTGGTGATTGAGGCGCCTGAGATAAGGAAAGGTCAGTTTTCCCGCTTAATTGTGAAAAGCCCAGATGACTAGTTTTCTGGACTCTTGGCACGAAGTTATAATATGAAGTCGTACCTCGTCGTCGGGTGAGGCGGAATGTTTTGCTGGCGGTCGGTGAGCGTAATTGTCGTCCGGCTTCCCTCGCAATGGATTGGTTACAAAAACAACCAAAATAAAAATAGACGTAGGATAATGGAATTGAAGAGGGGATTAATCAAAGGAGCGGACGGCCAAGACCAGAGCAAATCTTAGAAACACAAGATTTGCTTCTGGAATTGAGCCAGCAGGTGTTGTGGTAGTTGAGGTAAGGTGGAGGAGTGGATGAAGGATTGAGGAGATAATCGTAGGTGTGTAGACGACTCCAGAAAGATGGAAGTGTGCAAGTCGAAAAAAGCCACTGTTAGGCTATTGGGTTGTGTCCTTCTGGACCGTGCGGCCCTTCCTAACTTAAACGCTTGTACTGTATGTACCTACCTAGGTAATAAGTACATACACTAGTAATAAGGATCTCAGGCTTGCAAGGACTAGGGTAGAAGAAAACCTAGCACGCAGGTAGGTACAAATTAGCAAGTACCAAAGTGGCTGCTACCTGCTGCCGACAATAGGTAGGTACCGTATCTAATAACATTTAATCAACAATTAAAAATGCGCTCGAAATGATGCCAGCCCAGAGGAATGATGATTACCTAGGTATTTCATGCTCGATTATGCCATATATCTTGCTGTGGCGTACGTGGTTCTAAGTCGTACAATCTAAGTCGTTATACGACTAATGCTAACTAATTCGGCCTTGCATTGGTGTAAATATTTCAAGATTGTCAACATTGGAATCAAGATCTCATTTCAAGCCAATTTCAAGCCAACCTGGGTCCTGAATCAAAATGGTTACTATCGAAACTACGAGGATATTCACCAAAGTACAGCGCTAGTCAGAAATGCACGGAGTGTACATGATCTGCAGTCACACCGAGGGGATGCCGTGAGGGTCCCTGCAGGAGGCTGCGCCTACGTGGACTACGTAGGTACGTATCACTACCGTTGTCAGATAAACGTCGTAATAGGATGCATGCTCCGTTCATGAGCAAAACTTGTACCTACATGTCAGCGTTGAATGCCGTTTTTGAGTGGCCCATGACCTCATGATCGCGACTTACTTAGGGTACTCCGCCGTTTGAGGTTTCGATTGAGGCTCGTGCGAGGTATGACGGAGATACAAACCATGGAAAATTACAAGTCAAAAGATAAAAAATAAAAATAAAAATTACTGCGTAGTGTAGTGTACATACATAGATTGTAAGTCCCATCAAAACAGTACGGCATGCGCCGTCGCCAACAAATGTTCCCACATTGAGAACGACACAAGTGCATGCCGAATTATTGCGATGCGCAGTTCACAGAATGGAGCACTGGCCTCCCTAACGGCCCAGCAGAACACCGCGAATAGCGAAAGTGGCTTAATTATTCTCCGTAACCTTTAATACAATCAGACATGCAGAAACAAGCCATCCCTGATAAAAGGGTGCGCTCGAAAAACCAAATACTTTTCGAAAGTTGAAACCCCCTAGAAAGCACATAAAATCTTTAACGGAGAGCAGCCGAAAAGCTGGGAGGTAACAGGTTGGCAGTAACAGGTTCAAAGCAGGCAAGCAGGCAAGCAGACAAGCAGACAAGCAGGCAGAGGCAACTTGAACCCGGTCATCTTGTTTGGAAACCTTGCATCTAATTATTCATCTACGTGTACAGTACATAACGCAAACCCGCGTACAGGCGTAATTGAGAAAACCGCTTTCCTATTTTGGATGGCTTGCCTTTAGTCCTCGGCGTTCCCCTGCAGCACCCTATCCCTTCTTGGTTAATGACCCCCCGCGCTTCCTACCTTCGGTTGCTTCGTTGCATTTGCGGCTGGAGGGGCTTTCAGAAATAGGTTAATCGATCCTACGCGAAAGGATCAGGTACATTTCTTTACCATTCCGTGCTCCGTGCATATAAACACGGCGGCGTTGTTCGCGGGAAGGAAATGCATATACGGGTTTACGGGTTTACGGGTTGATGAGCATTTGTTTATCTTCATATTAGGTAAGGTAACACTAAATCTAGTTGCATTTCTAGACTTCATCTTACATCCAAGCCAAGCACAAAACGAGCGCAACAAGAACTAGAATAGGTTAGGTAATCAAATGAGCCAAGCTAACAGGACTCTTATCCCACGCAAGTCGGCCGCTTTTTAGCGCAAAGTAGGCAGCCGGTCCACTGTCCAGCCGTGGCCGCGATTCGCATACCACCTTCAGCACTTACGTATGGACTACATACATGTGTGCGTATGTACACCTTACCTACCTACCTTACACACTGCAAGCCCGTAAGCAGCCGTCGCATTAGCCTCCATGGTTCGTAGCCAACCAAGGCCATGAAATTCGACGCGCTCGGATAACTTTGATGAGTCTGTGGGTATTCCGCCGGATAAAGAATAGTTGATAGTTGATCTTACTGCCAGCTTGCATCTCGTTGTTTATCCCATTGCCCATTGCGATGGTTCTTTAGTAAAAAAGTATTCGATCGCTTCGTAGCGGACATGCTAAAGATTGCTAAAAACACGATCCGTCACTAGTAAGGTATTAGGTATAATCAAGCTGAACAACTGGCTGCAAGCAATGATCGGCCACTAATGATTTTTCATCTCCGATTCAAAATCGTATCTAAGAATATCACAACTAATTAAGCAATCTCACGCCTAATCCCTCTAACGGCAAAACTCAGGAAATAAATGAGAAAACTTTTTTAGCATTGTTAGCGGCTATAGCCCAAGCCTCATTCTCCACGAATTTCTGAATACGGACACGGAGAACGGGATAGCGATGGACAAACCGGGATACGCCCTTGCCTCTTAGGGGTCAAGTGATAACTTGATGAGAGGCTTGACAAGCCAGGCACTCCAAATACTCCAGTCTCCGGATGGATTTCGGTACTGAATCCTCTGCGGAGAGACCCTTGTCTTATGATATCGAACCCTTGGGGGGTCAAGCTGGAACTATACCAGAATCGTCTTATTAGGATGATAGGTATTATCCAAATTTCTATATGCACATAAATAGCAACGGGCAACGTTGAAATAGTTAGTATTATTGCATCTAGGGTCTCGTCCAGGTACAGGAAATATTAAATACACAAATGCGCGATCGCTCAATAGACAATAGCAAACAATTGGATCTTACCTACAATAAGACTTAAGTACCTCACGTAGTACACATGGAAGCAAGAATATTAGGTACGGAATGAAAGACAAGAAAATTACCCGACTCGAGAGGCGTGGAAGCTAATCTCGTTTCACTAATGTAGGTACATTAGCCAACCAGACTTTAAACCCAGCTAGGACGACAGACTAATCTGCACGGCACATATCGTGCACCTGATTGGACCCAGAGCCCTGGAACGATCTCGGGGGCTTACCTTTTGCCGCTGGAAGATAATTGATCCAGCACCGTACATTTTTGTTTTCTGGCCAATCTCATCTCTCCAGATTTCTTAGGAGATCCACTCTGCCTACGGGACCCCAGTTAGGTATGTCAACTTTTTTTTTAATCGCAAACATTATTTGATTGATATGCCTCTTGGCGATAAGATCCATACATTGCGCGCAGCTTAGAAAACGCTATCAGAGAGACAAACGATATTACGCTTGTAGAAGCAAGTGATAATAGGATAATAGTTATCTTCTGACAATCTCAATTGCTCTACTGAGACTCTTGCGCCATTATGTCGACTAGCATTACTGAACTCGAACAGAAGCAAGAGCTTCAGGGCATACGCAAGAACGGTGAGGACTGCAACAGTGTTTATGGTTGTGACAAAGCTTATGAGTAATTTATAGGCAAACAATGGCATCCGCCGCGAAAAGCATTCCGCCCTGGATCCGGTTTGACTTCGTATGAGCAACGAACAAAATTACGCACGGCGACGGCTGCGACGAAGGCAAGGGAAAAGGAAATGAAAGAAGAAAAGGAGGCAGAAAGAAAGGTAAAACCGACACCATCAATATGAAGATGAGACCAGAGGGGTATAGCTGACACTAGGATTAGCAACGGGTTCAAGCCATCAAGGAGAAGCGCGCAGCGAAAGAGGAGAAAGAGAGATATGAAAAGATGGCAGAGAAGATGCACAAAAAACGAGTCGAACGTCTAAAGAGAAAGGAAAAGCGCAACAAGCTCCTTAATTCATGAGCCGCCCAGATATCCTAGAGAACTACGTCTACGATTATTTCCTTATATATTAAGGAGTAGTGGACACGAGCGACGAGTCGACTTAATAGTAACAGCAAAGGCAGCCTGTAGGATCAAAACTCTTTTCTGTCGATGGATATGGATTCTGAGAGATTTATGGGCACGAAGATAATCAGGAATCGGATCCAGGTCGGCTTATTATCCAAGATTGGGAAAAGGCAGATGGTATCCAACACACGGGATTCCGCAATGGGTGTTGCCTTAAAGCAAGTAGTGACAATTTGAGGTCGACAAGGCAGACAGGGAGCAAGTCGAACTGTGCGCAACGGGATAGCGCCCAACTCTGCGACGGTCGACACAGCTAGTAATATAGCATCACATCCACATTACCTAGGTAGCCTACAACTCACAATCTTTGATTTAACATCCCAAGTCTTCACATCTGTCATTCTGCTGGGACTAACAGTGCTATACGATATCTACATTCTAGTCATACGAGCTTACTACATTTTACACGTGTAGATGGGTGTTATAGATGCATACATACATAGGTAGGTAGGCACTTGTTTAAATATCGTGGTGGTAAGACAATATAGAATATGTGCCTAAGGAATGTACACTAAGTGACATGTGAAAGCGCGGAAAGTCCCGTTGTGGGGAGGGCGCATGTGCCAACGGAGTGCCGTAAACTCCCTCCGATCCTCTAATCTCGATCCAATGGAAATCTACTCTCCTACTCACTCCATGTTAATCAACCATACATACGACTGCATCGACTGCATCGACTGCATACCTACCTAATGTAGGTACAATTTAATGCGCGCAATACAGTGCATCTATACTTGTTTTAATCTTGACGCGCGTTGACATAAATCAGGCTACCCTACCTCAAGCGATTCTGGTACCTACGGAAAGATGTCCAAGAATCAAGATTTCGACCTCCTGAAACCTGTGACCACCTCCCCACAACGGCCTCGTCACCAAGTAAGACGGTCGATAACTGAACTGTCATCGCCAGTCAAGTTGCCCCGGCATCACCATTTACATCATCTTCACCAGCGAAAGGATCGCGACAACGACGACCATACTCCCCAATCCGCAAACCCCATGCTTCCTCACCCCCCACGAGGCTCATTTGAGCTGCCCCGATCCGAAGGCACAATGCCATATGCGAATTCCGAAACAAATCTCAGAATCGGCATGCTGAACCCTTCGTCTGACGATGCTACACGTAGTACCAAACCTACAGTCCTCGTGCCGACCTCGATAACTGAAGAGGAACTAGCGCACGAGCAGAGAGAAAAAGTCGCATCAAGTTTAGCGTTCGTCACTACAGCTTCCCGGGGATTATTAAATTTTGACTGGCCATTGTCTTCGATAACTAACATTTGAAATAGGGGATTAAGAAAGTCGCTAGTAGAATTAGGCAATTTTTCGACTACCACGACGATGCGTTTAGATGATACATATTACTCTGTTCTTGAGAGGTTGGGCATGCTTCAGAGTACGATAGTTTCCCTTAAGGAACTCACGAGTATGTCGCAGGAGCTAGACGAAAGCTTCAAAGCAGAGTCGCAAGGACTAGTAGACGAGTTGGAGCAACAGGCTGACTCGTTCGGTCACTTTGACGATCAGCAGAGACGCATCGAAGAACTACAGGGTCGCATACACGCAGGCCGTGACATGGTCGAGACCCTCAGCAAGCGAGTAGATGTAGTACGGGAGCGGATCGAAGGCTGGGAAAGGGCGGACATGGAATGGCAAGAAAAGACAAGAAAACGTCTCAAGACCATATGGATCATCACGTCCGTGGTGATTTTCTCACTAATCCTCATACTGGTTGTAGCCCAGTACGCGCCTTCGTCTGAAAACATCTCGGGGGTTCTGGATCTGACGCCAAGTAACGGACAAGGACAGCCAGATTTGAGTAACGTAGTTGGCAACCAAACTATGAACGCTGCCTCTATGGTGGACGAGGTGAGAGAAGCACTCAGCAGCAGAAAAGCCAATGAGTCTACCGGGAATGGTGTGTTCCGAGTCCTCGACGAGCTATAACTCGACGCCTTGGCCATTCGACCATCACTTGAGGAATTAATTCCCCTGGAAGTAATGATACCCCCCTAGCAACCGTCTTCAGTAGAAGGTTTCTAAGTATAACATCAGACATATGTATAATCAACATTCTCAAGGTACTATTCTATTACGGACCGGTTGCCCTTATCTCTAACACACTAATTACTTTTATTGTGCTGTAGTGACAGCTATTCAACCTCTACCAAGATTGTTTATGTAAATAGCTAACGTACTTATAACTAGTTTATTCATCGAGCGTCATTGTTTCGAAAGCTTAGCAGATAACACCTAAAAGCTTACGTGCAAGTCGAAAGAGTTTTGTAGTACCTAGCACTTAAATGAAACTCGTCAGCGTGAGTACCTAACCTAACTACCTAATCTAAGTGGTCTAGGTATAGGTATAAGTTTGGTGCCGTCTTAGCCGCGGATATATGGCACTTCTCAGGCGACCACTTGGCTTCAGCCCTGCAGGGTCCAGAGCTGTGGAGTTTGTACGTAAGACACATGTAGCCATAGTTGCGTAGTCCTATGTACACATATCTCTAGTTACTTACCACTTTTTTATTCGATCATAATGATGATAAGCAATACATATGATCTTAGGATCATTTATTACCTACTTAATATATGAAACGTGGGTAAAATATCTACATATTGTACTTCACTATTTGTATACAAGCAAGGGATGAAGTACCTACTATATATGTAATAAGTAAAATATTGGTAAGTACAGGTATATTAGCATCTTAAATAGTGGGACACATGATTAACTTATTAAAGTTAAGTACGAATATATGTCGACGTCATCTCTAAGCCACTCGGTACCTATTTCGACGATGCTGTACAGCTTCGGAGCCACTACCACCAATTAGGAGAGAAATGACGCTACCGTTTAACGGCGCATCAAGCCGGATCTAAGAACTTCGGATTGATCGTCTTGGCTGGTCGTGATTCACCTCAGCCCCAAGGTCTCAAACAATGGTAACTTGATCATATGAGAAAGATACAGTCTACCAAGGAAGCAAACGGAGTAAACATGTACAGTGTATAATCTAATTTGCACTGTATTTACATCTATCTGTTGTTACTAGGTTAGAACACTTACAAGGCACCGACTGCACTTTTTCACTACCTCACAAGTTATACACTATTCCATTGACTTACCTTCTTTTTCTTCTTTTTCTTTTCACGTTATCATTCTCTATTTTGTTCTTGTCGCAATACCCCTATTTCACACGATCGATGTCAGATCATCTTATTCGTTGAGAGTTATCAAGGGATAGACGACTTGTGGCTGACGGTATCAAGCTTATTGAATTTATCAATTATTCCCCGCCATAATATCCACTCGCCGATACGCCGTACGCGCTGAGCATTAATTGTTGGCATTTGGGCTGAAGCTTAAATTGCACGAAGACGGAAGCAAGAGCGAAAACGGGGAAGAGGTTGGCTTACAAACCGACATCATAAACCGTAGACTTCCACTTATTTTCCCTGGGTTGGAAAAAAGGGAAAAAAAACCCCCCAAGATCAACTCTAGCATCAAGATATGTCTACTGCGGAAATCGCCCAAGATGGCTCACCCCGCGGTCCTACTACCGATTCCGCTACCCCTCCGGTCCCTCCAGGCCAAACCCTGACCGGAAAACAGGAGCACTGTTCGTATCTCGTCTTGGCAAACACTTCGACGTCATTCATGCTAACCATCATCTCCTATAGACCTCAAGCGAGAGCTCATATCTGAGCAAGTCAGCTGGGAAATATCCGAATTAAATTCCCCTACGGCGCTTCGCAGATTCGGCGCACCATTCAAATCGGAATTTGGAGAGGTGTCACCCTATGATTCTGAACTCCCTATCCTACGTTATATATTCGTACACCATGTACGAGAGTTCCCGTTTCTCGACAAGGCGAATGAGAAGGAATTCTGGCAGGACAAGCTGCAAGTCGTATGTAGTTCCATCAGCAAGCTGCTCGTTATATCATTATATTATCCTAACATTTTAATTTGTGCGCATCTAGTTCCTTGAGTCCTTCGCCAGCAAGAGCATCTCATCTTCTGAAGACCGATTAGAAGAAACCAAGCGTCGCAAGCTAGCCCTAAAATGCCGGAAACTAGTCGAGCTGATGATGGTGTCGGGGGTTCCTACGGCCTCGGGGTTTGAAGAGCGCATAAGGTTTGCGGAGATGGAGATCGTAGACCGAGACGCAATCGATACCGGCGTGTTGAATACCATACCAGAGGGACACTACGTTAACGGATGGGACATCAATGTTGCCGGCGTGCGTCTTACTCGCGTCAAGAAACATATTAGACGTCACAAGCATGCGGTGAGTACCTCTACAAAAAGAAATGATACATAATTCTCATATAACATATCACAGGAATTCCTATTGCGCGTCAAGCGGAAGGGCGAGCTTGGATTCTACGTAGGCAGACGATATGGCGACTTTGTCCGATTGCATAGACAGCTGAGGACGGAATTACCAGGAAAAGTCCTCCCTCCGTTGCCCAAGAAGAACAAGTCGGACACAGCTGCAGCGAGCTTAATGTCGCGCATGACAGATGGTGCTGACGACTCGGACGGCTCGTCTGTTTCATCTGTTTCTACTATCGCGCCTGGATCTCAAAATGGTGGGTTTGCAGAGTCAATGAAGACCTTAACAGTTCGAGATCACCGCCGGAATAAATCCGTGGCTTCTAACCGTACATCGCCGCGCCCGTCCCTCGAAACGTCCGCGAGCAGGGCTCTAAGTCCTAAAATCGATGTAAGTTGTTTATTGCTAGGACCTGTCTTGGTTCACCCAAAGCAGGGCAGGGATGAGGGCTAATACTTCCAGGATGCAATTCTCTGGCGCGAGAATCAGCGTATATCGTTACGAGCATACTTGCGGTATCTACTACAAAACCCCCAGATTGCGCAGACCAAGGCTTTACAGCAGTTCTTAACACACGATCCGGTCACCCCAACTGATGAAGATGTCGAAGACATCTTTCGTCGCAAGGCCGTTGACGAGAAGCGTATGGAGGAGCAGAAGCAATTCTACGAAATAGCAAGAAAAAGAGCTGCCGAGTTGGACGTGTATATGGAGCAGTTCCGACAAGATATCGTCGAGCGCAATGGGCTAACAAAGCTTTTCCAAGAGGTCAAGGAAAAAAACACCATCCAAGATCTAAGTCTTCAATACCAGAAGTTTGCCGAGTGGCTCCGTATCGAAGTAGCCGCAACCATCTACCACCTTTTCCTTGCCGAAGATAATTCGCCAGAGTTGTTTGCGCAGCTTAAGCGGATTCACTCCTTGATCCCCTACACTCTTATGAAAAACGTAATTAAGCTCGCGAATCCCGCTGCTGTTATGTCCGGAGTGCTTGACCTTTTCCTAGCGCAGCCTTTTGGAACTCGGTCTCTTATGCAACGAATTTTCTCGTTGACGCTAAACGACGGAATTAAGAGCTATCAGAAGTCCATCGATGCTTTAGCTCATATAATCGGGGATGACGTGTTTGTGAATAAACTAAAGCAATTCACGGATGCCGAGGAACATACGAAGGTTGCGATTCGAGAAGAAGCGGACTCTGAAGGGGTAGATATTATAGTTGCAGCCCTGCGCTCTGAACTTTTCACTCCAGCCCTCACTGGCGAACAGATTGGGAGATTATTCAACGCATATGTGGCCTTTAACAACGCAGTGGAAAATGTCGACGAGGAACTAAAACAGGGCGCGCAGCTTTTCTCGCATCTAAAGCAGCTTATGAAACTACAAACTAGGCAACGCGACAAGGCAATGATGCTCAGCTTGATCGAAGAACCTGTCACTTTACAATTATTCCGAGACCTTTTCACCATCTTTTACGAACCCCTGGTAAGAGTATATAAGTCGGCCAACGTATACGACAGTATTACCGACTTTGCCGTTTTTATTGGTGATATGATCCAGGTATGTTAACTTATTAGCTCCACGAGTCAAGGCCACTAACACCATTATAGGTTGTCGAGAAGTGTAGGGAACAAGATACCTCAGCAGACCCGAATCAGACGGTACAAGCCTTCATCGACCTATGTCAGCGTCACGAGCATAACTTCTACAAATTCATCCACGAAGTTCATACTCACGACAATGGCCTTTTCACGCAGCTCATGGCCTGGATAGAAGACATTTTAGAGTTCTTAAGAAAGGGGCCGGCTGGTGGAGCATTGGACATCAACGCCCTTTTCGAGGGAGCCGTTGCTAGCGGCAACTTAGACAAGGAGAAGGCGATTGCGGAGATCAATCAGCTTATCGCCTGGCAGGAGGCTCGCAAAAAGTGGCATCATGATAAAACTCGGCAGAAGATGGCTGCGGAAGGCTCAGTCGGTATCGACGGTGGCGTACCGGGTATGAGCAGCTTTCACGCTAGCGACTTCGGGCTCAACGATGCGGACTTGGAAGACATGAGCTACGACGATGGATCTGATGAGGAGGCTGAAGCGGAAGAAGAGGATGAGTTGGACCCTATAGAAGCCGAAAGACGAAGGAGGGCAAAGAAGCAAGATCGTCTCAAGGCACGTGCCGGCGAGCCGCAGAAACCGGAGGTCAGCGAGGTGCATCGGTTGAAAGACAACTTCGTCCAGATGCTACGGCAGGTTCTAGCGCGTTAGCGGTCATATTATTCTAGCATTTCGACCCGAGGTTTAGGACAAAGGTGTATTCTCCATTGGTCGGTTGCATTGGCAAACGTGTACGAAAATTAAGTGAGATAGATAATGGGCGTCGAGCGGGATGCATTAGGTTATAAGTACTTGGGGCATTCGAACAGCCCTCCAATTATGAGATGCTCTTTGACAGATGGGGAAGATATTAGTATAACTTAGGTACTCATATACCTAGGTCCGGTCCTAAGAGTATAGGACCTATTATCATGTTAGTATTAGGTTAAATAAACTTAATAGAGATTTAACTCGGATGATGTTGTCTTCCATGGTGAGCTGGGCTCGTTTATTCTTGATGTGTCATTGAATTACTATGTTTAAGCGAATACCTCCAAAGTATATGCATTATGTGTATGTACGGCTCGGCACATAAGGTATTCCCATTGCCTAATTACACGTGATGATGATGATGATGCCGGTGGCTAAAACGGCTTACTGGAGCGAAGGTGGGAGAGTGGGTGAAGGTGGGTAATGTACAAGAGTACCTCCTGCTTGGGGAAAGACCCGGCTTTATTATCCCTCGGTAATCAGAAACGACGCTATTGGAGGAAGGAATTCGATCGCCTGGAAGCAGCGGTTGAACTTCGACCGGCATCATCACTTTTTTCTGTCTTTCGCCTTTCGCCAATCCCCGAAACTTGTAGGACAAGAGAAGAGTTGTCCGATACAACCCTTTCTTTTTCTCTCTCTCTGCCCTCCTTCTTCCTCGTTTCCCTATTCGTAATGGCATCTTCAATGGCACTAAGGAGGTTAGCCGCTGGCTCTACCGTGAGTATTTCTCCCTTGCTTGAGAAGGCTCAAAATGTGTCGCATTGATTTGGGCTTCCCGAAGTTTAGAGTGAAGTTTAGAGTGCGATGGAAGATGCTAACTATTGCTCGCTGTGATAGTTCTCGAGGGCAGCCAGATGCCAAGCCAGAACCTTCTCTTCCACGCGCCCTGTTTGTACGTACCCCGCCAAATGATGTGTGATGGGAATTGATATCATATCTAATTGCATGTGCGCGCAGCTCGGATCATCGCGAATAACCCACTACGGGCCAAGGAAGCGCCGATACATGTTAGCAACAAATACCCCGTTATCGTACGTCGCACGTTCCACGCTTCTAGACAATGCTTTTAGGATCAACACCGGTTAACTTGTAACTTGACCGTAGGACCACGAATACGATGCCATCGTCGTCGGCGCTGGCGGTTCCGGTTTGCGAGCGGCCTTCGGTCTGGCGGAAGCTGGCTTCAACACAGCTTGTATATCGAAGCTCTTTCCCACGCGAAGTCATACCGTCGCTGCACAAGGTGGTATCAATGCTGCCTTAGGAAACATGCACGAGGATGACTGGAGATGGCACATGTACGATACAGTAAAGGGTTCTGATTGGCTTGGTGACCAAGATGCTATCCATTACATGACGAGAGAGGCACCCGCATCTATTATCGAATTAGAAAACTACGGCTGCCCATTCTCGAGAACGGAAGACGGAAAAATGTAAGTAGAGGCTGAACCTCGCATGACACATGACCGTTTCTAACATCAATTGCTAGCTACCAGCGTGCTTTCGGTGGTCAATCGCAGAAGTATGGCAAGGGTGGTCAGGCTTACCGTTGCTGCGCTGCCGCTGACCGAACGGGACACGCTCTCCTACACACTCTCTATGGCCAATCTCTACGACACAGCACTAACTACTTCATCGAGTTCTTTGCCCTCGACCTGATCATGGAAGACGGAGAATGCCGTGGTGTATTGGCCTACAACCAGGAGGATGGTACACTTCACAGATTCCTTGCGCAGAACACTGTCCTAGCCACCGGTGGATACGGACGAGCCTACTTCAGCTGCACATCGGCACACACTTGTACTGGTGACGGCATGGCCATGGTTGCCCGCGCCGGTCTTCCCAACCAAGATCTCGAATTCGTCCAATTCCACCCTACAGGTATCTACGGAGCTGGTTGCTTGATTACGGAAGGTTCCCGAGGTGAGGGTGGCTACCTCCTCAACTCGGAAGGTGAGCGATTCATGGAGCGATATGCACCTACCGCCAAGGATTTGGCCAGTCGTGACGTCGTCTCGCGATCCATGACCTTGGAAATCCGTGAGGGACGAGGTGTTGGTCCTGAGAAGGATCACATCTACCTTCAACTGAGCCACTTGCCTGCTGAGATCCTTGCCGAGCGTCTACCTGGTATCTCTGAGACTGCTGCCATCTTTTCTGGTGTCGATGTTCGCAAGCAGCCCATCCCCGTCCTACCGACTGTCCACTACAACATGGGTGGTATCCCCACGAGGTACACTGGTGAGGTTCTCACTGTTGATGACAAGGGTAACGACAAGGTTGTTCCTGGTCTGTTCGCTTGCGGTGAAGCCGCTTGTGTCTCCGTCCACGGTGCCAACCGACTTGGTGCCAATTCTCTGCTGGATCTTGTAGTCTTTGGACGAGCCGTTTCTCACACCATCCGAGATAACTTCACCCCGGGTGCTAAGCCCAAGCCTATCAGCGCTGATGCTGGTGCCGAATCAATTGAGGTCCTCGACCAGGTCCGCAACTCCGATGGCCCCAAGAGCACAGCCGAAATCAGACTCGCCATGCAAAAGGCCATGCAGACAGATGTGAGCGTCTTCCGTACACAGGAAAGCTTAGATGAGGGTGTGAAGAAGGTCACCGAGATCGACGGTACCTTCTCTCAAGTCGGAATCAAGGACCGCAGCATGATCTGGAACTCGGATCTCGTCGAGACCCTCGAGTTAAGGAACCTTCTCACTTGCGCGTAAGTTGAAGAATCTTTTTAGTCCAAGGGATAATAGGCTAATGATATTATCAGTACCCAAACGGCTACTGCCGCCGCTAACCGAAAGGAGTCCCGTGGCGCTCACGCCCGAGAAGACTACCCTGAACGAGACGACGTGAACTGGATGAAGCACACGCTCACCTTCCAGAAGAAGCCCCACGGAAAGGTCGACCTCGGATACCGACGAGTCATTGGCACGACGCTAGATGAGAACGAGTGCAAGGCCGTCCCGCCGTTCAAGCGTACTTACTAAACAAACAAAACGATCAAGCGACGGTAGTGTGGTATCAATAGGCGGACGGTTATGAGCTTACTTAATGTCAGCGATGGGGGTGTGAATTGGAGGCGTATCCTGGGCCTGGCAGATTGGGGGGGGGGGGGGGATGTGAGACGAGCCGTCCAATGTGGCGGGGGCCTACTGTATGTATCTTATGCATAGTTTTGCGGACGATGTGTATACGGATAGAATACCAATATTTTTTAACTGTTCAAACTTGGGTGCGGTGTTGTTGGTAGTGAGATGATGTATTAGGTATGCATATGGTAGTTGAGCGTAAGGAGTAGGGGGTAAGGAGTAAGTAGTAGAGTGGAATATAAAATAAAGGAACCTAAAAACAAAATAAAAGGAAAAAAAAAATAATGCCAGGTGCCGGATTCGAACCGACTTCTCCTTCGTAGCAATCCGTCATATATTCTGCCCTCTTGAGGGTGACTCAGCCTTCCGCATATCTGCTTGGTGCACCAGGGCACAAGGTCATCATCGATTACGTCCTGGCCATTAGTCCACTGAGCTAGCTAGGACATCGGGACTGCTGCTCCTCAGGCGACTTCGCCAATAGTCTGGCCTGGCTTGTGGAATGATGGGGGTTTATTACGGTATATATGGTGTATGGTGTATGGTGTTTTAAGTCTGTGACTCAGGGGTATGTGTGTGTGTGTGTCATGGTGAACTTGGCGGGTGGTGGGCACTTGACGGTGGACGAGAGTTGGGTCGGTATGGGTAAGGGATTCTTGTTGCGTGGAGGAGGTGAGTATCACTACAACGTCAGAGATGAGAAGTAAACGGCCTTGGAAAATGAGCTCAGTTCGGAGCTCCCTACCACATTTTCGGGAATTGCCCCTTTTGGAATATCATACATGATACGGATGCTCACGATCACGATAGGCGCCATTTTTTTCTTAAGCCCCCAATCGGCCTGAGCCTACAGTCTGTATACCGGCAGCCGTCTATTTTACTCGCAGTATTGTGCCAGAGTTATCGTAGAGATTTAAATATCTTCTCACGCCCAATCCCTCTAGCACAGCTATTTCCCTCTCGCAAGTATTCCCAGTCTTCTTCCCTTTCCGCTCCGGCAATACGTTACCAACCAGAACATGTTACCCTACTTATCCTACCTCAGCACCACTGTGCTCGGTCTTGTACACGGTCCGCCAAGCCTGAGCTTAACCGCCGTGACCGGGAGGAACAACACGTCCGTCTTTGAATGCTGGCAGCTTACCTCGCCGTTTACCAAAACGGCGGGTGCGGACGTGCTGCGAATGGGTGATATCGCAAATGCGTCGTATTACAGCATCCCGCCGAGAATCGACGGCGGGCGGCACCCGGGGCCCGCAAAACAATATATCTGGGTCATCAGCGGCCTTATGCATAGTATGCTTCTTATGTAGCTAATAGGACTTTGGGAGTCTACCTAGGTATCATGGAGACTTAGGTAGCTGACAATTAACCGGGTTTAGTGTCCTTGCCGAACGCCACGGATGAAGTAATCGTGCACGGTGGCAGATATGGGCTCATGTATATCGACGACACGGCGGATGTCTCGGCTGGGGGTCACAGGTCGATGTTTCCGGGAGACGACGAAACGATTCTCCTTATGATTCCTGTTCGGGGTGGGATTAACCCTCCCCATTGGGTTTTATATGATGGACCCTGCAGGATTGGGGCGGCGCCGGTTGGTACCGGAGAATGGACGCCGCTGGACCCGTGACTACTTATAGAGAGTAGTATAATACGGCAATGTGTAAGAAGTCATACCGAACCCTAGTCCTCCGTCGAATAATTAATTTCTCCTTTCAGACCTAGATCTCTGTTCTATGATTATCCGTTGACGATTAAAAAGTGCCGGGCAATTTTCGAAGATCTTGTCGAATTCAGTTGTGCTTGTATTGAAGATTGCATGAGTATAATATAAGAAGTGTTGACTTACCTCTTGTCTTAAGCAAGCTATCGACGTCGTTTCTAATACCCATATGAGGTAAGATTTGTTATAATATACTAATTAGTATCACAGGAACCACGCTTCGTTTCTCGTTCCTTGATTTCTTCTCCGATGTGGTATCTATCGAGAAGTGATAAGGTATCACGGATGTCCTTTAAATAGGTAGCACCTTGTTTTATCTTGAGAGGTTCGGAAAGAAGTTAGATACTAATAGGTGCCAAGCCTCGGATCAGTATAGTATAATGTAATACAGCAATAGTCTCTGATAGGCGGGCGTACGGCAATTTGCCCAGTTAGCACGGCAGTTCAATTCCGACGGAACACCCGGTCGCCGAGTGCGGGATCGTTTAATTAATAACTTGCTACGACTTCAAGAGAATACATATAAGGTAGTGTTCTCCCAAGCGAAAGCCAATTTACAAAAAAAAAGAATATTATAAAGAGGGGACAGACCAAGAAGCGATATATATAACCTTTTCACCATCAGAAGACACTGAAATTCGCAATGTCCGTTGCACTAATTACAGCGGGGAGCGCCGGGCTTGGAGCCGCGGCAGCCCGGGTCTTCGCGAAGAACGGCTTCCGAGTCGTCGTGAACTACGCCAACAACGAAGAAAGGGCTAATAAGCTCTTGGAAGAATTACCATCCCTATCTACTCTGCCGGGCGATAATTTCGTCACTATCAAGGCTGATCTGGGTAGCCGGGATGATATCAACCGTCTTATCAAGGAAACTGTCGATAGATTTGGTAGACTAGATGTCATATTCTCTAATGGCGGCTGGACTCGTTTGTGAGTTTGCTTGCTTGCCACGAGAAGGTCCTTGTTTTATGATACCGCTAACATATTTGTCCACAGCCGCGGGATGGATAGCATTGACGACAATGCATACGAGGAAGAATGGGATCGTGCCTTTAATATGAATGTAAAATCCCACCTATGGCTGATGCAGGCGGCCAAGAAGTATCTTGACGAAACCGAGGGCGCTTTCATTACCACGGCGTCTATTGCTGGTGTGATCCCAAGCGGTAGTTCTCTGGCAAGCAATCCCAGGCTTAGAATCTTATTGGATTTGAACTAGTAATAACACCAAATAGGCATATTCCGCTACCAAGGCGGCACAAATCCATCTGGTGAAAGCGCTTGCGATCATGGCTGCCCCCAAGATTAGAGTCAATACCGTCTCCCCTGGGCTATTGCTAACGGTGAGATACTCCAAACCGTTAGAATTAATAGCTTCCTACCTATGTAGGGTCTAACGTTAAGTTATAGGAATGGGCAACCCGCTTTTCAGACGAGCAGAAAGCAGCCCATCTACAAAAGACCAAGCTCAAGCGCTTCGTTAGCGTCGAGGATGTCGCCGAGCAAGTATTTACTTTTGCAAAGAGCAAGAGTACGACAGGTATCAACATTGTGATGGATTCGGGGTTTATTCTGTGATCTCGTCACGGTGTATGTGGTGTATGTGCTGGTTCTGCCTAGCAAAGGCGAACATGGCGAACATGGCCTACTTGTACTTGGTGGGTACTTAGACACTCGCCCGTAGACTGATAAATATAAAGTGTAAACTTAGTGAACAAGCGCAGTTGATCATGTGGAATAAACGTGTAGTCTGAGTTGCGTGTGGCTTTTAGAATAAATCATGTATAAATTAGCTGAGACCAATGAGATGGAGATGGAAGCAAACAAGTAACCGTTAGTTAATATGAGAAGGCTTAGCAAGGTGTATAAAAAGCACGGTACTGCCTGCCATATATATGTATGTACTATGTACCAAGTACAGTATACCTAGTGATGTAAACTCTAAAATTCCATCCCGTTAAGCATATTCCTAGGCCGCCACGTGGGAAGGTTATGTGGTTGTGGAGGCTTTTAGCGAATCATATGCATTTATACATGGATACTTAGAATGTCCAGCCCTGCGCGTCAGCTGAGTGAGTACCTAACAAGCCCGATCATTCTCTACTTCTAAATGACTCTATTCTAATAACACACCAAACCCAATCCCGTTGGTTGCCTTGTCAAATTATATATCTTTTATAAATAGCTTCGTATCTCTATTAAGTAGTCTCCAAACTTTCAAAATTCCGCTTGGGAAGCTTACGCACTCCTTAGTTACGGAGGCGTAAATTAAAATTAACAAACTATCCTTCTAAATCTACGGATCCTCCGGTATCAAGTTCATTTCAATACAGAATAGTCGACTTGACTAGCACTAAGAGTCCGGATGGAGGCTATAGCCTCCATATGCCTCGGGCCTCCAACCGGGTCGGGGGCTGGAGGATCAGGGTCAACTACGGTGATCGCAACAACCGTTGTGACCACAGTTGCACTTATCTCGCTCGCTCGATTCACGTTATGGCCTGAGAAGCGCGCTGTCATACCCGGTCCTCTAACGACTAGCTTGCCTAAGCTTTCTCAGGCTGCTCGCTCTGAAATTCCCTATCAACCAGATGCGTTCCCGGGCGCCAGAGATGTCGTTACGCCGGTGAGTCCTCCCTGTATAATAGATGAACTAGTACATGAGTTAACTAACTAATCTAAATTCATAGTATGGCAATATCCGCGTATATGAATTTGGACCAGAAGATGGCCGTAAAGTCTTATTCCTTCATGGGATCAGCACTTCGTGTATGACTCTCAAGGGCATCGCCGTGCCGCTTGCTGAGAAGGGATGCCGGGTCATGCTTTTTGTGAGTAGATTTTAAAATACCCGGCGTGAAATCATGTCCCTTGAAAAGCACCACCCACTTACACTTCTTAGGACCTATTCGGACGAGGCTTTAGCGATGCGCCTGCTGATGTGCCCTACGACACAAGGCTGTTTGTTACTCAAATATTGCTCGTATTAGCATCTTCTCCATTATCGTGGACTGGAGAGAACGGCTTGAGCATCATTGGGTACTCTCTCGGCGGCGGTATCGCCGCCAATTTCGCCGCCACCTTCCCCCATATGGTCGAGTCTCTTGTACTTCTAGCACCCGCCGGACTTATTCGCGCGGAGAACTTCGGGCGTGCGAGCCGGCTCGTCTTCACGTCCGGTATTATACCCGAGCGCCTTCTTGCGTGGCTTACTAAACGTCGTTTACGACAGCCCATCGCCTCGTCCGTGTCTAAAAAGGTCCGGAAATCCATTAACGGCGTAGCTCCAAAAAGCCCCCTTCAGAGCGAAACCAAAGAAGATTATGTGGACGTCGCCGTGCAAGAAGCAGTAGACCCTGTTGAGGGGGAAGTGCCTCCAACACCATTTGAGCGCCAGGTCCTCGGTTATGTGCACTGGGCCCTTGACTTCCACTACGGCTTCGTGCAGGCTTTCATGTCGACGATCCGAAACGGACCGCTAATGGAACAGCATGGATACTGGCGACAGCTAGCTAAGCGGAAGCCCGGGACTACGGCGGTAATCCTCGCTAAAGACGATAGCCTTATCCCGAAGGACGACTACGCCGAAGATGCCCTCCCACTTCTCGGCGGGGAGGACAACGTGTACTGGCGCGTCGTACCCGGCTCGCACAACTTCCCCTTTACACACGCGACAGAGGCGCTGGAGCGCATTTATGAATTCTGGAGCATCGAATGAGGCCAAAAATACGGGAGACCTTCTGTTCCAAGTAGCCAGCCAACATAGATAGATGACTAGAATCCCTTTTGTTTACAGCTGATATACCACAGTTAGTTACGACGACCACGACAAGGACGATGGAATTTTATGTAAAGGAATATATTATTTAGAACAGCGTATAGTTACAAATTCGATTTCAAACCAGTTAGTTGAAGCCATGCCCATTTTCCGCTCTCGAAAAAAATGATTTGTTAGGTACCTAAGATATGTCGAAGAATAGCAGTTGTAGTAAATAAAAGTAAAAATGAAGAGAGAAAAATCGGGCATCCTGGCTTCCGGTACGTTTGTCGCAATGCTAGAACCCTACCTTAGGTTCAACACGCTAAGGCATCCGTGAATCCATATCGGCATATACCCCCCTTTCCCCCTTTCCCCCTTTAAGCCGACTCAAGCATCCATAGCATCCCGACCATTCAACAAGATAATACACGTCGAGATAGCCACCACATCATCCAACTCCTCTCCATTAAGCACCAGCACGGCATCCTTGTCAAACCCAAAGCCCGCGACCCGGCCGATCTCCACGCGCTCCTGGTTCAGACACTTATACAAGACACCCACGCGGCCGCGCGTCATGTCCCAGAAGTACGGAATGCTGTGCCTGACAAACGCCTCGTGCTTGCTGTCCTCGTCGCGAGAGCTGCCGCCTACGGGACACATCTCGACCTCGTGGCGGGAGTGCTTGCTGCCGGGGGGGAAGCGCACGCGCGACGAGTCGAAGGATACGAACGTGATGTTGAGGTCGCACACCTTGTCGCCCGAGCGCCCGTCTACCATCGTCTTCAGCGTGCGCATCATGTTGCCCGAGGACTTGATCTCGTAGGCGGGGGGGCTGTTGTTTTGGAGTTGCTTCTGCGCGGCTCGCTCTGCTTCGTCGAGGAATGCGTGGTTGAAGTCCCCCGAGAAGGGGGCCCGGACTTGCCCGGATAGGTTGAGTACTTTGGCGGTTGTTTTGAAGTGTACGCATCCTTTGAGGAAGAAGACTTGCGTAGGTTGGAGGACTACGTCCTCGTTGATGGGGAAGTCGTCGGGGTGGAATGGGTGGCCCATCATGCTTTTATAAATATCTTCTTGTTTATGTTTATGGGAGATAATTGGTACGATGTAGATGTGAATTATTGTTCAAAGTGAATAATAATACCCTTCTCCCCGCTCTCTTTATTTCGTCCCTCGATTTACTTTCTCGTTAGATATTTTACTCTCTGCTCCCTAACCAGTCCTTAAGTTGCGAACCCGACGAATATATGAGTTTCTTTTTTAATTCAAGGAAATACGATCGATGGTAATTAAAGTATTATTTCATTTATTACTTTCAATTATTTGGGAAACGTCGAGATTAGCGTCGAGAACCGGCGCCGTGGTTGCTTATAACGGGCATCCGTAACACGGGAGTTGGAGTGGACTTACCGTCGCGGAATGTGACGTCACGGCCGGCCGCATTACCTGATTTCCAGGCGTGGCTGCTCACTACGTCCAAGTTTTAAGAGCATATATGTGGCGGCCACTGGCGTCACCGAGGCCTATACGAACCCTATTACGTCCATATTATGGGTAATACGATCTCGATCTGCGTGAGCTTGTTAGGCATGTTGGAGGGTCAGACTACAGCAGAATGAAAAGTGTGATACTTACTTACCTAGCCTGGATGCTTACCCCTAAATATAAATATAAACCTTAAACTCATTTTATTCCTCAATTTGTAGGGTTAATTGCAGAAGCTAAGATTTAGGATTTGGTGAATTCAATTTGGATTATGAAAGAACATGAATGATATGACCAAGTCCACTATGACCAAGTCCACATTGGCTAATTGGTATTTATCTGACTCTTATCAATGCTATTGCCGAAAGAATAAATAGTCCCCGTGGAGCGCCTCGGAGAAACACCATCTCGCAGATAGTATCGAATGATGATGGTCCAAAATTTGTGACAAATAAGTATAGTCTAGATCTCCGAATTAAATATGAAATCAAAGAAATACACGCCGCAGATTTCTGTAAGCTCATCCCGAAAACTCAGTATGTAGTCCTTGCTGCCGCTGTCAGTAGAATTCGAGATCTCCCACAAGGTTTTACAAAAAGATCCGTTTTAAGATTCATCTGCACAAGTGTGTGTGCGTGTGCCGATATGGACGTCACCGATGATTTTAGTCCGTACAGGGCAGACGGCAAGCTCGTAAGTGTTAATTATCAAAATCTCGTAAAATAGCGACTAACGTCATGCGGAATCATAGCATGGCTTTGTTTGTGTGGTAACAGGGGCTTCCCAGCCTGTCAGCCAGGCCATTATTCAAGAGCTAGCAGGTTTGGCCAACCGCCAATCTCATCAAATATTTGCGTTTTGAGAAGTTAATAATAAACTAGCCCACGGAGCAGCTTGCATATACGGTGATTTTAGATCGAAATACCTTAACAGATTAGATTTAGATCCTAACGAGGAATAGCATGCGACAGGACCGCCAGCTCAGATTTATATAAAGAACTCGTTGATAGAGTAGGGAAGGAATCCCTAAGCTGCAAGGTCATCCCGTACCCTTTCCACGTTGCCAAAGAAGATGAGACACTCGTCCTGATAGATGAGGTCCTCAACGCCTTCGGGAGACTAGATGTCTGGGTCTGCTCTTCTGGTCTTCTAGGACCCCCTTCGATTGAAGCTACTACGCCAGACGACTTACAGAAATGCTTCGAGGCTCATTCGTTGGCACCTTTCTTCACATTGAAGTACGCCCCTGCTGCGATGGCTAAACTAACCGAGAAGAAGACGTATCCGAATGCTGCACCGAAAAGCCAAAAATATGGCAGTATCATTGTTATCAGCAGCGTCGCATCAGTTTATGGTGGATGCTGGGGGCCCTGTTACACTATGACATCCCACGCTGCTCTCGGTGTAGTGAAAGCAGGTGTCGCTAATCTCAAAGGCACTGGAGTGAGAATCAACTGTGTACGTGAACCTAGTCTGTCGCTGTTTCTTGAGCTCTAGTTAGAGCCAAGAGTGATTTCCCCTAACTTCGAAATTTGTGGGTTGCTTGGTCAAGGTTAATACTAACTTGACCGTTCAGATATCTCCAGGTCAAATCGACATTGGCGTAGACCTCCAGGGGGTAAGTAAGCTCACTACTTCGGCAAAATAAAGTTGAAAATTGAAATGAAGAGCAGGAATGAAGCAGCACCGTTTGCAGTCCTTATCGCGTTTCCGTCACTAACTGATAGCCTGATAGGTAGATACTTCCCGTAGATAAGACAGCCCACTTCTCGCCCACCTATTCCGGCAATATATAAAGTATTTATGTAACATCTTACTAAGGAACTTTACTCGTGTATAATTTAATCCGTTAGGGGGTCATTCGTTGAATCGTTCTTGGGCTTTACCACTTCACCTAGTCGAGAGAGCACACAATGCCTCCCCAGCACCAGATCCTGCCAAGCGCAGATGAGGCCGTAGTAGAATCAACATGTCAGAAGTACAATCTGACCAAGGCAGAGTTCAGCGAGCTGCATAGCCGTTGTGTTGCGGCCAAGTCGACGGCTTATTGCCCGTACAGCCAGTTCCGAGTCGGCTCGGCTATCATCTCTGTCGACGGCGTTTATTTCAACGGAGCCAATGTCGAGAATGCCTCGTACCCGGTCGGCACATGCGCCGAGCGCGTGGCTTTCGGCAAGGCGGTGACTGAGGGACATCGGAAGATTAAAGCGGTGGCTGTAGCCACTGACATAACTCCCCCGGCTAGTCCGTGTGGGATGTGTCGCCAGTTGTAAGTTGAGAATCCCCCTTTTTTTCTTCTTCCAAGTCCGAGTTAGCTCACTGGAATCCTAATTGTAAAAGTATTCGGGAATTTTGCGATCTTACGGCCCCAATTATCATGTTCGACAAGGATGATAACTTTTCAGTGTTACGTCTTGAAGAGGTATGTTGGCCGGCGTCAGTCTTTTAAACATAATCATAGGCTAAGAGTTGTATAACTAGTTGTTACCCTTGTCTTTTGGACCTGAAGCACTCCCTCCGCTAGGATCACGCTCTGTTTGAGAGTGTGTACATAGTATTGCAAAGGATTGGCTTCTGAAGTCGCAACTGGGCCTGTCGTTGTTGTGGCTGGTGTACGTTTCTAGCTGTAACCTCGATTATTATGTTATTATGTATAAAGTTTAGCTCATCAAGATTCGCGTGTTTCCAAGGATCATTTTGACGGTCTACATGAGCTGGATGGCTAAATGCGGGGGACCTGGGGCGGCGAGCTATGCATTCAAGATCCAATATAGATATTCTGGTCCTTAATACAATAGTACAAATTCTCTCACTCATCTCTGTAACATTTTATTCTGGATAGAATACCGCATATGCTTCAATAAATTAGTTACATCAAGTACCGTGAAGCTAAACCGATCCTGCTACACTCTATAGAGTCTTAAGACAGGGTAGTCAGGCATAAGTCGTACCAATATATCTGATCTAGTTAGTTCATTGCAATTCTATCTTCTCCAATTACTCGTAGCTATTCTCAGTCTTTTAACCTAGTAACTCGTATATGAAGATATCATATAAATCCAACGTAAGACACGTTCCCAGAATGTAACACGATATTATGTTAGTCGAGACTTTTGCTCAGAGCTTCGCTGAAATTGGAGCCGTTCCCCACAAGCCACCATCCCCGCAACCCCGGGAATTGAAGCAGCTAAAGAGGTTAGACGATCTCGAAGTTCTAAGCGCACCAACCAGCAAACTAGAAGTTCGGTCCGAGAAGAGGCTAGCTCGATAATTCCATGCTCTCCCGCCTCCGCAACTTCGTCCTAGCGGGCAATATACCCCGTATCCGCTGGAGTAATGTGGAGGACCGCAGAGCTGGAGCCGCGCAGTGATTGGTAGTCTTAGGGATACCGTAGCATTAGAAGTGAGGATGTGGGGAGACGTACGGGTTAGTTGTAGGAGAAGACCCCGCGCTATAGGGTGGCCTTGCGCTTGAAGGATCTTGGAAGTTGGAAACGGATGGGGATGTGATGTCGAAACCCAATGGTCAAGCTCACCTGGGGGTCAATTTCTGCACCTATAGCAGCCCGTCCTTATCTGCGCTCCGTATTGCGACTTTACACCGGTGGCTTCTGAAAGCTGCAGCTCCTCATATGGATTATGGCCCGATGGGTGCTGCCCCCTGCACGGCGGAAAATCACCGAATGGGCCCAAGATTGCCCATGCTACGCAGTAAGCGTGCGATGGCCATGGCCGGGAGCAACTTGGGTGTCATTGGGACGCATGCAAGTGAGCTTTAATATATGAAGGGTTCACTCCACCACCATGGATTGTCGTTCCCCGAGCTGCCACTCTTCTTACTCGACTTTGCCTTCACGTGCTATAGCTTGTTTTCCTCCCCCGTGACAAACCTACGAGGAAAGCGATCAAGATGTCGAGGTTTCCAAAGATCAGTACGTCGACTAATAGCAGTCAATAGAATTATATGTGCGCAATGCTTACACGTCTTAGCAAACACTTACTTCATGGCGATTATCGCCACCGTGGGCGGTATGCTCTTCGGTTTCGATATCTCGTCCATGTCTGCCATCGTCATTACCGACCAATATATCGACTACTTCAACAACCCCTCTGGTCTCACCCAAGGAGCCATTGGGTCTGCTCTTGCCGCTGGATCTGTCGTTGGTAGTTTGATGGCCGGCCCTATTTCGGATAAGTATGGTCGACGTGATAGGTAGGTCTGAACTCCTCATTGGTATCTACTAGAGTTGAATCTCACGTCTTGTAGTATCATGTTTGCCTGTCTTTGGTGGCTAGCTGGAACTGCGGTCCAAGTTGCTACCACCGGAGTAGGCTCGTTAATTGCTGGTCGTATCTTGAACGGTGTCTGTGTCGGTATCACCTCTTCTCAAGTCCCTGTGTATCTCGCAGAGATTGCCCCACGAGTAGGTTGAGACTTCGTGCTTGGAACCACTACCAGTCGCTAACGAGCTATATAGGATACTCGGGGTCGCATTATCATTATCCAGCAGCTTGCCATTGAGTGGGGTATCTTGATCATGTACTTTATTGGTTATGGAGTAAGTAGTTCCCACGATTCACAAACGGTGAGAAATAGTTAACTCATTATTGCAGTGCTCTAAAATCGAAGGCACGGCGTCGTTTCGAACCGCATGGGGAACACAATTTATTCCCTGCGTGGGTCTTATGATCGGTCTTCCTTTCCTTCCTAGGTCTCCAAGATGGCTTGCCAAAGTCGGCCGCGAGGAAGAGGCAATTCAAACTCTTGCTGATATCCAAGCTGGTGGTAACAAGGACGACCCACTTGTCGTCGCCGAGTGGGAGGAAATACACACTGTCCTGAACGCAGAGCGCGAGTCGATTCGAGGATGGAAGAAGTTCTTCGTTAATGGCATGTGGAAGCGAACTCTGGCTGGAATGAGTGTACAGGCCTGGCAAGTAAGTCTTATACGAAATGCTACCACCGTGAGTTTCAGTAACGCTAACACTATAAAACACTATAAAGCAATTGAGTGGCGCTAATGTTATCGTTTACTATATCGGATACGTCTTCTTGATGGCGGATCTCCAAGGTGATGTCAACTTGGTTTCTTCCGGCATTCAATATGCGGTCTTCATCATGTAAGTCGTAATGAGCCGAGGCGATCCGATCCTTTACAATAGGTGCTGATTATATTTAGTTTCACCACCATTATGTTCTTCTTCATTGACCGTACCGGTCGTCGAACGCTCCTTGTATCTGGTGCCATAGGAATGGCTATATGCCACTTTGTAGTTGGTGGCCTTCTTGGTACCTACAGCATTGATGTCCCCGAGGGTGTCGGCGGAAACCACAATGTTGTTTTCAAAGTCACGGGCTCCCCTGCTCACGGTGTCATTGCATTTAGCTACCTTCTCATTATCGTCTATGCGCTCACTCTAGCTCCTGTCGCTTGGGTTTACGCTGCTGAGGTTTGGTCGCTTGGAACACGCGCTACTGGAATGTCACTGGCTGCGGTGGCCAACTGGCTGTTCAACTTCGCCCTGGGACTCTTCACCCCGCCAGCATTCCTTAACATCAAGTATAAAGTTTTCATCATCTTCGGCGTGCTTTGTATCGGCGCAGCTATCCAAGCCTGGTTTACGTACCCTGAAACATGTGGCAAGACTATCGAGGAAATCGAAATATTGTTTGCTAAGGGCGCGCCAGCGGCGTGGAAGACCAAGAAGGGTGGTTCTCGTCTTGAGGCTGAGATCCAGGCCGTGTTGAACCGCAAAGAGCATGGCGAAGATGTTCATACTGATGTGCATCCGGAACTCCAAAAGACAGCAACAAGTGAGGTAGCTAAGGAGACCGTGTAGGGTTTTGTCCAATAACGATAGCTATTATTCTGACCTCTAGTATTTGCGAGGTCAGAGATGCTGCAGTACTTTATCTTGTTGGAGTTGGGGAGGCATAAGCGAAGGAAGACTTCTAGCTCATATACCAGTAACCACACAAATTGAAGAATAATCTAACCTTGCTGTTAGTCTACGAAGTAGTTATGTAATATATTTCTACCGGAGTTATTCGGAGAATACCACCCAGGTACCTGGTAGATTAGGTACAAGGTTCTACTATGTACTTCGTAATTGATTTCTATTGTTCCGTAATACATTTAATACATTAGGTACATCAATGTACAATTTAAATATGTACCTAAAGCACGAAGTACCTAATATGCAAGTGAGACATTGCGCTACCCCTATGTAAACTTTACCGTCCTTTTGGGGAATCCGGTTCCTTGCATGTGCAGATATTATGTACGTACAAAATTGGAAGCCAAGCACGGAATAGGAACTGCCCCACATCAAAACGTCGGTTCCCCTTACCCAATCTGCCAATCTAACATTGCACCGATTTGTTCGATTTGTTCCAGAGCTCAATGCGCCCATTGCTCGATACTCCTTATCCTACCTTTTCCCTTCTCCATATTCGTCGAGCCGCATTGGCAAAGATCAACTGTCTGCAGCATTCATTCACCTGGCAAAAAAATAAAAATAAAAAACCATATACATATACCATTGGTGTACCATGGTAACTCGTTAATGTGATTATGTATTTATAGTGTCTTGTTGAGCTTTTTTAGCCCTACAGCAGCCACGTCGCGCTGGTTCATGCCGACTTTCCCCTGCGATTGACCGCTGCCCCTCCGCCCTCACATTCGCAAACCCGCCCGATCGCGTTTCCAACACCACAACCATGGACCAGGCAGACATACCGGCATTGCTGTCGCGGTTAGCTAGCGACGAAGATGCCGCGCGGAAAATGGCAGTTTTTAAACTGCAGTCCTCTATAAATGACCCCTCCTTCGCCGATGTATTCATCTCCTCTGGCGGTTTAATTATACTACGGCGTCTTATCATGAGTACCGGCGGCAATACCCTCGCATATTCGCTACAAAGTCTCAGTCGATTGCTCGAGGTGGACATGGGATGGGATATCTTCGAGGGCCCGACTGCAGGTGATTTAGTTGAGCGCGTTGTCGAACTCATCGTCACAAATCCTTTGGTCAACATTCTTCGAGGTGCTATGTCCATTCTCGTCGCACTTGTCAGCCATTCGCAGTCTACCTCGTCAGGAGGACGGGTGCCTGTATCGTTCGGCTTTCGCGCATTAAAGCCAGCTGTCGCCGTGTATCCACAGTTCTTCGACCTCGTCATCCAGCAATTAAACTCGGCGGACCACGCCCTCTGCGCCAACGCACTTATGTTGATCAACGCTCTCATAAGGGATGCTGTCTCAGGCGAGTCTAATCTCGACAGTGGTAAGACAGCTGGTACTGGGGAAGAGTGGCCTAAGTTTATAAGGAGATTGCAAGATCTGGGTCTAATCAAGGCGGTATACAACCTGATGCAGAGTTCGGCACTGCAAGATCTTGCACACCCGCTGTTGGAGTTTCAGTCTCTTACTAAGGTGCTGCTTCAAAAGTGGCGGCAAGTTCAGGTTGACGTTGAAAGACCCGAACACAGGAGAGCGTTAAAAGGGCTTCATCTTGCCAGCGCGCCAAATAGAGACCACGTGAACGGTGTAGGGAAAGTTGAAGAGCTTCAGGAGTCCGGAAAGAAGGGTAGCAGAAGACACAATCCCGAGAAGTGGAGGAGGCTTGGCTTCGAGACTGAGGGCCCGGCGGCAGAGTTTAATAATACGGGGTTCCTTGGGCTTATGGATCTTGCGGACTACGTGCGAAAGAACGAAGATGGGTTTCAGAAGTTACTTCTGGAGCAATCCACCAAGCCGCTCCACGAACGTTGTCCTATCGCCAGGTCCAGCTTAGCGGTTACGCTTATTTTGTACGAACATTTTGGTTGTGATAAATCAGAAATGGAAGATCTAAGAGGATATCAATTATCAGACGGAACACACCAAGACAAACTCTTCCGACCGTTGCTTCTCCAATGGTCTAGATTACATACAGCTGGTTTAAATGCATTCTTCAAGCTATGGAAATCTACGGGCGCAGAACAGGAGGATTTTGATAAGGTGGCAGAATTGGTTCGTATACTTGTCGACCAGGTTGTAGGACAGGCTGGCCGATCGAAGGACGTCTTAGAGGTCGAGGATGATCTAGTTGAATACGACTTAGGGCGGCTGCGCGAGCTCCAAATGGAGCTCCTAGAACTCTCGTTCGACGACCAATGGGGCCAGCACCTTTACAAAGTGCGGGAAGGCTTAAACCAGGAGGCCCTCACATTTATCAAGGAACAACGTGTCCGATGTCTCTTACAAGGTTGCTGGTTTTCGAAGCCATCAACGCGAAAAGATGACCAAGGGAATAACGCACCTAACCGTCGTGCAGCTAATGGTACACTTTGGAGGTACGCTAAATTGTCGCACAACCGCCGCTATCTGCACTGGGCCGATTTTGCGTTCCGAACCGGGCCGGAGCCGAATCTGGATGCGCTTAGTGAGAAGGTAGATCTACGAGAAGTTAGCTCTGTCGCGTCTAACGTATCTGTTCCGTCTGGTGACGCGGGCGGCGAGACGAGCAACAGCACAAAGATTACAATCTTTGGCTATCTTAATGTTGACGAGGCTAATAAAGCTAAAGACCTGAGCGACATAAAAGAGGAGCCATTGCTCACTCTACATCCTTTGAACCATAGCCTAGCATCGGAGTGGCTCGACGGCTTGCTAATGCTGCTAGGCCAAACACCGATAACAGCAGAGACTAATAAGCTCATCAAGCTGGTACAAGACTATGGCATGAAGATCAGACTGTTGAATGTCCGGATGGAAGCCACTTACATGGGCCCACCAGAGGGTGCTGGTGTGGTGCCGAGTAGAGAGGAACTAAATGACGATTATTGGTACGAAATTTAATATGGTTTCCTCTACGAATATGTAGAGGCATCGGGCAGCATCGATTTTGGGTCGCATACTTACTATTAGTACAAGTCTGCGATCCAGACTCCTAGAGTGCAGAAGGGGTGGTACTATTACACTGGTTTCAACGTTAATCGACATACAGACTCGCCCGCAGGGGATGAAGCTTTTACGGCGGATCGTTTTTGTCCGAGGATACCACGTTTTGTTTTTGTACTTTTAGAGGATATACCCACGACTGAATTAAGAATCGATATTGTTAATAATCGACTTATAATTAGCTGTATTCTAGGACTTCTTAACACAGGATAAGCCTGACTTAAGGCAGCTATAAGTTTATATATGAAATTCCTAGATTTCTAAATTTAATAGTCCAGCTCGCCTTAACTTATTTAGTATTTAGAACTAGGTATTATTTTGTGAGATCTACTGAACGTCTTACGATGCGCCGCGGGTGATTCTGCCAAGCTTTGCGGGCAATATTGATGTATGTATGTACTTCGTATGTGCATAGGAGTTATATGTACGGAATACTAGCGTGGTTGCTTCCCAGGATCCATTTATTAGTTACAACCGGTTTTCAGCCCAGCCCCAACCACCTGGCAACACTACAGAATTCCCCACCTGCCGTCACTCCTAATCTTTGAGTTTATCGTCATTGCTGTGAAACAATTCCGTTTACAACTCCAAACTCCAACGGTCTGGATTCAGACAAAGACACTTGTATTGAGTTCACATCATATGATTACAAATACGTAGTCAATTGAGGCAAATACATACCTCGGAATAAATATCAAAGAAGCTTACCTAACAAGATGCGACGGTCGGGCGCTCCTAGTCCGTCGGGCAAAGTCCCACTGAATGGACACTTTAGGAACGGCATTTGGTATTGTAAGTCATACCTTAAACTTAATAGATCATATCCGCTACCACACGATATACCACACGATAAACTAATTAACTTATCGTTCGTAACACTAGGCAACTGTATTCCTCGCCTTCCCGCAATCCAATACCTAGCCAAGCGAGAGACCCCTAATAAGGGACGATCTTTCTACGCCTGCAAAAAGGACAGAAACAAGGAGAATAAATGCAATTTCTTCCTGTGGACTGAGGACGCCCACGTGCGCGAAGTTAATAACGTCCTGACTAATTCACGCAGCGAGGCTGAGGGGACTCCCAGCCGGCGGCCTAAGAAGAGGCAGCGAACGCTCCATGAGAGCATAACTCCGGCGAAAGAGAAGCGGCAGGAGAAGACTCCTATTACTAGTCTAGCAGATCTAGACCGTATGCTTAACCCCGGTTCTCCTTCTGCGACGGCTCAAAGCTCGACTATGAAGACTAGGTCTAGCTCCAAGGAGGTGGCCAAAAGTGTACAGAAGAGCGGTTCATCAGACGAAGATGATGACTCGGCTCACACCTCAGACGACGCTCAGGCGCAGTCTGACTCGACGCCAGACACGCCATCAGCAGCGCCGAAGAGAAAATGGTCGGACGTCGAGCTAAATGTCGAGGAGTATAGCGACCTCACCTCCGGCGAAGAGGAGGAACTCGTCGCTCTGGCCAATAGCTCAGCCCAACCCCAAACCAAGCAGCGCAACGCCTTCGCCACCCCCTCCGGCTCTCGTACCCTCATCGAAGACGGCATGGCAACCCCGCTGACCGAAAAGCCCGTCCGCCGCGTGCTCTTCGCAGACCCCTCCTCCCCCACCACTCCCAAGCGGGACCTAGCCGCATCCTCAACCAGCCCCCCGTCCTCCCAGCAGCAGCAGCAGCAGCAACAAGACCCCGCCACGCCCGGAAGGGAACGGGAGCTCACGCAGGAAATCATGGCGCTTCTGTACGACCAGAACATCGACGGTGCCGTGCGCCGCAAGATAAGAAGCTCCTTGGATCGGCACGCGGCGCGCGCCAAGGGCCTCGAGAGAGGACGCGATGCGTCGCGCGAGGCGGCTAAGAAGGCGGAGGCTAAGGTCGCGGAGCTGCAGCAGCGGGTTGCGGATTTGGAGAACCAGAGGAGGTTGGATGGGGAGGCGAGGCAGAAGATGAGGACGGATTTGATGAAGTTGTATCGGGAGAGTTAGGAGAGGGGTATGGGGGAGGGGATGAAGGACTAGGGTCGTTTTAAGTTGCGTGTTTGACTTTGCGTGATGGCGCTTGGGGGGGGGGGGGGGGGGGTTAGTGTTTACTTGTTCACTGCGGAGCTTGAGTGTCCGTTTTTGTGAACGGTTGGCTTGGTCAACTGTATTTGATGCTGAAGGATACCCTTTGGTTTTTTGCTTAGTGGAAAAACACCAGATAGGTAGTTAGGATTACGAACTATGGCCATGGTTGTAAGGCGTTAGATTATTATACTTCAGTATACGTCCAGTTTAAAACTACTTTATGATATGATACTAGTTTTCATTACTTTCGTAGCTTTCCGATTGAGTTTCTGGGTTGTAAATAACACCGGCTGAGTTTGCCATAGGTATGATATATATGCCGTTCATAACACTAGTAATTGAGATTATAACACCAAATATTGTACCTCGATATTGCAGTATAAAGCATCGCAATCATGAAAGTACCAGGGTTCTATGCCCTTACATTCTATCATAACATCGTCTTCATCTTCTTAGGAGCAACCGGGGAACCTAATCAAACGGTATCCGGCGTAGCTCCCCAGAGCCTTGTTTCCGCATCGCCTGGGCCGCGGCAATCGCACTGGGGACCTTAATCCCACAACAGTCGCCCCAACTGCTGCCATTGTGCATGTGTTTCACTCCGTCGTGCTCGACAACCACTCCTCCACCTTCGGGTTCATTTTCTTCGTTCGATACGCCTGCCTCAGACTCGGTGCTCATACCCTCCACAGCAGGCACCAGTGAACCGAAGAGAAAGTGTTGCATCACTGGCAACTTTTTGAGCACCTCTTCGACAAACATCCTTCTCATACCGCCCTCAATCTTGGTCCAGTTCTTCGCTGATGAGATGTCGTCTAGCATCGGGCTATGCCAGCGCAGGCCTTTGACGGTCTTCGTGCTGTTGACAAAGTTCACCTGACCAAGATACATGAAGTCATGGCCAAATTCTTCTAGGGTTAGTTCCTGGTGTATCGCCATTGGGGTGATAAAAGGGTGATGGAGAAGCTGGCTAGCTCCGAAGAGAAATGGTAGGAATTGGTAGTCGTCCAAACCCCAAACGCCGTGGGAACCAGCTGGTTCGAGGTAGTATGTTGATTGAATTGTTCGCATAAGCTCTAGGTACCGGGTAAAGACCTTGAGGACCAGTGCTTTGAAATCGGCTTTCTTCACAATCTGAAGCTGATATAAGCACAACAGCCATATTATGAAATTTAATTCATGACCTGAGCCATAGTCTATTCTGGTCCGGTTGCCAAAAGACTGGTTAAGGTATGTCTCGACCTCCGAGATAGCATCTTGCGATGTCAGACCGAGCTTCCGATGCCAAGACGGACTGGTAGCTTTGGCCTTGTCAAGAAAGGTACGGAAGACCTTGTTTCCAAACCGCGACCCTTCGGCATCGTCGGGAGGGGTGGCTAGAACTAGTGCTTCAACCTCATCAAGAACACCAATGATAGATTTGATGATGGGACTACAGTCGTCATCCTTGATAGCTGATATAGGAGTGTCTACTACAGCATCTGCGAGACCGAAGACAAATGCTAGAATGAGGGTGTGAGTTTGTGATGAGAGAAAGAGTTTGTGGTCCTCAGTAGACAAGATTCGCCGGGTGGGAACCTGGAATGAATGAGATGAAGGGTCTGGTGGTGGCGGTAAAGTAGGCGTTTCTGGTGGCGGAAGAGGGTTTGATGGTGGAGGCCGTCGACGACGCGGCTCCAACTTCGGGATCTTATCCTTAAGATTCGGTATCGTTTGTAGGGGATTTTGGGTAGCCATGATAGCTTTAGCTTTAATCATAGAACCAGGAATAGTATCTGTAAAAATGTTGATCAGACCTAGGTATCTCAAGGCGATCGTGATGAGTTGATTATAAAGAGATGCAGGTACCATATGAGGTATGCAGGTATTAAAGTTAAGGTACGCCACCCCTCTGCAATCACGCATTACTGAATACCTAATATGTACGTACATATATCGAATTGATGAAGGAAATAGAAGTTGCGAGTATCTTTTCGTTATTTCTATGTATTGGGCCACAGCTGCACAATGCAATAGTACAAATATGGCGGGGTTAAAGTACATACCTACCTGTATCCTATGAAATGCAGCCGCGCCCAGATTTATCCTATTGTACAGGCTGCTTGGCTGCCAGATCCCTACCTTAAACCTAATTGAGAAAAAGTTAAATCCCAATCGTCAGAAATCGTCAGAAATCGTCAGATCAAGACCTCACCATTACGATTTCTGCGCAAACACCATTTACAACCCAAAAAAAAATCCCTTGCAATTCCTCGCGAAAATGACGATCAATACCGAACCAGAAGCATTACTGTCTCACCTTCAAAATTCTGACGGCTCCGCTACTTTCTCTTTTGCTGGCTATACCGTGGTTGGGGCTGTAAATGGGCCGATCGAGGTTCAGAGACGAGATGAGCTCCCGGAGGAGGCGGCCGTCGACGTGATCGTACGACCAGCTGCAGGGGTTGGAGGTATGGCTTCCTTCGAAGCACACTGACCCTTATATATAAACACCACTCACCATTGCTGTTTTCTAGGCACTAGAGAAAGGCACTTGGAGTCACTGATTCAGTCGACTTTGCGCCAGATCATCCTCGTCAACAACTTTCCGAGGACCCTAATCCAGGTTATTCTACAAGTCACCACTGCGCCTGAGAACGAATATGTCAATGCCAAAGTAGCACAGGCTACCTCAGTAAGCTGCACTTCAATATGGGTTTTAGGAGAAAAATGAGAGCATACTAACCGGACGTGCAATCTTCTAGAACCTGCCTATTTTGCCTGCTCTACTGCAGACAGCGGTGCTCTCGCTCCTCTCTGCCGCCCTTCCGTTGACGGCGACACTGACATCGACCTCACTGGCTATTGTCGCTGATGGTCAATCGAAGAAAGTCGTCTTAAACCCTTCGCCGCGAGAAATTGAAACGTCGCAATCGTTCCATGTCTTCTCGTTTACCTCGCACGATGAATTGATACTCGCAGAAAGTGAAGGAAGCTTCACGGTAAAAGAATGGGACGATGCCTTTGCCGTCGCTCAACGTCAATGCTGCCCTCCCGTCACTACGGGCGATGGAGATACCCTCATGGATGATAGTAGCCTACCTGGTACGGACTTGAGGCAGTTTACGCGATCTACGCTGGAGGGGAAAATAGCCTCGGACTTACATTGGAAGTAAGCGATTCTATCCCGTACATCCTGGATTAGCACGGGCTATATTATACGGATATGACTGGCTAGAATCTACGGCAACAATGCTGGATTGGCGGTCAGTAATGTACGTTGGTCTAGTCCCGCTCAGACATGTTTGATACTCCCGAATCGGCGCATCGCTTTCATGGAGATGCTATGGATTGGGGATCTTCTACCGGGCGCGGTGGATCATCTGGCTAGTAGTTAATGGGGTTCTTGTTTGCATTAGCATGGCAAATGTTGATCGGATGGTTCCTTTTGGTAGGCGGACGGGAAAAATGGCAGCATCCCAGGAAGCTAATGACTAGGTATGTGTTGCCAATGCTAGCCAAGAGTTTGGCAGATATGCTGGGCTAACCGACGAGTCTGTTATAGGGACACTAGGAAACGAAGAAAGCGCTTCGTCCCGAGCACCAATCAAGTGCGGTGGTGATGGCATTGACAGTCTTTACAAGATGTGCCTGCAAAGATTCACAGCGCATATTGTTCGTAGCCACGTTTTCTCAGCTAGGACTTTTACGAGGTACCGAAAAGACGGGTTGACAATCCTATCGAAATTCGATTTATTTGTGATGCAGTGGAGTCCCATGGTGGTGGAGTGGCGGTTAATGGTTGTTTCTGGATGTGTGATCTTCGCAGGGGAGGCCACTTTGCTCGATGATGTTCCAGACGCAGCAGCAGGATTCGTTCTCAAGTGAAGGTCCAAAACAAATCAGCATAATGCTGATGTCTGCAGGAGGTCAAGGAGGCTCAAGAGACCCCGTCAGCTTCCAGTTGATTGATTAGTCGATTGAGAAGATCGGTTGCAGGTAATCCGGGAGCGTTTGCAAGCCCTGGACTGGGGAGCTGGAAAAGATGAGACAAGTCTAGTCTCCTTAACGCAGCGTTCGCTTACGCATCCCTGCGTAAGAGTTACAACGTGAGACCTGGCGCGAAAAGACTTCACAGCATCTGTTAGGGGGAAACAGGAGAAGTACTAGTAATGGTGGGTCAAACGAACCGCCACGTACCCTCCATTTTCTAATTTTCTAATCTTTTATGACTTTTTGAGAATCGAGATACAAGACACTGCAGGAACGTATGGGAGGGCGGCTGTCACTTCGGGTCTTACTACTAGATGCAGTATACGAAGTTGCAGCCTTCGCGACAGCTCCTATCCTCCTTATCCTCCTTATCCTCTCTTATCCTATCTCTCTCATTCATTAGTGCCACCCTTCTACAAAGAACCGCGTACGTAAAGGATTCTACGTACTAGAGTACTTGGGTACTTAGATACATCTATAACCCCCCACTTGAGCCGGACCCTTACCTGATCCACCTAGCTGCTACTCCACAATCCATGCACGGAGGTACCGTTCAAGCATCTCCACAGCCGGTCCTCTCCATCTCTATCACCTACTATCACCAAGTAGCCGATTTATCTTAATAAGTGAGTCGGGCACGACTGAATTCTTGCGTCTCTCGTCTAACTGGATCTTCAGTCACTCAGACCCAAGTCTTTCTTTTCAACCGGCTGTTTGTGAAAACAGCAAAGCAGAACTCTGGAAGTTCTTGCAAACTCAACCTTTAATTTTTGCGTTTGACTATTTCCCGGCCTGGCTGCTACCTTCGTTCTGTCTACCAACATATAGTCTTTCGCAGAGTTGAACTCGAGTTGTTTCATTCTTATTCTTTTTTAATAACATAACTATATATCCCTCGACAATTCGTTTTTCTATCAATCCCAACATTGTTAATTTTCCTCGGCGGACCTTTTACTCGACATTTGCGAATTCCTCCACGGCCGACTTCTCCTTCTCCTTCTCCTTCAGCTCGACCATAAGAACAAGCCACTAGCGGGATAGCTTAATTCTAAACGGAGTTTACCATCTAATCCTAATCGAGAGCCAACTCTCACATCTTCTGTGCGTCCTAAGACGACATATTCGCCGATTCGGTCTCCGGAAATCTGCCGCTGTTGTGACCATTATCGTCATCACATCTAGTGTCTCGATATCACGAGACTAACATAGCTCGGGAATAGCTCTGTAAGTTTTGCTACCCATGATTTGCCATGTCTCGGAGGTGAAGCGCCTATAGTGTGCCGTCACCGCATGGTTTCTTTGCCGAGTGCCACCAGCACCAGATTTCGTTACCTTGGCTATTATAAACCAGAATACGGTCCCCCTCCTCCTACTTCGTACACGTGCTGCCTTTTATAGGAATCTCCCGCTGACAAACTACCTATTGTTTTAGTGTTCTTGGTTGTACGACGGGGAATCAGATTCAAACGATCGAGACATCATCTGCACCGGTTCTAAATTAATCCTGCACGGTTCGGACATAGCATAGGACCTTTGTGCTATCTTCGGAATTGGCGGTTTCTGTTAAACCGTATCAACCGTATCGACCGTATCGATACTTTTCGCCTAGGTACAAGCGTGTGGAGCTATGCCTAATTTAGGGTTAATGGGTTCGCCAACAATGGGGGTGCATCCTGTTCTAAGTAACAATACTAGTACTAATAACACGCTGGAGGAAGCTGACGGAGGGGTCGGGATCGCTGTCGGCCCCGTTTCTAAGCAATCCACTTCCATCTTAGCCATTCCAGATCAAGATCAACCCCTGCGACAATCCGGTTCGCCTACAAAGTCCGACTCTGCGCCGCATTTCCTTTCTACTTCTCAATCCCACCACCATGCTGACGGCAACGACACAAAACCAGAGCCTTCTGCTCTAACGATAGAAGGTACAGACGTCATTCCCAATAATCATCAATCGCGCGGACACCGCAAGAACGCACCCTCTGTCGATGCCGTCCCGCGCCAAACTCTTATGAAAGCACTCGCTTCTGTCGCACGGAATAATAAACCTGAAGCATTATCATTAAACAACATGTTGTCCGCCCACTCAGCGGTCGATAAACGACCTGGCAATTCTTCGTCCTCTCAACAACTCTCCGACGCTCTATCCGAGCTTGCCGCCCGAAACATAACTCCGACCACCGCATTCCCCTCTCTTCAGTCACCATGCTTTTACCACAACCGATTTGATGACGCAGTCGATATTGATAAGGTCCTCGAGGAAATCAAAAATGACGAGTGGATGTCGCATTCCAGATTAGTGCAGACCGCCACCGGCGTTCGTGAGGTATCGAAGCAACTACAGCGTCGGCCCATCCGCCGAGCTGTCCGCAGTGTCATGATCGTCACCAAAGCCCGTGATAATGAATTGGTGTATCTGACTAGGGAACTCACCATGTGGCTACTGAGAACTCCCCGATACGGCTCAGATATAGGAGTCAACGTCTATGTTGATGCGAAACTACGCAACTCGAAGCGTTTCGGTGCCTCTAGCATTGTGGACGAAGACACTCGCTTTGAGTCCATGCTTCGATACTGGTCTCCGGACCTTTGCTGGAGTAGCCCGGAGAAATTTGACCTTGTCTTGACGCTTGGAGGTGACGGCACTGTACTTTTTACTTCCTGGCTCTTCCAAAGAGTTGTTCCTCCCGTCTTGTCTTTCAGTCTGGGAAGTCTTGGCTTCTTAACAAGCTTCGAATTTGAGAAGTATAAGCAGCATCTCAACAAAGTAATGGGCGACGATGGTATGCGTGTCAACCTTCGTATGCGATTCACGTGTACTGTCTTCCGTAACGGCACCTCGGGTCCGGAGATGGAAGAGGGTGAACAGTTTGAAGTTCTTAACGAGCTTGTCATCGACCGCGGCCCATCGCCTTATGTCTCCAACCTTGAGTTGTACGGCGACAACGAGCTCTTAACCGTTGTCCAAGCGGATGGATGCATCTTCTCCACACCAACTGGATCGACTGCATACTCCCTTTCCGCGGGCGGCTCTCTGGTCAGCCCTGACCTTCCTGCCATTCTTCTTACTCCTATTTGCCCGCACACACTATCTTTCCGACCGATGGTGCTTAGTGACACGATGCTACTTCGTGTTTCTATCCCGCGTAATTCCCGCGCGACAGCGTACTGTGCCTTTGATGGAAAAGGCAGGGTAGAACTGAAGCAGGGCGACTGCGTGACGATCACGGCTTCTCAATACCCCTTCCCCACCGTGATGCGTACCGGAACCGAATGGTTTGATAGCGTTTCTCGCACGCTTCAATGGAACACGCGAGCTGCCACCCAGAAAGGCTTCGAGAGCAAAATTGGCGGTTCCGTCAATGAAGACGAGGAGCCGGAATGGGATATCGATACCGACTCTGCATACTATGCAAGTGAAGATGGCAGCACCAGCGCGAGTCCTTTACGACGACAGATGAGCCTTCTAGGCATGTAGAGAATTAGATTTAGAGTCTCGATTAGAGCTAGATGTTGGGGTTCTACACGCAGTTATGTCTGATTTCCACTGCGTACGTGGTAGGAGGATTCAGGTGATCTCGATACACCTCAAGGAGTTCATTGGCGTCAAGCTAGGAGTTTCCGTGGAGAAGATAATCAAGGTGCTTCCTTGGCGAGTAGCGGTTTGATTTTTCGTTTGTTGGGTATTATAGACTTGCGGAGACAATACTTCATATTACGAGTAATGTACTGTCATTACATTGCCAGTCGCAACGATGGCGATTAGGCTAGACTCTTACGAATAAGATTATTACGAGGCCTATACTGAACTGATCTAATCGCATGTGAATGTATTGCAAGTTAATTATGTGTTTTTATACTAAGCGGGTCAAAGTGAGGTTGTATTGTACCGTGTTGGTTCGACGTAGGATGAGTCGTGGACTCAATGTTAGGGTTAGCCAAGGCGGTGTAAAGCTGGTCCTCGTCTATGTGACAGATGGATGCCTGGAAAAATGTTGACTCCATCGTATCTGACCTCCACCAAAGTAAACACTACCCAAATCTTACGGATTGGTGAGCATTGAAATATATGCTGATCTCATTAAGCCCCTGATAGGCAGCTATTAGATGCTGTGCCGTCCAAAGATGATGGCCTAGTTAATTCAAGAATTGCTAATATCTCTAACCTAAGTAAATCAAGGCTTCACTTGTTATTATTGCTAGATACGGAGGAGGGTACAATCATCGAGGAGATAATCCGGTACAGCCGGGGAGGATAATTGCTGGGTCCGCCATATCTACCGGAGCCATGGGTGGCCGGGCCCCGAGTACCGCCGTGGCGAGTGTATGGAGGCTATTATTAGGTATAAGGCGATGAGGGAAAGGGCTAGGGAAGAAGGGAATGGCGAGGGGCTTTTGATCCCCTTGGGTGGGTTACTATGACGATGGACATTGGTCTGTCTTTGAGAGATGAATTAATGTCACGGCCATAACTAAGCCCTAAATTAGCTGCGGTTGCCCCACATCATACATAAGCTTGGGAATGTTATATTATGGGACTTGAGAAGCATCGTTCAGCCTCTAAACTTTGTTTTCCTAACTTTGTTTACCTGGGTAGCTTGTTGCTTAGGTAGGTATCTTTTTGAGTGAGATATGGAATAATATTAAGTTCGACCATGATAGCTACCTATCGATCATTTATGTACATACAATAAATAATACATCTAAATGTACAAACATGACTTCATACCCTTTGGTTGGTGTATTGTAGATCTCAGAGTGCTTTAGGTTATTACTGCATCGTAGCTATAAATATTCCTTTAATTGTGGCCTATGCACGCAACTCCAGTCCTATGGGTTTGCCCCTCATGTAACTTCGCAACTACTAACTATGTATTAACTAAGATATCTTTAATCGCAAAACCAATTGCCGGCATTATATATCCACAGCGGCTAGATTGTTGTTCTTCTCTTTAATAGTAATGATCTAGCTCGGCAAGTACCGGATTCTCGCTTGTTTAGCGCATTCCATTCCGCTTTGCGGTGTTTTGAGTGTTTTGGCTGGTCTACCTGGAGATGGTCACGCTCCAAGTAAATAAGTTACCCTTTTAGGCTGACCTGTAACGCGATCGGGGCTGTGATTGGCCAATTTAAGGTATGGCCCGAGCTTTATGCATTAGATCTCAAGACGCGGTCTTGATTACATTATGTACATAGACTGACACGCCAAGAAGGCCCCACTAATGCATCTACTACTCCAGCACGGATTACCAGCCTCTACTCTTTCTCTTTTCCTTTCCCTAACCCTAAGTCTAAGTCTAAGCCTATGCCTAAGACCAAGATCATTACCTCTCCAACATCTATTCTCTCCTCTCCATTGTAGATTGTAGAGGGGGACTTGTCTCTCGTTTTACTTCCTGTCCCGTCTACTACCTTGTAGAATGCATATTTAGAACAGTCATTATCTATTACAACAATGTCCCACTCTACCGCGTCCTCACCTCCCACCATGCCGCCCGTGCGCGAAGCACGCGAAGCAAGAGGGTCAATCAGCTCCCAGAGCAGTAATCCGGATTCGAGCACAATGTCTTTCGAATCTTCTTTCAGATTAGAATCCGGCTATCCTACACACGACTCCAACACAGAGAAACACCCCAAGGGCAAGCGGAAGAGAACCACGTGTGTACCCCCGGAGCCAAACCCAAACCCAAACCAGCTTATATCATTGCATGTACTAAACACATCTTGTATTTCTTCTGTATAGGACACAAGATAAAGCTATTCTTGAAGCCGCGTACAACTCGAACCCGAAGCCCGATAAGGCAGCGCGTCTTGATATCGTGAGTCGCGTCTCACTCAACGAAAAGGAAGTTCAGGTTAGTATAGTCCGTAGATCATAGCGGAGACGCGTGAGAGACTTGGTGGAAACCACGTTGGAATGAATTGGGTCTAATATGCCCGTAGATATGGTTCCAGAACCGTCGGCAGAACGATCGCCGAAAATCGCGTCCTCTTTCGCCGCAAGAAATTGCGGCACTGAGATATGGTGGGGGTATGCAAATACTGTCATCTGACTACATCCCTGCACAAATGAGCTCGCAAGACGCACCGCAAGACGCACCTGTGCAGCCGGGGGAGACGCGTACGGAAGACGAAAAAGCCTTCGATTCGGAGAAATCGCCTTTTAGCTCCCAGGACGCGAGCCCTCAGCACTCTGTCCATTCTTCCCCGAAGCTGAGCGCCATGGACCAATCTGTCATGGATAACCCGGCGATACCAGAGCCTGAGGACTCCGGAAGGCATACACCACCCCCGCCACAAAGGACCGAATTTGAGAGCCTCTCACTCTCTCAGATCTCGTCGGCATCAGTCGCGTATTTGGCAAACCGACGGAGCTTCGACAACTCTTTCTCAACACCCTCTACCTGGGGACGGACCGGGGACGAGTCGTTTAGGTATGTGCTGTCTTTTTTTCGGACGCGAGCAGAATCACTAACAATTTTACCAGATTTGAGTCGTTTTCATCCTCTTTTAACTCAGCCGCTAGCAGCTCTCCTGCCTCAGTTCTTCTACCGCCTTCCTCAGCATCTTCATCTCGTGTCCGTCTATCACTCTCCCTGGATGGAAAGGCTGAGCTGGTTTCCTCTCAGCCGTCGCCGCCCAGACCCGCCCAGATACAATTATCAGGAGATGCGGATACGTTACCTCCGGTCCGCAGTCACAGGACCCTTCACAGGAGCCGGAGCGCCCTACCCGGGATTACTCTCCCGCCCATCTCAACCCTTACTGCTCATCTACCTCCACAGCTCACCCGAGGCCGATCTCGGGACGTACATGCCTGGGAATCCTGCTGCGAAGCAGACACTCGTGATGAGCTAACGAAGCAAGCCGAGAACGAGTCTTCTGGGTCTGCAGTCGCAGCTATTAGCCTTCTGCGATCGAGCAGTAGCTCCTCCAGTCTTAGCAGCCTGCTTCATAGCCACAGTACGGCAAACGTGCTTCAGTCCAATCCTAACAAGCGCAATGCGCCACAGAACAAACCCGCACACCGAGAAGAGGTAGCTAAGAAAGCTAAACTCAGCCGCACAACTAGCAGCGTGGCACGTATGCAGACCCTTCCACCTACATCGCTATTAGACACTCGACCGGACACGATCGATTTGGAGAAGCCAGGAAAAGGCAGTCTCACCACCATACTCAGTCCATCCGGCGATTCTGACAAGGAGAACTGGAGCCCAAACTCTGAGGGCAACCCTAATCGCCGACGACTGTTGCCTTCCCCCAAGGTTCAAGACCAAACCATCCCCAGCAAAAACCCTCGCCGCGTGGGACGCCCGCTTGGTGAGCAGGATAACACGGCTAAACGTTCGCTCTTCGGAAACAGATCCAACACGGCGCCATCACTAAAACCGCGGGATTCGCCCATGGCGATCTTCGAGGATAAGGAGAACGCGAATGGGGACGACGAGCCTAGGAAACTACCACGAGGTTCAGTTAGCCCTACTAAGCGCGGAGACCTGGACTGCGTAGCTGGACTGTTGTCGCTGAGTCAGGGGAACTGGCGCTGAAAAAGGCTGCCCTGGACCTCTAAAGACTCGCATTCCTTTCAAGGGAAGCTAAACTCTAGCATCAGAAGTTATTCAAGTGGCTACTGTAAGCGCAACGGTCTGGATATTTACTAGGTTATATGCATACCACGTGAAGAAGAGACCCCTGGAAAGGAAATGCGCTCTAGCTCGTGGATAGCGGAACTTGGCCTCCGAGGAGGAGAAATGGATTGTTTGACCGGAGTTTTAAATCAGGCGGGTTAGGAAAAGAAAAAAATGGTGCGGCTCAAGGTAGATTCTATCTCTGCCTGGTTCCGCGAGCTGATTGGCGTATTCTCCCATCTTTTCTAAGCGGCGTGGCGTGGCGTACTTAGTTAGGCTGATCACCGCGTGGATGGGGACTACTGGTGGTGGGGTGATGGTGATGGTAGTGGTGGTGGTTTTGCGAGTTCGTTGGTGGCTAGGAAAGGAGTAGGAGTTGTTGGCTACCTAATGTTTACGCGATGATTCGGAGGGAGGGAGGAAGGTGTTAGGTGTCTGTCCGGATCTGTGTCCGTGAGGACGTAAGCGCTGCTCATCGGCATTGCTATGATGTATGTAAACATCTCAATAAAGCGAATCAAACCATGCTGCTGATATTCATCTATAATTGCGAATGGCCTGGTGTAGTAAAAATCATACGTTCGACAGATTTAGTTTACGAATAGGGGGGACACGTTGGGGTTGGGTAAGGCGTAGATAAATACGTCGGGGGCGTTCATTCTCTCGCATTTGGTATCATCCATCTCGTAATTGTACATGCAACAAGACGTGCGCGATCCAAACGACCTAAAGGCACGTCGATTTCCTCGTTCTCTTTTGTTATCCGTTTGTTTGTTTGTTTGTTTGTTTGTTTGTTCTAGGATACCCGTTCAGACGGCTTGTTTTCTCCCATCTTCTCCTGCCCTCCCCACATCTCTTTTACAAGCTCGACAAGACGCTCTGCACACCCGCACTCTTCGCGTCGTCTCTGCTCTGTATAAACGCCTTGAAATCGGCCTTGGCCAGCTTCTTCGCGGCGGCAGGGCCCGCGGACGAAGCAGCTAGGTTGCGGGAGCGTTCGCGCAGGGCCTCGGGGCCGATGATGAAGAGGTAGCCGATTTCGGTGAGCAGTTCGACGGCAACCTCGACGTCTTTGGCTAGAGGCCATTCCTTGAGGGCGGCTACGTAGCCGGCAATGTCCTTGGTGACCATGAGGCCGCCGGTGGCGTTGACCTTGAATTTCTTGAAGTGGTCGAAGAGCAGGCGCTGGATCTCGAGCGCGAGCTCGCTGCTGAAGACCTCGAGGTTGGCGCCGTCGACGGCCTGTGCGATGAGCTTCGTGCACCGCGATAGGAACACGCATGTTGTGGTGCATGTTGGTGTCTGTAGCGACTCGATGATGCTGAGCTCGTCTTTGGGTAGGAAGTCGAGTTTCTTCTGCTGGGCGAGGGACTTGGAGACCCAGTTGACGATGACGTCCACGGTGCTCTTCATGATGCTACTGGCTTTCTTCTCGATGCTTTCGATACCCATCTTCGATTGGGCCTCCATGCTCCTTCGTACAGTGGTGTTGGATTCGGCGAGGCGGATGAGCACCATATTTATGAAGCGGTTCATCATGCTACCGATCGTTACGGCGGGACGGACAGAAGGTAGATAGTTAAGATCCGGTTCCGTCTTCACGTTCTCTTGAGATGTGGCCTTCTCAAGAGCTGCTTCCAGAGCCGTCTCTACGTAGACTTGACCCATGTTAGTCAGCAGGAGATTAAGGAGTATAGCAACGTCTTTTGGAGTGTCGCTTGGACTGCCCAGCTCGAGTGTTCGTCGGACACTTTCGGCAAGCCATGTCAGCATCCTCTTTGCTATGACTGTGCTCAAAACACCCTCTGCCTCTGAAACTTCGATTTCGTTTTTGTTCTTGTCGTTTTCCTGGACACCGGCAACCCTCAACATCATGGCTTTCTGTGTAGGGGTGAGATCGGATGATTCAAGCCGCTCTAGATACGCGTCCTTAGCGGATGCCATGAGCTGATTGGTCTGTTGGGCTAACGAAGCCATAAAACCAGTGGGTGCCTTCTTCCTCCTGGAGTGATAAATATTATACTTGAAGAGCAGCGAATTGAACAATTCTTCCAAGCTCCTCTTCTCGCGCTCGATATACGAATTACCTACTATATACGGAACGAATAACTCTTCCATCTGCTGATCTAATGTCTGGGATATTTGGGGGGAGCAAGGCTCCGGGTGCTCTGTGAGGCCGTGCGCCTTCAAGTCCTCTACCAAGGCACCGATGTAACTTCTGGAGGAGTGGAGGGATCGAAGAAAAGCTAATGATGAGATGGTATTGGCTTTCTCTAGCACCAACTCCAGCCGTTGTTGTATCGACTGCTGGAATACGCGCTGTATAAATTTGATCAGGACTGTTTCATAGTAAGGGAATGCCCTTTTAATGATAAACGACTCCTCTTGCATGACGATTTTAACCTCGTCAATAAGTGATTGAAGGCTGGGCTCGACGCCCGGTGGTTCGGAGTCGGGGTCTGCCAGCTGGTCCCACGTTTCTCCATCCATCGTCACCTCGTCGGTAATAAGTTGGTCTCTGTCAATGAAGAACTGATGTTGATTCACAAAAACAGCGATCACGCTGGCACCTCCGTTGAAGTCGTATAGCACCTTGGCACACTCCTTCATATCGTCGAAGTTTTGCTTACGGTAGCTGTTGTTAAACTGCTTCAGTAGATCTTGCTCTAGTGTTTCGCAAAACTTCTCCAATATTTCACGGGTATTATATCTCCTATCATCGTCAGTATCGCCATTGGCGAAGCCATTGCGGAATCCATTCGTCTGACCCCAGGAAATAGGGTCCAATCTTTGGCTAATGCGCATTAGCTGGTGTGCAATCACGGCACATCTCACTTTGTTTTCGGAGCCGCCTTGACGTTGGATATCTTGTAGTAGTGTAAGCTCTCCGGTTTCGCTAACTTGGAGCCAGCATTGTATTAGAAAGTTGGCGTCCAGCGCCCGCCTTCGTTTCCTATCCAACTCTTCCAGCTTCTCTCCAATTTGGACAGCGATATTTCCGCCTGCATCGCCACGGTTGCCTCGCTCATTTCCATTCGGGTTATTAAGGGTGAGATCCAGGGCTTCGAATTGGTCAATGGACTGCTCTAATTTGCGACCTAGAGTATCGACAGTCTGGTCATGCTGGGTTTCTCCGCGGCGGGCTTGTGATAGAAGATCCGACTCCTTTGCTTGTAGCTCCTCTGATAGGTTGCCTAAGCCCTGCAATGCATCTTTTATGACAAGTATTAACATGCGGCTCGTATTAAGACTAACGAGGATGGAGGAATAACATACTCTCAAAGGTCCGGATCAAGGGCTTCGGATCAAAGGGTTGTTGAGCTGGTCCAGAACGACGGTTGAAAGACACAGCATTCTCAGCAAGCTCATCAACAAAATCACGGACTATGAAGTCCTTATTGGAGAAATCGTCGATAGTAAAGCTAGGGCCCTTTGGGAACAGAGCGCGCGATCCGGAGCCTGTCCGTTCCATGGCATCAAGCAGCGATGGTTAATTTGTCATTTGTCATTTGTCCTGTAACATGAGGGGGGACTTTCGAGGTAGAAAATGAGAAGGGTTTTGTGGTGGTAATATGTGCTGTAACTGCAATCACAATCAGGAAGCGTCGTTGTTGCTTTTGAATGCGCCGACAAGGCGAAGTCGATTTGATTCAATGATCTAGGTACCTAAGCCATGACGGGCTACAGGGGTACGATGTACCGTGCTGTACCCTCTAGCTACCTACATACATCTGTAACGCTACAGGGTGGAAATGGTGGAGGTACTTCCTAAAATTGTATGTGACGCCACGTTAATTGTGGCTGAGCTCCAGCGACATGGATGACCTAGTGTACCTATGTAATATCGTGGCCTATCGCTGTTTAACATCTGATCCAAATAATTCAGGCTTGACAACTTAAGCTTCTCAATTGCGTATTGAAACGCGAACCTCGCTCACCACTTAATATTATGACTTAATATTATGCGAGAAATTGTTTCTTAAACCCCCAAATTCAAATTCTTACATAGCTCCCTACATCCATTACGGCATCATGTCGTTCACTTCTAAGGATACGAAACTCTATCGAGAGGACGAGAGGGCCGGGCATAAGAAGCTCGGTGCAGAAGAGCGAGAAAAGCTCGTACAGGTACGTGCATTAAACTTCGAGTCCGCAATCTGCTAACGTGTCCAATTATTATAGAATTATCTACCCTCTCCGCCCAATCGATCACCAAGTCGGAGTCGCAAGAGGAAGCGGGAGACGTCCCACTTCGGTGTTAGGAAATTCCTCAAGTCACAGCTCCATTCATTGCTATACATCATTGTACACGCAATCTTCTCCGTTTATATCCGAATTCGCACAGCCTACCATGCCGTTACCCTTCGAGTCCTTTCCATACTCAGACACCACCATAACACTCCAGATTATGTCCGAAGAGACGTTAGCGTATATAGAAGGTTGCCTAAACACGTTAGTATAATCTTGACATTGGAGGATGGTGGAAGAGCTGGGGATGCCTTGGAAAAGCTTGTCAACGAAGCTTCCGAGGTAGCAGCATGGTGTGCTTCGGCAGGTATTCCTCGATTATCTGTATACGAGAGAACAGGTAAGGGTTATGATTCTACCAGTTAGGGTTAAACATTCCAAAACTAACAAATATGCATAGGAATACTTAAACGCTATATGCCTCAAACACATCGTGCCTTAGCACACAAGCTCAAGGGCTGGTTTGGAAAGCACCAAGCTCCGCCGCTGTCCCTCATTACTCGTGGAGCCTCACCTATTTATTCTGTAAACCGACTGTCTTATGGACAAGACCAGGTTCCGCTAGAGGTCATACTTGTCTCCGAAGACGACGGCCGAGAGGCCATGGTAGATCTTACCAAGGTTCTAGTCCAGATGGTCCAGCAAGAGAAGATATTGGCCAGCGACATTACATTGGATGTTCTCGACCATGAGTTATCCGAAGCTGTTATGCCAGAGCCGGACCTACTCATCTCATTTGAGCCTTACGTTGATCTGCAAGGATATCCGCCATGGCCAATACGGCTGACCGAGATCTACTGCGCGCCTGATAACCAGGGCGTAGCATATCAAGTATTCCTCCAAGGTTTACAGAAATATACGGAAGCAACCTTCAAACTTGGAAAATAGATCTAGCAGGTTTTCCTAGATCGCAGCGCAGAGCGAAGCCGAATCATATTCACGGCTTAGACGTCAACTCCTAATTGGCAGTATTCTGATTAATAGATATCACGTAATAATAGCATTATATCGCTATTCTCCATACAGCTCGTTTAAACCTGATATTGGTACGGCCACCGAACCTCGCCTAGTCAGAGGTAGTCGTTCAAACCCTCACGGCCTAGGCATGCTAGGATAATTGGGTTCTTCGGTCGATATATCGGGGGGTTTATAGAGGTGGGAGTGGTAATTGGGTATGCCGTACTCGGACTCTTACGGCTAGAAAAGCATCTGCTATGAATGTTTATATATGTACATAATTAGTAGAAGAGCTGGTGCATTCGGGACAAGAGCATTATATTACCGTTACGGCATTAGCTAACATACTATGTAAAGGTTCTTGTTAGATGAATAGAGGTTAATATCTAAATTTGTTGCTTTAATACAGCAGAGTAGAGATGAAATTGACATGTGATACCTAACCTAATTCATTATCAGATAAGGCAGGTCAAGGTCAGATAGGCAAGAATGTGGAAAACATCATCAGCCCACGCAGCCTTCCGTTTGGTATGTACATATGACGCATCAGCGCATGTAAGTCGCACACAAACTCTAGCCGCGGCAGCCTTGCGTCTTAGCAGGTTTAGCGTGGGGTCTTATCCCTGTCGAAATTTTGTCGATCCTGGGGTAGATCTTTCTCGCACAAACCATCAAAGGGTCTATTCAAAACTTCGCAGGCGCCATCTCAGAACCCCTCCTAGAAAGTTATAATATTATGGTGGTATACGGATCCCTTGATATTTTAATATAGCTCTCTTGCTTACTTTCCGAAGGATATAACCGCCGAGGGCGACGACATGAGCAGTCTCCTCCGGCCGCCAACCATACGCTCGGCTTTCGGTGTCCTTGACAGGTCGCTCTTCTCTAAGACAGTCAACCTTGCTGCTGCTGCAGTCGCTGACAAGAAGAAAATCTCTGTCTGGCGTCAGAAATTACAGAGCGAGGATACTCTTCTCGCTTTTGAGAGGATACCCGGCGTTGTAGCCCACCCGGACCAGACCCTCGCAGCGCAGGGCACAAAATGCTTACTCTTAAACCCCAAAGTTAAAGCCGAAGGTAACGTTGGACCGAAAAGTGTATTGCGGTTGATTGCATTCTTTTAACGACGCTACTTGCAGTGCCTGAAACATGGACATCCTCTCTTCAAGATGGTGTAGCTAGTAAAGAGATAGGAATAGTCCCGTATAACTTGTCGTTGGACTATGACTACTGGTCTTATGGTAACAGATATACATTGAATTTTTGGTATTTATCAGCGCAATGATTAACTGGTTGTTCTAGAGGATGTGATGAGATCCCTGCTTCCCCCTGACCTACGAGATGAGCATGATGGCATTCCCGGAGGGTTCAACCAGGCAGGACATGTTGCGCACATGAATCTTAGGGAAGCATTCTTGCCGTACAAGAAACTAATCGCAGAGGTTATACTCGATAAGAACCCAGCGGTTAAAACGGTCATCAACAAAGTCGCTAACGTAGGAACTGAATCAGAATTCCGGACGTTTGCATATGAAGTCCTTGCTGGTCCGGATGACTTAAATGTCGAGGTGCGAGAGAATGATTGCCTATTCCGATTCGATTACTCTAAAGTGTATTGGAATAGTAAGCTGGAGGGCGAACACAGGCGGTTAGTCAATATCTTCCGACCGGGTGAGGTCGTATGCGATGTGATGGCCGGTATTGGCCCATTTGCAGTACCTGCTGGTAAGAAAGGGGTTTTTGTCTGGGCTAATGACTATAACCCTGAGAGCTATCGTTATATGGATGAAAACATCAAAAGGAATAAGGTGAGTGTCGAATGAAAAATGTACACTGTATTTCTTCAACCGAATTAACAAACTACCCCTAGGTCCACCAATATGTACGGCCATTCAATCAAGACGGACGGACGTTCATCAGGGAAGCAGCCGATCTGGTATACGCATCATCAACTAAGGGCGAATATGTCGTCTCGGGACCGAATAGGAAATTGAGACGCAGTCAACATCCGAATTCAAACACTACTGACAAGTCAACGCCCAACCCGAAACCTAAACATACACCAATTCCGCCAACGATTTCTCATTTCGTTATGAACCTTCCTGCATCCGCTATTACTTTTCTATCACACTTCCGCGGTCTTTACGCCGCACGGGAGGAGCTCTTCGTTCCCCACACAAGTACGAAGCTACCCATGGTCCATGTCTATTGCTTCGCGGCCAAGGCAGATGATGATACGCCACTCAATGATATCTGCGAGCGCATCTCGGCGGAGATAGGCGTCGAGATGAAGTTAGGCGAGGCCGAAAATGCCAAAGAGGTATCCGTTTTAGAAACCAGAAATGTGGCACCTAACAAGCGCATGTTCTGCGCATCCTTCAGAGTGCCCCCTGAAGTGGCATTTCACGCCCGAGTATAATCAAGATCAGACAAGACCCTCAACGCAGTACACAGTAAATAGACCCCCGTATCATCGGCTTACCATGTTAAGCGCTAGGAGGCTGTTGAGCAATATATATGCAAGCCAAGCGGGCCATTGCAGCGAGACACATGTGAAGATATCAACTTTAGCGTCGCAGTCCAGGGAGCTTCTAGGTCTGTGATTATTTTACGGCGGGACTGGCCGCCACAGGTGGATCACAGCATACATAGGGCGCAGTACAAGGATGCTATGCTAATATAATTATGTTCCTTGTTGGCGCCTGGTAAGGAAGATCACGGTGCCGTGGAACGTTTCTCAAAGCGCGGATCACCAGGTCCGCCGTGTGGGATACTATTATCCACACCTCGCACACCTCGTGCGAAATACCTAACTCAATTGATGTGTTACGGCACGCATTGCTTCGGGAACCGCACCAACCAGCGGAGGCGTCAAGAATTAAGCCTATCTAAATCATACTGCCCATGTCGAAGAGGAGGTGGCATGATGCATCACTTTCTGTCTAGAGGTTGGTATACCATAGTAAATTGAAGGGGAAGACGGACCCCGGTGCGATAGCCGAACATCGTTCATGCAGATAAGCATGCATGATTGCAACTCCGAGTTTGGCTTTGTGGACGGATTGAAGAGGTCTATTGGATAATAGTTCAGCATCTTTCTCGAAGCTGCGCAGCGCTAACTCATCCTCATGCTTAATACCAGTTTGTTACTGGCAAGGGAATTAACGCGACTTGCAGCACCAGTTACCTATTACACCTATTACACTTAGCTTCCTACCGTCTCAGCACAAATATCAACCCTAATAGCCACACCCTGATGCATATAAGATTTTACGTGATGGATTCTAACGAGCAGGGCTAGTTATGTACGGCCTTCGATGAAACCCACAGCTGCTCGGCCGTATGAATAGCCTCTTCTGTGCCTAAGCTAAGTTTGATACTCATGTAAGCCCAAACATAACCTAGGTATCCGATGACTCCATTCTCAATTTTCCGTTTCACCGGTGAAAAGCCGTCTATCGCGAAATATAGACACCACCCACAGAAGACGCTAGTCCATTCAAGGAGATGTTGCTCTAGACGAAAGCGGAAGACAACAACTTACTTATTGCTCGAATATGCACGCAGGAAGTGGAGAAGACATACGAGATCGGACTGCAACTCTGTGCACCTAGCCTTGTGTCGCATTTTATTCGACACGGAGAGCCTAAGGCGACATGGTTGTGCGGACGCGATTTTTATCATCAGATTCTTGCTGCCGTCTTCATATATAAGATAAAGCACCGCCATAGGGAGCGCGCGGATAAGTTTCCGAATATCTCTGAGCCTCGGGAACGGCTCATATGTCATTTAATAGGTGCGGGACTCCAGATGCTAGTGATGATACAGTGACGGTATCTGGACATTGCGAAAAAGCCGGTAGTCTGTTCGGCTCGTTTTTCGGAACACCAGAAGGTCTGGCGAAGACTCTTCTCCAGTGAGCTCAGAATCCGTCCTAGCCGAAAACACTCCTACTGTCTCAACAGACAGCAGGGAGGAGGCGTGACAACACACTCCTTCATCCACACCGGTCGGTGCCATTGGCAAACAATTGGGCTACAAGGCTATGGTCCAAACAAATGTCATGGCAGGGGATCCGTATATCTGACTTCGATGACTAATTATATGATTTTTATTTATCATGACGGCGACCGTCGTAAGCTCGGAACGGCTCGAATTCGTGTGCCCACAGGGCCCAGGATTGTGTTCTTGATGGAGATCTCGGAGCCCCTGTGTTACCAACAACTAGCCAACGCGTCCGGGATTATAGCTAGGTATTGTGGCAGCGTTCCCTACCTAGCTACCTCTTGCAGACATCCAAACATCTTACTAGCATGGACGCCATAAAATAGCTAGAGCTTCTTGCATACCTAGTAGCAAACTCAATCGCGGGTAACGATATAGCTATGTGTCAGAATAGCGTCAAAATAACTGGCGCAGTCTAGGTATTAACAATTATGCTGGTAGGTGCGCCACCTTTTTTGACGTTATTCTATGTGTAGAGCTATACATAGCATCTACATAGAAGTATATGCGAAGATAGAGCTAGTAAGTCTAAGACATAGTTCTTTACTAGCTTGACCCTGCAAGAAGAAGTGAGATTCGTATATAAAAAGAGTATAAAAAAAGCGAGGCTAGCTGCGGCTGGCAAAGTAAGTTGTTAGCTGCTGACTGACTGATTCAGTTTTACCATACGGAGACACAATAATATAGGACAGCTGTTGTGCGCGTTGCAGATAAGAAGTTTCGAATAATAAAATGTATGTGTCAGGTCACTAATTCTCGAGATCGTCATTGATCGTCCGCAAAGACAGGCCATTGTTTTTCTTTTTTTTCTTTCTACTTTTACCCGTATCTGCTTCATCTGGTCATTGGTCATTGAGTAAGCTGCTGGTTCGGGCTTATGCTTATGCGTGTAGGAAAGGAATTACGCGTAGGTTGTAATTTGGCGCTTTGTTTTGTGTATGTTTGTTATATTATTGCGATATGGCGGCGTGAGGTCGACGTCATCGGCGCGGACTCGGTGTGCAAGGAATGATAGAATCGGTCTTGTATTTCCAGTTGCACTACCTACATGATCATGGGCCACGGGCCATGGGGGTTCCGTATCTCGAGTCTGGCAACAGCGCCAAGAAACCCGCGGGAATGGATTGGCTGGCACTTTTATTACCTTTGGATGCTTTTTGCAAATGAAAGATGTCGCTATCGCTTTTTAGTCAGCTTCTCTCCTCCCTCCTCCCCCCTCCCCCTCTCGACTTCGGCTTCGGAGTCATCTGCGGGGGGGGAAGCTTGGACAAACCATAGCGTATCGAAGACCCCATGGCGTCGGGGACGACATCTGGGCACTGCAGATCGTGGAACTTGACATATCTCGCACAGAAGCCAACTCAGGGAAATTGCTGCTGC